ATGCTTGCGAACCCTCTAGATCCTCTTAAAAAGCTACCCCTTTCTAACTAGAAAGATATAATCTTAGGAACTACCCTTACTTTCTTAGTAAGAGTTGCGTTAATAAATATTTTCTCTTCTAACGCTAACAATGCGTATAGATCCTTGCTCTATTAACAGCTAGCTTTTAACTCTATATTTGTGTATTTGTGGTATACAAGCTAGGATAGGATAATGCCTTCCTTATTCTATCTGCTATATGTATACTAACTATAATATGCTGTTCCTGGCTATGTGCTTACTAGGCTGGTATAGGCATGCGCGACTGTAGGAACAACCTTTATTTATATATGTGCGTCTTCGTGCTTGCACGTGTAAGGTTCTGAACTAAAGATTCTTTATAGCAATACTGCACGGCCTAGGCTAACACTTTCTATATCTTAGTATAGAAGAAATGGCTCGCTACTTACACGTATAGGTTGCTGCATCCTTCTATTTCTTCTGCTTACTTTAGATAGACCACATATATTGCGAACAATATATACCTTACTATAGCTGTTTTTATTAAGATATTATTGCTGCTTTAATACCTTTGCATATATAAGTAGAATTATCTAGAGTAGCTACACCTAAACGCATACAATCCTAACATATGTCCTTAGTTAAAGCTGGTGTTATAAGGCAGATCTGCCTTAGTCTTCTAGTGGTTACTATCCTCTAGGGCTGTGCGTTTATATTTGTAGGCTGGTTTAACTGCCTTTCTCTAAGCGGATTCTGGGACTGTTCTATTAAAAGCAAATGCTATAGATTTGGATTTAGCGATGATAGGATCTGTGGCTATATTGCTGCCTTTAAAGCTTATGCTGCCTCTAATATGTGCCTTAACCTTGTAATCTTTATAGTGCCGCTTATACTTCTAAAGACACCGAATTTAAAGGTAAAGATATTGCTAGCTATAGTAGGTGTGTTTATATGCGGTGCTACGTAAGTACACGCCTAATTAAACAATCTAATTACGATACTAATAATCTACTAGAGTTGTTATAACCTTAGCCTGGCGACTTTACTCTATTGTTATTAACAGCGCTGGTATGCGTTCTTATCCTAACCTAATATAGTTCACACCTATCTACGTGATACTCTCTTGCATTAAGGTTTAGCTTGCTATTATTTGCGCCTTGATGCCTATATTTTAGCCTATTCTTAAGCAATTGTTAACAGCAATCTTTGTTACCTATAACATTAAAGTAGTAGAACAGGATGTTAAGGATGGCAGGTTCTTATGTAAGCTTAAGCAATTTAAGACGTGTGGATATAGGAAGAACAGCAGTGCGTTAACAGAGGAACTGACGCACAGATCGGTTTTAGAACCAAGGGCTTAGTACACCCTAGGTGTGGATCTGTTAGATTTAGTTGCGCACAGAGGGATAGAACCGCATACTAAGATTAATAGTGAACTAAGGCCTAAGTAGGAGATTTAGGAAATTATTATTATTGCGCTAAGCAATCTATAGCTATTAGTAAGTAGCGTGTTCGGCCTCGTGATGCACGCGGCGCGTGATGCACACCCTACTAACATTAACCTATACTGTGCACCCCCCTATAACTTAACCCTACAATGCTATTAAAAGAAGCCCTTGCAGAGCTAGCTACTTTAAAGTATGGAGAACATTTTTTATATACAGATCTTGCCTAGAAATATAGTTGTTGTTGCACAACATTAAGCTAAAGGCACTAAGGTGTATGCGCGTTAAATAAGGTTAAATTAAAACACTAGCTAGTTCTCTACCTACGCGATAAAATTAAGGTTATATAATATGTTAAATTACTTACTAAGAGACACCTTATGCCTATAAGAAAGATCCTGCAGAGAATTATAAAGTCGCTGTGTTAATAGGAGCCCTCTAATTAATAGGTATCGCGCTTCCTTTATCGCTACCCTAACAACCTTCTTACTGCCTAGACTACGCCTATAGAAAAATTACGTCACGATGCTGCTTTATATGAATCCTTTAGCTCTTATTTTAACCTACTGCATAGTACAATTAAGCAGCATTTAATAGAGCCTGAAAACACGTATAATATAGATAAGAAGGGATTTATAATTAGAGTAATGTTAAAGGGCGTTAGAATCTTTAATAAGCAACTCTTTGAATGCTAGAAATACAAGCTAGCATCTTATAATAGCAACAGGAAGTGGGTAACAGTAGTAGGAGCAGTAGGAGCTGATAGTTATGCGTTGCCGCCCGCAGTTATCTATCCTTTATTGTCTCTCTAGCTCTAAGAGAGCTAGGTGCAGCGCGTTAACGCAGGGAAACACAATATATACTTTAGTACCTTACTAAATAGCTAGATAAATAATGCTCTTAGTGTTATCTAGCTAAAGCAGGTATTTGATTGCTATACAAGAGTAAGAGCGCGAGGGAAGTATAGGCTCTTGATCCTTAATAGCTATAGCAGTTATGTTACCTAGGCCTTTATTAAATATGCTTATGCTAACAAGATTCTCCTACTTATATTCCCTCTGCACGCAACTTACGCGCTTTAGCCGCTTAATGTAGCGTGCTACGGGCTGTTAGCACAGAGCTACTCTATAGAACTCCTTTACTGCGGCTACACTATAGAGGGGTAGGTGCCTATAGGTTAAGCTAACTTCTTCCTGCTCTTTTAGGCAGCTTAGAAGAAGACCTTTACTAAAGACCTTGTTGTACAGGCCTTTAAGTGCACTAGAATCTACCTACTAGATGCTAATGTTGTGCTTAAGAAGTTTAGAATACTAACACTAAGGACGCCTAGCACAACCTTAGAGCCTACAGGGCTTTAGCCTGCACTAGGTTCACCTAGTTAGCGCAAGACCTAGCGGCTACTTAAGCGTGCAAGAGAAGAGGATAGGTCTAGTGCTAATAAGGCAGTTAATTAAGCCCTTTACTAACTCTATATGCGATTAGAGGTCTAAGAAGCTCGAATTAAAGGCCTAGAAGAGGCTCTAAAGGCTAATAAGAATAAGAAGAGAAAGCGGAAGGTACTACCTTTGCAACCTATTAACAGGAATAACAGTAGTGGTGCAGTCTTGTGGAGTCCTTTACGCATTAAGCGCGCAAAGCAAGAACTCTAGGTAAAAGAGAACCTAGAGCGCGCTGCAGAGGCAGCAAAAGCTACTAAGAAGGAGCTTTAACATTAGAAGAAGCTAATTTAAGCGAAGGAGAAGGAGAATAAGCGTGTTAAGCAAGAGAAGAAGAAGGTATTAATAGCTAAGGCATAGGCTGCGAAGCGCGCTCAAATTGAGGATTGTAAAGAAGAGGCTTAGCGTAAGAGCAACGCAGGAAAAAGTACCTAATTGCCTAAACAGGCTAAGAGTAAGGCCTTATAGGAATCTTAGTTAAAAGTAACAAAGAATCGTGGTAGTGGTGCTGTGCAAAGGCAGGTAGCTGCCTATAAGGCGCCCTTACTACCTTTACCTATAACAACGTCTACTAGCCGCACTATGCGTTCTCTAAAAAAACTGTGGTAGCTAAAAGTTTTATAATAGTCTATATAGTAATCTACTAACTTATCTTGTGATAGCAGCGTTGTAGTGTTAATTAATAACCTTACTTATTCTAGGGTGCGAAAGTTGGTGGGGTGTGCATTATGCGCCGTGTGCATCACGAGGCCGAACTCGGTACCGTGTCTGTGCGCGTGATGCACGGCAACACTAAAACGTGTTAAAACTGAGTGAGGTTATTGAGCTACCTACAACAGCTATTATCACGACATTTTGTGGTAGAGTAGTAAAGTGATGCTTGCAATCAATCTGGCCTATCTATATTTACTTGGAGGTGTGACGTTGCGGCCGCGGCGGGTGGTGATGGCTGAGGCAGTCAGAGGCGGCGATGGAGGACGACCACTACTAACACCACCAGTATGACCACGTTTTTGACGCTTTTTTGGCTGGTTTGCTGCTGAGGCTTTTCTCTTGCCTAATTGGGGTTGTTTTATAGCTTTTGCAGCATCACGCTCCTCCTTTTGGCGTTGTTTTTCAGCCTGCTTTTCAGCCTTCTGAATCGCTGTATTAGCCTTCGCCTTCTTGCGCACCTCTTTGGCCACCTCTTTCGCCACAAGCTTCTCCTCCTTCCCCTTCTCCTTGACAAGCTTCTCAGCAGCTGCTATCTCCTTGTCGGTCGTCTCTTCTAAGCGCCTCCTCCTTCTTGTCTTGCTTCTTAATCCTTTCACGGAAGCGCGCTTCGTTGATCTTGCTAGGTAACCAAAAGACAGCATTACCGTGGTATTCCTGTGGTTGCGCGAAATCCAAGGCTTTGTTCTTCTTTTTGTGCTTCTTTTGCGCCTTAGGTATCTTTTTAAGGCTATCTGTCTCGCGTTAGAGTAGTAGGGATTTGACTGAGATGTGGTGGATTGATCGTCTCATCTTTTTGACGTCGCGACTACTCTTATCTCTGACAACCCGCCGCAACAGCTCTCTATATTGAGCTGATCTTTGTTGCTGTAAACAGACGATGAGGTACTATCTGAGTCTGAGCTCTCTGGTGTTTTGGCAAAGCGGTTGAGGATGACGTCAGGTTCAAGTGGTGCTATACCCGTCGCCTTGAAGGACTTGAGTATCAACGTTTTGGTAAAGCTCAACATTGACCGCACAACACCCTACTTTTTTGCAATTGCTGAATAGCGGTATTGTTCTCCAAGCTTTAAAGCACATACTTCTCTGAGGGAAGCGTCTAGCGACATCGTGGGGTTGAGTTGTGTGGGTGTGAAGTTGAGTACAATATGGTGGGGGTGCGCGTCACGCGAATCCGCGCGTCACGCGCACAGACATGGTAACCAGAATTGGCAACTTTGGGCTATCACAGTATAGGGAACGTGAATGTCGAATCACAATCGGCAAATTTAACCGCTTTGGGTATCAGAAGCGGGGAAAGCCGCGTCTACTTTCTCTGCGCTTGGTCAAGCTTCCACACGATTGGGATTCTACACGCGTGTATATCGAGACCCGCTGGTATCTTCGCTGCCAACAGAAGCTTAGGTTCCGTTCTGGGCCATAATACATTCCGCGATTGCGTAGAAATGTTCAAGCAATTCCAGGAAGTTCCACGACTCGCGGCACCTCAATGACTATTTTATTTTCTGCGTTGGCTCTCCGTTCTCGTTCCATAAACATTAAAGCGACTTGCGCCGCCGTGACCCCAGAATCAGGAAAGATGACACGTAACGACATCAACGCGCTTGAAATTGACAGGCCTCCAGCAGATGGATCGATTCTCGCACGCGTCGTCACAGCCGTCTCCGAACCAGTTCCACAAACAAGCCTCGTACTCGGTGATGAGATTAGGCCGTTGAGCAAAGCGTCGCTTATCCTTACTTCCTGCCTAGTCATGCTATGCAATCTGACTCAGGTATGTCCTCGAGAAGCATCTTATTGAAAAACGGCGTTGACTTGCAACGGGAAGTTTATTTCGATGTTTTCGACTGTGGCGGGCGGCTTCGAATTTACCAAGAGGCTTGGGCATAGTATCGGGCCAGGCGAGGCTAATTGGATGGCCGCATCGTACTCGTAGGTTTTCTTCCTTCAATCGACATTCGAGACCTCTGTACTGATTACTCTAGCCTTACACAAAGCGCTTTTGTGCTTATCAGTGGCCGCCTGGGCACCAGTGAGTGATACTGAGCTTGGAGACAGACCATACGCTGACTTACGCCACAAGTATATGGCCATCAACGCATGCTCATGGTAGCAGGCTGTTTCATCTTCGTGTTCTCTCTTGGAAATGCTTTCTGCACCACCTATATTACATTCGTAACGATGCGGGCCATGACCGGAATTGGCGGAGGAATTCTAATGCCCAACGCCGTCGCCATATTAACGACTATGGCTCCGCCAGGAAAGATGCGAAACTTCACCTTGGCTATATTCGCGGCATCCCCTCCGATTGGTGCTATGCTTGGTGCGCTTCTGGTAGGGGTGTTTTTCGAATTGACCGAATGGAAATGGTTCTTCGTCCTCATGTAAGCTCGGCGCATGTTGATGGCGAGGACATTACGCTGATTCGACTGTAGAGCCATCCTCACTGCAATAGTCTTTAGTGCATTATACTTGGTTCTCAAGCACGAAGAGCCTTTGGACAAACAGGGTGGCATTGACTTCGTAGGAATAATACTTGGCCTAGGCGGACTCGTGTTGTTTAACTTTGTTTGGAAGTAAGTGAGTGTCGTTGAGAATCTAGAAATCAAAATCTAATGAGTACAGCCAAGCGCCATCAGTTGGCTGGAACGAGCCCTACGAGATCGCTATCGTCATTCTCTCAGTCGCAATGCTGGCAGCATTCTTCGTATGGGAGAGCAGATTCGCCAAGGAGCCCATCATGCCGTTGTCGATATTTGCAGCTCCAACGTTCACCGCGCTGGTTTTTGTGGTCTTACTAACTTACATGTCAGTGGGTATCGCGCTCTGGTACATGGTCGCTTGGCAACAACTCTTACGAGATTGGACGGTACTTAGCGTCGCTGTTGGCTGGATCCCCTACAGTGTTGGTGCTTTAATAGCAGTCGGTCTTGCTGCGTGGCTAATTCCTCGACTCGAAGCTCAGTACATCATGGCTTTTGGGATCATCTGTTCCATTATTTCACTGGTACTTCTTGCGACAATGCCAGAGAAACAGGTCTACTGGGCGCAGACCTTCCCTTCCATCTTCATTGGCGCACTATGCGCAGACTTTGTCTATGTAGCCGCGCAAATAATCGCCAGCAATAGTGTCGGAAAACGAGAACAGGGTGTCGCCGGAAGCTTGATTGGCACGCTCAACCTTTATGGCAACAGTCTTGGGCTTGGATTTGCGGGTACCATTGAGAGTCAGGTTGTGAAGAACGGAGGAAGTGAGTCTGATGGGTACCGAGCTGCCTTGTGGTTTGGGATGGCCCTTGTGGTATTGGCTTTAATTCTGGACTTTCTGTTTGTCAGAATGCCGAAAAGTGACCATGAAGGATGGGAGAAGCATCCTGATGGCGCAATCGCAAGGGTCCAGTCGGGACAACAAGGAGATCTCCATGTATAATGTGGCGAGTAAATGCGAGCAGTTGCAATATCCACTTGTGTAAAAGTTTCGACTGTCCATGAGTCAGGCCTGCGCGCATTGCCTACTTCTAAAATCGGAAATTCCATCACGTCCATGGACAGAGTATAGTTGGCAAGCATTCAGCATCTAGTTCCTGTGATTGCAGCGCGCTTTACACATTCGGAACTACTGGCGAAGTTGTTCGACCATTTGACGTAATATGGAAAAGTGAAACCACGTTTGTGATAGTGGCAATCTGCCTTCACTCCACCACAGGCTTTTATTGGCATTATTTAAGCATTTAAGGACGCGCAAATAGATAAGCTGCTCATTTCTCTAGAGAGACGACTACGAACTGGCGGAGTAAGAACTGTGCGGCCGTGTGTTACTAGTGAATTTCAATCAGGACGATGTTATCTCTCGCGGTGAATGTTCCGTTAGCATGGCCACCGTTAGTTCTATATGTCTTGAATTTATGAATACTACGTAAGTATTGGACGTATGTACGTCGATATGTACCTTAGTTCATTCTCGCTTCTTAGAAAGGTAACAATGAATCTCGTGTAGACAACCTACTTCATGAACGAAGACATCCAAACAATAGTTGATGATACAGTCCTGCGTGCTATCTTAATCATCTCTCAACCTTTTCCTTGTATCGTCGTTGTTGATGCCCACAGCCCAAGAATCTGAAGTTGTATGCTGATCAAGACACGTGGTGCACACTAATCGAAGGCCGCCCTACCCTTCGGCATATACAGAATGCACAGGACATTACATAAGATTTGACTGTAGGCTGGATCAGGTAGATTTCGAGGTTACTTGCGTAACGACAAAGGTCATATTCAGGAAATTAGCTGGGCAGAACTACAAGGGGAAGCAATATTGGGAGCATACGTTGCTCTATCTAATAAAGAAAGCCAACAAAGGCTCATGTGCCTTGGATACTTTTATGGGTCATAATGGGCACAATAGCTTCCAGTCTTGACAACTGTAATACAAGGCATTCCTGTGTACTTACCCAGAGAACATGGAATTTAGAGATTACAAGAATGAAATGATGAAAGATTCCAGTTAGGAGCTTTTGAGCTTAGAACCACTCAACGCTAACATTGACAACAAGTCATCCAGCACCCATGCTACATAATTTCTCAGCAAGGAATACATGTTATTCCTCTCCTTCGCTTCCTTATATCAAGTCAACTGGAACATACTTTGACCAATCACCTTTGGCCTTGAGGAAGTCGAGTGGTTCCATGTGTTCGACTGCTCCACCATATGGCCTGCTAACATAGTATCCCAAGAATCTCTGGACATCCTCCGGAAATGTTTGGGATATCTCGAGCGGGATGGCAAGGTACTGGTTTTCCTCCTGACGGCACCAACCGGGAGTAGTGAATGCGCTCAGGAGAACACTTGGGGTCGATGTTGTGTTCGGCTTGATGCCGTAGTATACGGAACCAAGACTAGTGACACCTATTAGCATGTTGTTACTGATTTTCGTGGCTCTCGTTCATGTACCATAATAGAGCATCGCCCTTCTTCAGCTCAATGAGTGTTTCATCCTCGTCAGTAGGATCGCGAGTGTCGTTCCATCGGTTCGATCCGACAACCACACGAATGGCACCGTTCTCGGTGGTGATGTCATTTGCCGCGTAAGCAATACCAAAGTCTGTCTCCCGCTTCGCAGGGTGCTTGGTGTGATGGCAATCATCCTGTCGACGCAGGCCCCAGCCAGGAGAACCGGGCTGGGAAGCATGCGCCACTGTAAGAGAGACTTGTGGCTCGGCTGTCGATACAGTGCGCTCTTTCTCGTAGTAGATGACGCAAGTGTCAGTCAAGAAACGCTTCGTGAGCTCGACGTATAGCGGATTCATGAGGAGGTCTGTAGCGAAAGTGGTGCTCCTGCCAGCCAGGCCGTATTCCTGCTCGCCTGTGATCGTGCCTACTTGTCCCAGCACTTTGTCAATCGTTTCCTCACTGGCCGCTTTTGAGATAATAGCAACACCATCACCCTTCAGGGCCTCGAATACGTCGCCAGCGTAGGCTGTGGGCGCGAAGCGCCTAATATCTGATGGAGCTGCAGAGATCATAGCGACGTAAAATGTGCTTTGTAATGTTGAGTAGAAGGTTTTTTTTCGTGATTGATATGATTCGTTTGAAGAATGTTGTCACTGTTAAATATCGCACAATGCGTTTTAGTCCCGAGACCGAACCTTCTCGACAGGGCTTGAGTGTCCGGGGCTGACGATGCCTCACCATACAAAGTCGGATAATTCAACGTTGCTTATCACAGTTGTCAGCGGCGCCTACGCGCAATCGCTTGTTCCGAGGCTATCGCTGCCAGATCCGGTCATCATAGCGCGACGCGCGCGAAACATATCTCTCTACACTCGGGGCCAGACGATTACACTTTACACGAGCAGTACTTATCTCTTGTCAGTGAGACTAGCCACGAATCGCCACACGGGGAAGCTCTAGCAGCTTTGGAATACTCTAGTCGCGACTAACCAATTATCTACTAGCGCTGACCCACCTTGTTGATTGTGCACACGCGATGAGCATCGATAAAACGGGAGGCTTTCAGGCTTCAGGTTAAAAAAGCATCTATTCATAACTCAGTTCTTTGATCTCTATTGCGAGAGTTGCAATCAAGTTCTTGCAATCCTGTCTACTTATCCATTCAAGGCAGCATGCCGAACCCTCCTCACCAGCGTAGTAACCCCGAGATCACCGCTCTGCCGGCTACCGCTCCCATTGAGGATATTGTCAATGTCATCAAACGTGATGGTGGTATCATCATCAAAAACTTCGTAAAGCCCGAAGATATCGACAAGATGGATCAGGAGGCAAAGCCTTGGTTCGACAAACTCCGGGGTTTGAAATATGAAGGAACGCTTTTTCCCCCAAGTGACCCGCCACTCAGGTCAGTCTTTTCTCCTGCTTCATTGGCATAAAAGAAGCTAAATGTGGTTGAAATCTAGTGGTTTCGCGGGCAAATCGCACACTTTTGTTCATAAATGCGTTAACCACCCCACGTACCGCGAGACCGCTAAAGCGCTTTTGAGAGAAGTCTCGTAAGTTCCGTCTTCTCAGTAAGAGACGTAATCTCTAACATCTGCAATAGATACCCGTTCCGCGACGGCAAACGGTATGAGTGTGTGTCAAACCCGGTCCTAGCTGTGTCTGAAGCCTTCTCACGTGGGGAGTCTGCTGCCCAGCCTCTTCACAGAGATGATATGGCTCAGCATTTCGAGCATCTTGAGGGGAGTGGAGAGAGCACGTTACTAGGCCTTCTTGTCGCTGGTACGGTACGTCAATGGGCTTTCAATACCACCAAAGTGATAAGAACCGCTACTAATTATTGTTGTATAGCGTTGCGTCTACGAAAACGGCGCCACACAAGTCATCGTTGGCTCGCACAAGTGGCCTGAAGCGGATCAGGTAGGCTCTGCCGATCGATCGCTTTGCTCAACGGCGGAAATGGAGAGAGGCGATGCTGTCATGATCATTGGTTCGATTTGGCACGGTGCCGGCGCCAACCAATTGAAAAATGAACGTCGCAACATCTACTCCTGTCACATGACGCGTGGATCTTACCGCGCAGATGAGAATCAGTACGTTGGTGTACCCATCGAGGTGTTGAAGACATATGAGCCGGAAGTTCAGGCCCTACTCGGCTACTCGGTCAGTGAGCCATTCTGCGGCCACGTTGGTATGAAAGACCCGATAACCCTCCTGGGTAGCAAAGAAGACCCTTTTGGGTACGGTCCGTTTGAAGGCAAGCCTGTCGAGAGTGTAGGTGCATGAAAAGGTACAGAAATTGTCCCAAGCGTAGCCATACAGCATAGATGAGAGGAAAAACACGTAGTTCCCGTATTCTCCAAGATAAGCTTTGAACCAATTTGATTTTTCGTATTTCACAGCAGAATGTTCAGTTCCAGTTCTAAGCCCACAACTACGTCTTTCCAACGCTTCACCCCGGTATCATCGTCGTCTAACGTGTCCCAGATGTTCTTCAAAACAAGTACAATCGAAAGAGGTGCCGTAAAATTGAGAGTCGTGTGCATACGCCGTAGCCGTGTCTCGTAGCACAACCGTGCTTTTTCCGTGCATGCATGTACGGCTATCATGAAGGCAGGCCACAAACATGCCTGGAGCCAGGACAGTTTTTGAAAAGAATCTAATGACGCATGCACACACGCCTGAATCAGTGGGTCGGACGATCGCAACCAGTAGATCTCGTGGTATACGAAGCAAAGCATTCCCTGCCTCCAGATGTTATTGAAATGCGTCTCGTCTGTCACATAGTCAGGGGTGACAGAAGCGGGTCCAGGTTGCCAGCTCGTGATATCTTGAACGAGATCTGCCGCTCTGGGCATCAAGCGTAGTAACTCGTCGTAGTTGCCTGGCTGACTTCTAATCCTTTCAATCTCTATCGCCAGGTCCGTCGCTTCGCGCAACAGGAGATGCATGCTGAAATCAGGCATGTTGGCCCACCAGTGATGCTGTTGTATGGCGAGGTCGGCATCATCGTCCTCATCATCTTCGGCTACACATGACAACATATGTGTGGTTAGCAAAGGACACACAAAATAGATCAAGGGGCAAAAACCTCGGTCAATGGGCGCGAGTCCAGCCATTGTGTGCGGATATTGCATTCCCAAGAGCAGCGCCCGACCCATGGTGGACATCCAATTGTACTGGACACGTACACAATTCATCTCTGCGGATACTCGACCTTTCATCTTTCGGAACCCGTGCTCAAGCAACCGACGACAACCAATAAGTTTAGAGCTCCATGAGTCCATGCCAGTTCCAATCACCTTATCTCGTTAGTTTAGAGTGTCGGATGGGTGAAGACACATACGTCAAGAACTATTGACAGAAGAACCGTCATCCCCAAAGCCCAGGTATCTTCCGTCAAACGAACCGCGTTGCGAAAAGAGTCTCTCATTGCGACGCGGTGGGTTCTAATGACTTCGTTGGGCAACTGGCCTAGCTTTGTCAGGTGCAGAGCAGATGCAAAAATGAGCACGTTTCGAAGGGGTAACGACTCTCTGGCTAGATTTCCGTAGACTGTCCCATAGGGGTTTCGTTCAGATTCAACTGTGGGCAGAAAGCGCGGGGCTACATGCGTGAGAACTGCACGCAAGCTCAGCGCTGTCCATTATGGACGTGAGTGTGCATTGACTTACAGTGGTTGAGCAAGTAGAGCTCAAACGAACTCAAAGACTTGTGTAAAACGAGGGTCTTGTGCATTGGTTGGCTATTGAAGGAGTCACATCGACCTTGAGAGGACGGGCGGCCAGACTGATTGCAACGTTCGCTTCTAACAAAATCACCTGCGTCTTCGTCGAAGTAACACGATGATTTGTCCGAGGATGGACAGATGTGCGACTGAGCATGCTGATATGGCAACATCGCTGCAGCAGGTCGTCTCTCTGGCGTATTCCAACGGACGAAATCTGATAATGTCCGCCTTTGGTCAAACAGCCCAGGTTGAGCCGGATTGATCGCACCAGTGGCCCAGGAACTTGCCTGGCTACCTCCGGCATCAGTAAACGTGTCACTACCACGCCACTCCAATGTTGGCAAGTTGGAATTTCCAATCTCTGTCGCATTTGCGTGTTCTTGTGAGAACTCACTGTACTGTTCCTGCATGGGATCTGCATGGAGGGTCATCGCATCGTCCATGAACATGTGATCAGCTGGGTTGATGAGCGACACGTCAGTTTGATCAGTGTCCGCATCGATATCAGTATCGGTAACAGGAGTACGAGGTGAAGGTGACGTGAGCTTTGGAATCCGAGTTCTCTCATTACGGCCGAGCTCCTCCATTTGCCTGGCGCGTCTTGGTTTCGGGCGAAGCTGTGTGCCGGGGATGTCTCTCGAAAGCCTAGATACCATTTGTAGTTGACCATTTGGGCCACTACAAGCAGTGAAGTCGGTTAGACGGATACTGTACCCACCGCATTCAACACCTCGTAATTGGCAATTGATACAATGTGGTTTCGTTTCATCGCACTTTTGATGTCGCTTACGACAAGTCAAGCAGCCTATAGTGTTTCGAATCAGGATGTGCTAGTGAAGGCCGTAACAAGGGTCCGCACCGCTTCGAGATCTGGTACTTTTTACTACACGCGGTGGCTGTGCAATCTTTTGAACGGTCGCCATGTTCTTGATGTGAAGTAGTGCGCAATCGATTGCAATTGTGCATCAGTAGAGGGGGTAGAGGAGAAGAGTCGTCGTGGGAGTTCAACCTGATTGTCGTAACGGCACCAGGCTTAGAATGCTCTAGTGTAGAACCTGAACCCACGAATCAAAGGACCGCGATAGTCAGACTCAGATAAGGATCACCACGTGACTTACGAGATACGCGAAACGTTGAACGTGTCACCCGCGGCTATATTCTCCCTTTTAACCTTAGTGCAAACCGCCCTGATCCGGACCAACGACGCCACCTTAAGATATCTTCAACGTTATAGTCGTCCACGGCATAATTGCAAGGCCGCACACATGTGCGAACCTTCAGTCAAGACGAAGGAAAATCAAGCAGCAGCTGTAGGCTCGACCCTTGACATGCGGAACTGACGAGCGAGCTGAGCTGGATGGGAGCGGCCTAGAAAAGGACCATGCTGCATTGGGAGAAACTTCGCTATCTTTTCTCACACGATGGCGACTTTCATAGGTTCGCGATATCACCGGCAACCTATCACAACAACAGCCTTATGAGATAGAGGCGTCGAGAGACAACGGGTCCCTATCTAGTGTATCTTTATCACATTGGGCTCTGGACCTAAGACCACTGCCTTTGTGGGATAGCGAGGTGGATGCAGTGAAGAAGACTTTGTACAAATATACAGCGGAGAAGGTATGAGCTGGATAACACGCAAGAATTTTCTTGCCGGCCATCGACGACTGTGATCTCTAGTCGTAAAAGGGACACCATGCCTGTTTCAGAAAATGACGCTACACATCAACTGCCCCATACATTCGGGCTTTGGAGTGGTATCAGTGTAGGATGGCTCACCTTGAACGTCTTTGGAGGCATGTCCTTCATCCTCTTTGTCGGTCTTTCCGCAGGAGGAATTCCCACTATACTTTACAGCTTGTACGTATTCTGAAGACCCGAAGTTCCTGATCGATAGAGTATTACTGACACGTAAACTCAGTATTGGATCCTGTTTTTGTGTCATCTGCATCATCTTGACCTTTGCACAATGTGCTTCGCGTTTCGCTACGGCTGGTACGAACTATCAAGTGCTTCCTCAGAGCAGATCACTGACACTCGACGCAGGCGGCGCCTATCACTTCGCCACCTTCTTACTGCCCAAGAAATATCGCCGGCAATGCGCGTATCCTCTTGGTTGGCTCAACTACTGCGGTTGGGTCTTCACCCACGCGGCTTGCTGTGCCATAGTTGCAACATTGACCATGGCGTTGGTAAATCTCTGCGACGATGACTTCGATGTGAGTACCAGGTGGCAGCTCTTCCTCGTATATGTTGCGGTAGCTGCCACCTGCTGGATCATCAATCTCTTCGGGCTTAAGGGCATCCCGACGTTGGAGGTGATAGGGTGCTGGGCGACCGTGCTAGGCTTCATAGCGTTCACGGTTGCACTATTGGTGAAAGCTCCAAAAGCTTCCGCTCGTGACGTGTTCATCAAGACGAACAACAGTACTGGGTAAGTAAAAAAGACGCAATAGACCTCTCTTCGAGCTTTGATGCTGATCTTGAACCAGATATTCATCCACCTCCTTGGCGATCTTACTCGGCCTGTTCAACAGTTTCTCGACCCTGATGGGCCTCGACTGCCCAACACATCTTGCCGAAGAGGTCAAGGGGCCCAAGAAGATTATTCCCCGTATATTGGTGGTTGTCATTCTTTCGCAGACCATTGTAGGTGTCGTTTGGATTCTTGCCCTTGGGTTCTCCATCACAGACCTGGAGGCCATTACAGCAACATCTACGGGTGTTCCAATCCTTGAGCTCATCCGACTTGGAACTGGTAGCAATGCGGCTGCAATAGTATTCTGTATCATTCTACTTGTCAACAATGGCGCATCAGCACTAGGTGCTGCGGTGACCATGAGTCGTCAAGGATATGCTTTTGCCCGAGACGGAGGACTGTTCTGGAACAGCAAGCTCACCGAACTTTCGCCTCGCACACAACTCCCTGTATGGTCTATCAACATGCCGTCCGTCGTTGTCGTGGTAATTGGGCTCATCTACCTGTTCTCTTCGGCTGCTTTCAATGCCATCATTGGCTCACAAGCCATTTGCATGATCATCAGCTTCGGCTGCCCTGCTCTGATCATGCTACTGACCAACGGGTCTACGTTGCCAGAGAGCCCGAATTGGAACTTTGGGCGCTGGTCTAAGCCTATTTACATAGTGTCCGTGGCCTACTGCATATTGGTAGCCATTGTAGCGCTGGTATGTACCCCCCGCCTTCTTACAAGCATCTTGCTAATCACACTCCTCTACAGATACCGCAAGTCCATCCTGTGAACGCGATGAGCATGAACTACACCAGCCTGATAATTAGCATTTTTCTTATTGCGATGTCGCTGGCATGGTTCTTTGAGGGACGGAAGCTGTTCTCACCTCCGACCTACGTTGAGCTCGAAGCTGAGGTACTCCAAGGCCAGGATCTAGACGTAGATGAGGAGAAGATCTCCGGACCCGTTCTTAGCGATAAGAAGCGGACTAGGTCAGCATTGAATCTTCCATCTAAGCACGATAGTCGAGAAGTAGCTGATTTTAGTACATGTACTTTCATCGAGACGTAGATCCAGTTGGTAGACACGAGGTAATAACCTCCAGTATCTCTACTGGAGATCCTACAGTCACACGCTTGTAAGACTTGCATCTGTCTAGTGCACCCATACAACATTGGTGAAGTTTTGTAATTTTACTCCTAGGCTGTGGTCTCCTACAAGTGTCCTATCTGTGAAGAATTGGATCTAAAGAGGTTACGTCATCTTTTCTGTCTTCAGAACAGCCGCATCTGAGTCTTGATTGTATTTTCGTTACTTATGATACACTACAGCGCACGGACACTATAACAATTTTTACTTATACGCTTAGTGGTGTCTTTCTGGTTCTCCGGTCTTTCTCTGAATCCCAAGTCTCATCTTCGTCTACGTTGCTAGTTGATTGTTACACACCCACGACTATCTCTAGTACAGCTTGGATGCAAGTGATCCAGAATCTCCACATTCTGTACGGCTTGCAGTCAGTAAAATTGCAGCTCAGAAACATGCGCTTGCACTGATCGTACCTCCGATACCGCAGGGTGCGGCAAGTCTCCATCAGGGTAAGACTCAGGACGCTGTCCTGACAGGTGTCCAACAAGCGTTAACAAAGCGGATAATCAATGTTCGAGCTTGTCGCTACACGATCAGGGCTATGCACCATTTTTGTGCTCGGTTATCCTTTTGGTCGACGCAAACAGCGCCAGTTCGATTAGGCACAGTGCTAGCTTAGCCGTGTCTTTGTTCTAGCCGACGAAGAACCCTTGGAAGAGCGATCCTCCGTTAACGGTAGTTGCACCTTTGTAGTGCGGGCCACCTTGAGTGATTCCTAGGACTCACGACCCTGGCGCACCACCTATCTCAGAGCTGCTGCAATATGTGGACGGATCTCAAGCAATCTCCCGAGTGGACCTGATATCATCCGCTGCTACGACAAGCACTTCGACCCATCGGCGAACCTTACCAGTAACGGGGACAAATCCTGAGTCATCAACTGCACGGAAGTTCGTCATGTCCGCGTGGTTTTGTCGTGCTGCTATCGGGAAATAGTCTCGTAGTGTGACAGAATGCGCCGAGCTGACTGGCGGACTTTGAGTAGATTACGCTCTAGCACCTGATCAGTGTATGACTCACAGTTTGAACGCCGGGCAGAGGCAGCTCCTCATAAAAACATGTGATCTCAATTAGTGCAAGCCCGTCGTGGTTGCCTGCACGGATCATAGTGTGGAAGCAACCCTGGGTCCGCTCTAGCACTTCCGAGTCGCTTTTAAGGACCACGAGGATGTCAGCATTAGTTTGTTCGAGCACACTCATAGCCTTAGCCAGACTCTCCGCCCATTGTGCTAGGCCTGAGCCGTGTTGCAATGTGCCGAGAAACACAACGTTACTATAGCGTTCAAAGACTCTTAATGTGCGCTTCTGCTGTTTCCGTATTCTAGCGAGAGCCTGAGGGCGGATCAGCAGCCGTAGTCAGCTCATCGCTCAGATCAACAGCCTACATCCGCTCACACAAGCCTTTACGCAAGCGACATTTGTAGAGGATCCCTGTTAGCCTAGGTCTACCCCTATCACTTCCAGCCAACAGCGGTCCTTAGCATCTGCTAGCCCTTGTCAAACTAGTCTTCAGTCGAACGGTCAACGTGCTAGGATGCTCTGCTCCGAGATCTCTCTTGCACATTCTGAGCACCTCCTCTTGCAGCTTCTCCGCATTCTTCCACCAGTCATAGTCCCAGTATCTCGACGACAGGTTGTGCATGCTCGCTAGCGTGTCTGGTGGCTGACCGCTAGCTTTGCCTTGCCCTTTTCTATCACTTGCTCTAAGCGTGTACGACAGAGTTTTACGGTTACAACGCGCACTTCCTGCAATTCTGCGATAGAAGACCTTTTACCAGACCTTATAGTATCAATTTGCTGCAGTATATTAGTAATGCCAGGCATGGTGGTGGTTGAATCACGCTTCGCGGGTACGGTGTCACACTGGGGTATGGCACGCGAACATGGCTGACGCGTGCACAGACACGGTACCTAGGTACCGTACGACAGCGGGATGTCGTTAGTCTGGGATTCTGGCCCATCCTTGTGCACTCGACTTCTCCAGTTTAAACAGTGGCATGGTTTCACGACCTGTGAAGCCACGTCACGGTTGATAGATAAGGTCTTCTCTTCCGCAAGCCTACTTGATATCTCTTGATCCACAGCGCTTGCAATCCTACGCATAGCCGGGAAGCCAGGGACGTCTCGGCAATCCAAACAGCGGTTCTCCGATCCGTCGCCACTCCAGTATCAGCGCTCTGAGGCTCTCTCAGCTAGTAGATACATACTCGATCTTGAGATATTAGCTGCTGGTGTATACCTACGGAAATGGCCTCAGCCTCGGCTTACCCATCGAGCCTCGCACGGTCGTCAATGGGGCAACGCAAAGTCGCAATTCCACGGCAGCTCAAACCTTTTCAAAACACAAGTACAACAAAGGATAGGCACCGGGTTTCTCGAGCGTGCACAGCTGTATGTCCAGATTCATTACTCCCGAACAGCAATCAAGACTGATCTCACTGACCGACATTAATATCCGAGACTGACAAGCCTATTATTCTACTAACGATGCTTCCCTCAACTAGTGTCGGCTACACAAAATCAAGTGCAATGGTGGGCGACCGCGATGTCAGCATTGCATGACCACAAATCGGGATTGTGTATACATTCTACCTCGCTAAGATCGGCTGAAGACGTGAGTACGGTGTAGTCCATGACAAATCATCCTGCGCTGATAGACGAAGCATCATGAGACAGTGTCATGAGATGGCTACACTCCTGAAGAGACTGAGATCATATGCAAATACAGAAGACCACGTCAGGATTGGGCAAATCTTGAAAGATGTAAGCTTCCCCGACATATGTACTCGAATATCGTTCCTATGGCTAACGATGGCTCAGCTAGAAGGGGAAATGCCAGTATCTAGCCATCCAACAGCGCCCTTTGAACACGCCACGAGCGCCAACGGTACAAAAGAAACTCCAAAATCTGGTCCGCTGAACAACTGCAATGAACTTGATCAGGGACCAATGGATCCATTTGATGAGGATCTGAACGCTAATAATCGAGCTCGTGCCACTAGCTTTGTCGGGAGAAGCTCCGTGGTGCAATGGCTACGTGAAGTTGCAACGGCGCACTCAGAGCGAACGAGACGAAGCCCTGGCCAACATCCTGAACAATGCAGCTCGGCACTTGACAACGAAGCAACAAGTTTGTACAGCTTTTGGACCGACGGCGATAATCTCGAAGATGAACCTTACGTTGACTCTTACAAGCTACCCTCCCTAGAGATTGCTGAAGGTCTTTTAGATTGCTACATGAGTAAGGTGCATGATTCTTTCCCTATATTGATTCGCGCAACTTTCGAAGAACAGTTTCGCAGCTACTTCACTGCCTCACAGAACGACGGTTCCCCTTACATCAGTCGAGGATGGCGGGCTATTGTCAATCTAGTCTTTGCCATCGGTGCATACTATTCATACCTAGCGAAGCCAGATTGGCGAACCAATGAACGCGATCATATCCTCTATCAAGCAAGGGACAGAGCGTTGCACCTGGAGAAGGCTACCTTGACTTGTGATGTGGACATAACACAGGTAAAGGGGCTTGGGCTCCTTGCATTTTACTGGATGTCAGTTGGGCAAATCAGCCGGTAAGCTACTAATCAGATATACACCCAAACTCCCAAGAATTGCTGCTAATGAAGCAAAGTGCCTGGACAATCGTTGGCACAGCCCTCCGCTTTGCGTACCGGCTCGGGCTCCATGTTGACAACAACGACACTACCATACCGGAAGCAGAGCAGGAAATAATGAGACGGACGTGGTGGAGTTTGTACTCACTCGAGCAAAACCTTTGCGCTACAACAGGTCGTCCAAGCATAATAGTGGAATCTTTTTGTTCGGTCCCATTACCGGTCCCTGTCACAGAAAAACAGGCGATTGCAACTGGGTACCGGATGTGCGACGACAGCGCAAGCCTCGTGTTTAGGACCCAGGATCGACCTCCCAACATCTCGAAACTCGCTCTTGAATCAGTAGCATCAAACACCACGAACACAAACCCTGGGTCGTTTTTCACGGCTACGGTCCAATTGTATATGATCATACAAGATATACTCACGTCACTTTACTCTGCAAACTCCTTGGTCAGAGCCGCACAAGAAACCCAGCAGACCATGGTCGATCTAGGCCAGCGCCTCGACCAGTGGGCACTATCACTTCCCAAGGAGTTCAACTTCCATGAACTAACCACCGAAAACATTGAGTTTAATCGTGAACGTGTGCTCATTGGTTTCCAGGCTTGTAGCGCGAGAATGATGCTGACACGACCGTGCCTAGGAGCACAGGGAGAAGTCTGGAAAGAAGGAGTCGAGGCGAGCTTTGCCCGAAGAATGGGCGATGGCTGTATCGAGGCAGCAATAATGATCGTGGATTTCTTACCTGATCAGCCCAGTTCTGGGTTCATGTACGGTCAGGGGCCTTGGTGGTGTGTCGTCCATTATCTAATGCAAGCAGTCTCGATCTTTTGGCTAGGTTTGTCATACCCTTACGTTAAGCCACATGACGGAATGACGCTAGTTCGATATACCAAGAAGGTCGGTCGATGTTTGCAAGCCATGCATGATCCTATGGCTCAACGCGCCTTTAGAGTGGTTAAAAACCTGGTGGAATCTCTACCGAGCCAGTGGTCGTCAGGTGTCCCTGATCCATGGAGGGGAGGCTCTCCGCACGCAGAGCAGACGCAGAAGGACCACAGCAATGATTGGAAGCCTGCCCGTCGACCGTTATCGATCCAAGGCCTTATCCAGTGACCGCTCGGGGGCATGGGATGGAGGACGGCACCGCATTTTCCTATTCCACAAGCGATCTTTGCAATTTTGATCTGCCATGCAACTCGATGAAACTGTGCTCCGAATGACGTTGTGTGACAAATGGTAAAACACCAAACACATTGACGACACGAAATTTGGTATTCGCCCAGTTTATTGAACGCAAACGTTCGCTTATGGCGCCGATCGACAAGCTAGAACTCAGCCGTACCGTGTCCGTGCGCGCAATGCGCGGATTCGCGCAATGCGCGGGATCACCAAAACACCTCTATTATCTCAGCCCCACAACAATACAACGCGATGGGATTAGAAGAAGCTCTTCAAGAGTGTGATACTTTTGTATCTCAAGATGATATTCCTTGGTCTAAAATAGCTGAAAAGTATGGTGTTGTACGCTCAACGTTGACGCGAACCTACCGACGCGAAACGCGATCGCGTCAAGCGCAGGCAGTTGCACAGCAAAAGCTCACCCTACAACAAGAAGTAGAGCTTGTGAAGTATGTAGAAGAGCTTACCAGTCGTCGAGTTCCACCTACACGAGAGATGATTCGAAATTTTGCGTCAGCAGTAGCCAAAGAGCCAGTCTCCGAGAGCTGGGTTACGCGCTTTATCAACAAGTACACCATCAATCTTATCTCTAAATACTCCACTGGAATGGACTCTGATCGTCACAACGCTGACTCACACTCAAAGTACAAGCTCTACTTCGACCTGCTGCAGGCCAAGATTGATGAGTATAACGTTGAGGTGGAAGATACATACAATATGGATGAGAAGGGGTTCTTGATTGGTATCACCACTAGGACCAAGCACGTGTTCAGCAGGCGTATGTGGGAGAAGGGGGAGGTTAAAGCAACGCTTCGAGATGGTAATCGTGCCTGGGTGACGCTCATAGCCTGTGTGTGCGGTGATGGATCAGCACTGCCCCCAGGCCTCCTATACGAGTCTGCCAATAACACTATTCAAAAGAGCTGGGTAGAGGAAATCAAGGCAGGCGAGCACAACGCATTTGTTTCCTCATCGCCTACTGGCTGGACCAACAACGATATAGGCCTTGCCTGGCTCAAACAGGTCTTCAATCGCTTCACCAAGGCCAAGGCTCGAAGGAAGTACCGCCTTCTGATTCTTGATGGCCACGGCAGCCACGTAACGATGGACTTCATCAACTACTGCGATAAGAACAAGATACTCCTAGCCATCTTACCTCCCCACTCAACCCACACGCTCCAGCCACTTGATGTGGTGATGTTCAAGCCTCTATCAACTGCATACTCAAAGGAGCTCACAACGTACCTTCACCATGGCCAGGGACTGGCAAAGGTCAAGAAGAGTGACTTCTTCCACCTCTTCTGGAAGGCCTGGGTAGGTACATTCACCCAGGAGTTGATACTCAGATCGTTTGAGGCAACTGGGATAGCCCCCCTCCAACCCAACGTTATCCTTCAACGATTTGAGAAGCCATCCCTAGAGGCCTCTGATAGCAATTCAAGCTCTAATTCAGTCTATTCTGGCAAGGATTGGCTCAAAATTGAGACCTTACTGCGTAAGGTAGCTAAGGATGAAGGTAGTAAGGAGCTGAGGAAGATCAGCCGTTCACTCCACCACATTTCAATTCAGAACTCACTACTCCACCACGAGATAGCAGGCCTAAAGGAGGTCCTAAAGACCCAGAAGAAGCACAAGAACAAGAGCAGGACTCTTAATCTGCAACAGAAGAAGTGGGCACAAGGTGGAGCAGTTTTCTGGTCGCCTCGGAAGGTAGAGGAAGCTCGTCAGCGTGAGAAGACTAAACAACAAGAGCAGCGCGCAGAGGAGCCTAGAAAAGCTGAGATGGCTGAGCTTAGGAAGGCTAATAAGCTATACAAGGAGAAGATTGTAGAGGAGAAGCGTGTGCGGCGAGCAAGAGAGAAGGAAGAGCGTGAGCAGGCCAAGGCTCAGAAGGCTGCAGAAGAAGCCGAACAGAAAGCTATAAAGGAGCGTGATAAAAAGCTTCAGAACTCTCAAAAAGCCATACAATTATCCCAAAGAGGCAGAGGCAGGCCCTCAAAAGCTGCAGCAGCTAAGAAGAAGCCTGCGCGTTGTGGTGTAGGTGCTCGTAGGGCACCTAAGCCTGCAACGCCTCCTCCACCTCCTCGTACCCATAAGACCCGTAGCGGCCGCACTGCAACTCTATATAATTAAGTTATATAGCAAAATCTCTTTATATATATCTACAGAACACTCTACTACATTATTATATAGTAATAGCTATTGTACGTGGTTGTGCAGCCTCATTATTACAGGTACCTATTAGGTGGGTTCGGCGCATTGCGCGAATCCGCGCATTGCGCGCACGGACACGGTAATTAGCAGCGGACTTGCCAAGTGCTCGTGACGCAGCCCGCTACCGGTACCGTGTCCGTGCACCCAATGCACGGATTCAACCAATGCACGGGGAACGCGATTTGCAGCCCAACTTCAACGCGTAATTACTCAACCACCAATGCCAGGAATTAAAGAAGCGCTTGACGAAATTAGTGCTTTAAAGCCTGATGAAAAACTTTGCTATACTACAATTGCGAGAAATCATGGTGTTGATCGCTCCACGTTGTCGCGCACGCATCGACTCAATCAGGGTCCTTGACGCGTCGCAAACGAGAACTAGCAGAAACTCAACCACTAACAAGAAGTAGACTTAGTTAAGTATATAGAAACATTGACAGCGCGTTACTGTACACCTACTAGGCACATGATACGAAATTTTGCATCCTCTGTTGCCTTAGAGCCCTGCTCGGATAGCTGGGTTACGCGCTTCCTCAACTGTTACTATGACAAACTTACCTACCAATGGAGCACGGGGATGGACTCCAATCGCCACAACGCTGATTTAGTACGAAAGTACGAGCTTTACTTTGAGCTTCTGCAAGCCAAAATCACTAAGTATAAGCTGGAGCCTGAGCACACATACAATATGGATGAGAAGGGGTTCGCAATTGGGGTGCTAGGGCGTACTAAACGGGTGTTTAGTAGGCGTCAATATGAGAAGAAGGAGGTCAGGCAGGCTCTTCAAGATGGCTCACGTGAGTGGGTGAGCCTTCTGGCTTGCATCTGCGCTGATGGTACTGCTCTTCCTCCTGGCATTGTCTTGGGGTCAAAAAACTCCACTATACAAAGCAGCTGGGTGGCAGATATTGAGGCAGGAAAGCACTTAGTTCACGTCGCCTCTTCGCCGTCGGGATGGACGAATAATGACATAGGATTGGCCTGGCTTGAGCAGGTTTTTAACCGTTATACAAAGGCAAAGGCACGGTTAAAGTACCGCCTCTTGATTGTAGATGGCTACGGCAGTTACCTGACTCAGGATTTCCTCGAATACTGTTACTAGAAACGGATTATACTTGCAGTTTTACCCCCTTACAGTACCTAGACGCTGCAGCCCCTAGATGTAGTCTGCTTTAAACCTCTTGCTTCCAACTACTCCTACGAACTTGATAACTACCTCTAGGCATCCTAAGGCCTCTCCCCACTATTAAAAGCCGACTTTTTCAGACTTTTCTGGCCTGCCTGGGTGGCTACGTTCCAGGAAGATCTCATACTCAAGGCCTTCACAGCCACTGGCATATCCCTAGTTAACGCCGACGTTATCCTTGATAGATTCTGCCACGCAACCCCTGACGACTTAGGATTAGTCTCCTCTGGTTCTACAGCTTATTCTGCAGAAGACTGGCTTAAAGCTTGCACCACGCTTCAAGCAGAAGTCAAGGATCACCGCAGTGTAGGTGCGCGGAAGCTGGGTCAAACTATCCATCACCTATTAACCTAAGTTGAGTTACTTCAGGTTGAAATTGATGGCCTGCGGAAGGAGCTATACTGAAAGCGGAAGCGTTAGAAGCAACCTAACAGGCAATTGGACCTGCAACAGCATCAGGAGTATCATGGAGGTGCAATGATGTGGTCTCCTCGTGCCTTCTGGGAGGCGCGAGCTCGCATGGAAGTACAAGAACGAGAGAGGCAAGAAGAGGAGCTAAAAAAGGTAGAGATGAAGGAGTTAGCAGCCGCTAATAAGCTATATAAGGAGAAGATTGCAGCAGAAAAGCGTGATCAACGGGAGAAGGAGAAGGCAGCGAGAGACCAGGCGCGGGCGGAGGAGCGAGCAGCTATAGAGGAACGCAAGGCTAAAAGAAAGCGCCAGAAGCAAGCTCGCGACGCTGAAAAAGCTCTATAATTATCCCAAAGAGGCAATCGCAAGACTTCAAAAGCTTCTACAGTCAAACAGAAGCCTGCGCGTCGTGCTGTGGGTGCTCGTAGTCATCCCAAGCCTGCGACGCCTCCTCCACCACGCGCTACTGTCACTACCCGCAGTGGCCGCACCGCCACAAAATATAAGTAGATTTGTATAAGAAAGTTTGTCGCATAGGTCTATAGAACACTCCGTCAAGATATCTCACGATAATAACTATTGTGTGTGGCTGTACAGCCTCATTTTTGTTGTTGCAGTGTAGGCTCGGAGCGTGCATTGGTTGAATCCGTGCATTGGGTGCACGGACACGGTAGTGGCACCTCTGTGCCCCGACGCGAGGGCACGTACGCTGCACGTCGGCGGTAGTCTAGCCATGCCATGCTGCCTCTGGGAAGCTAACATGGTCACCCAGAGACCCCGTCTTACCAACGTAGCTTGAATCGCCCATGCCCTACCATCTGAGGACCTCAACACGATCAATGAAGTACGCAGCAATCTTCCCCCGCGAACGCGCGGTGCATGGTAGCCTTGTGTCTGCCAGACGCGTGCACACAATGGTCGCTCGACCCACGCTGCCCATATTCTCGCTCGCCAACAAGACTGCGGTCATCTCGGGTGGCGCTAGAGGCTTGGGGCTGGCCATGAGCCGATCGCTGGTCCTGAGTGGTTCCAACCTCGCCATCATCGACCTTCACAGTAAAGCATCCACCTAAGCCTATGACACGACGTAGAACTATCAGCAAGAAGAGACGTCGTGTGCTGACATGCTATCCCGATTGCAGAACAGGACGCTGCTGAACGAGCCATCGACATTGCGCACGAGTTTCGGCAACTACACCCAGGCCAGCCGTAAGCTACGAAACACAAGAGTGGTTGTGCGCACGTTGATCAAGTTTGCAGGGTGCCTCACATCACAGTTCATTACGCCGATGTGGCAAAGCAGGCCGAAGTCGACAGGTCGATCCGCGACGTGCTCAATGAGCACCATGAGATTTCGAATCTGATCACCTGCGCTGGATATTGCCAGAACATAGAGGCCATCAGTATGACGCCTGAACAAATCAAGGCCATGCTCAGCGTCAATCTGGAGGGCACCTTCTATTGTGCTACCGCTGTTGCCAAGCACCTGATGGCGTCGAGAAAGCCTGGGAACATGATCTTCACCGGAAGCATCAGCGGCAGTATCGTGAATGTACCTCAGCCCCAGGCTATGTACAACTCCAGTAAAGCAGCAGTACGGCATCTGGCAGCCAGCTTGGCTGTCGAATGGGCGAGTCACTCTATTCGCGTCAACTGCCTGAGTCCTGGCTACATGATCACCGAGCAGGCAATGTGCGTTACCAACTAAACACAACAATGCATCGAGACAGCTGACGGATAGTAGGAAGGCACCAATTCTGGCAGAAACCCCAGGCTTAAAGGCAGTGTGGGAGGCCAAGATTCCTCAGGGTCGAATGGGCCCGCCTGAGGAACTGATGGGTACGGTAGCGTTCCTGGCATCGGATGCTTCCAGCTACATCACGGGGCAGGAGATCAAAGTAGATGGGGGCTACACCGTGTGTTAGTGCTTACTCCTGATATGTCGCGGGAGCTAGATCATGCAGTCGCACAATGCAACTCAAGAATGGAAACCGACTAGCCTCATTGAAGACCGCATGCGTCCTGACACGAGATAAAACTTCAACCACAATGCTGCCGCAGCCTCACGGCTAGTGGTTCCGAGTAGTGATATAAGTCGTGCGGCAAACGAAGATTGCCAAGATCAGCTGATGCCAGAGTACCTAGTGAGCTAATCAAACCGTTTGATAAATATCGGTTTATTCTGACCCCGCCTCAGTCTCACCATGTTCGACGCACATTCTTCCCTCACTCCCCCCCCCCCCCCCCCCCCCCCGCGTATTTTAGCAGATCATAACGCAGTGTTGCCATCTTGCCCTCTCTGTCTTTGCCAGCGCAGTCATGGTATCGTCTACAGATAGTAGCATTTACGAATACCCTGCACAACTCGCGTGCAAAAAGCATGGCTATTTTGCAACTGCGCCGGCGGAATCGATACTCGAGCGAAAGGCTGCTTTTTTGATACACGACCGCCGTTTTTCCAAAATCCTCGGCGACAGCCCAATTCTTAGTGTTACTGTCGAGGATCCAATTCGGCCCTTTGCTCATGAGGCAGGTGTCTATATTCCAGCCACTGGCGATGTCTTCATCACAAGCAGCCACCTCGTCAAAGATGGAGAGAAGCACGTTCAGATCTCTCGCGTATTCCCGAGCCACGGAAAAGCGAGCGATATCAATGGCATGCACCAACTTGGCCATGGTATGGAACTTGTGCATCCTGAGCCAAACATCATAATGGCGAACGGCGGCGTGAACTACCGGGATGGTGTGCTTTTTTGTGAACAAGGAAATCTCACCGAACCTGGTGGCCTGACTTACATGGATGGCCATCGCAACTCCACGACTGGAGAGTACACTACTACGAACCTACTCTCCAGCTACTATGGCCGCTGGTTCAATTCCGTCAATGATATTGTGGTGCACGCCAATGGCAGCATCTGGTTCACCGATCCGCCGTATGGGTATGAACAGGGCATTCGTCCCGTTCCGCAGCTTCCTGCTCAGACATATCGCTTCGATCCATCTACTGGTAATGTAAGAGCGGTGGAAGACAGCCTGAAGAAACCAAACGGCCTGTGCTTCTCGCCGGATCAGAGAGTCATGTACATTACGGATACCGCGGGCGTTCGAGGAGCCACGACGTGCCCGGGTGTGTACTCCCGCACGGGGGCAGCTTCCGTCTACGCCTTTGACGTTGTGACGAGGAGCGGTGGCCAGTTTCTCACCAACAAGAGGCTATTCGCCTTTGCAGACCGGGGCATTCCGGACGGCATCGAGTGCGATCGGGCGGGCAACGTCTACAGCGGATGCGGGGACGGTGTGCACGTTTGGGCAGCCGATGGAACGCTGATTGGGAAGATTGTCATACCAGGCGGATGCGCCAATTTCTGTTTCGGGCAGGCAGGAGAGCTCTTCCTGCTCAACGAGCGGCAGATATGGAGAGTGCAATTAGCGGTCACGGTACGTGGCGACTTGCTAGGATTGTGAGTCGTTAATGGTAGACTCCTCTGCCGAAGGAGTTCTACGTAGCATATTCAACAGTCATCTTTGCAATCGGAAAGAGTAGATGGAGTTTGATTCGTTTGATACACATGAAATAGGAGCATTGAGGCTCTAGATAGGGCTGTGCTCTACGCATTCCCGTCATGCCCTTTGGTGAAACATACGCATCAACCCACGAGCCAATACTAGGGATTGGTGACATGGACCACTTTAGCAGATGCCGATGACGCCGTTGACGGGAATGTCGATGCTCGTTGTGTAGCTCGCCGCATCACTGAGCAGATAGACGTATGCACCGCCGAGTTCCTGCACCTCAGCCAGCCTTGGGATTCCCCGGTAGTACTTCAGTTGCGTCTCCCAGTCGGCTTGCTTCTCGACCCAGTATGTCATGGCCGTCTTGACCAGACCAGGCGACACGGAGTTGACTCGGATGCCCTTGGTCGCCCACTCCATCGCCAGCGTGTGCGTCATATTCCGAACGCCGCCCTTGGAGGCGCCATACGGGGCCGAGGGAACCACTTTGTTCGGGCCATAGCTAGCCATGGAGGCGGTGAAGACGATGCTACCCTTGACATCCTGCTTGATGAATGCTCTTGCGGCGACGCGGGCAGTATAAAAGGCCCCGAATAGCTGGCGGATATGTTGTTAGTATTTATATCGATGGCTATTGCGCTGTGTCAAGAGCGAGGTAGACGTCAAGTAAGACCGGACCAAGTACGACTCACGTTGACAGCAAAGAGCTGCTCGACCTCTGACTTGGTAAAGTCCAGCGCGCCCTTGTGATTTGTCCGCCCGGCATTCACGACCACGCCATGCAGCGCTCCAGCTTGCTCCAACACGCTGTCGACGGCTTGCTGGATGCTCTCTTCGTCCGTGACGTCGGCCTTGAGGGCAAACAGGCGGTCCGGGTAGACGTTGGCAATGGTCTTGAAGTCGTCACCGACTTCGTCCGCATAGTCTATGCTGAAGACCTTACCTGCGCCGTTGGCAAGGCAGCACTCGGCAATGCCGAGTCCGATCCCGCGATTGGCACCAGTGACTGAAACGACTGGGTCAGCTACGAGCTCGCGAAAGCGTACGGGCAGGACGTACTTGCTATCACTTTGCCCTCAAGCGTGATTTGCATCTGAACGGGGACATGGTCAACCGCTGCGGCTGTGTTGTTGACAGAGCCCATGGTCGTTCGAGGGAGCGAAGATGTCGTAACAATAAAAGGAGAGGTGCGACAGATACCGCCAGCGCCGCTCGACACACATCGCCTCCTTTAACTGGAAATCTACCACGCATGGGCGACGCGACGCAGCGCCCTGCTCTCAGAGTCTGCTCTGCGTTGAGAGTCTCGTGACGCGCACGTCCATCTTGCCGCGTCTGCCCCATCCCTCTAGCTGCGCGCAAACGGGCTGCTTGAGCCCCCGGCTCGAGGGCTTTCGGGCCGAATTGTCAAGTGGAACACAACACGACCACGATCATGATCACCGCCAAGGAGGCGCGGATGACAGGTTGGAGGACGCTTCAAGAGCCTATATGTTCGGACGCCGCGCGCGGTCATTGCTTCTTCTCGCCTTGCAGAATGAGCATCGCAAGTTCATCTCGAAAAAGCAATACCAATCATGCATGCTTTCATGTCTACTGCCTACATGCCACGCATGCTTCTGCGTGGCATTGCCAAGACCCAACTCGCTCGCACCCCTTCGCGCAGCATTTCGCAGAAAACCTACACGCTGAACAACGGTACTAAGCTGCCTGCGATTGGCTTCGGTACGTTCCAGGACAAGGAGCAGCAGGAAAGTGCAGTGTACAACGCGCTTAATGCCGGTGTCAAGCATATCGACACGGCCAAAGTGTAAGCGCTCTGTGCCGTGCGGAAGCGCTCAACGGGCTACGTCAACTTACGCAATGTTCAACAGCTACGATACCGAAGATTTCATAGGCAGAGCGATCCGCAAAGCTGGCGTGCCACGCAACGACTTGTTCCTCACGACCAAACTGTGGTGCAATGACTTCCATCCCGACGACGTCGAGCCTGCGCTCGATGAAGCCCTAGCCAAACTGGACACCCCATTCATCGATCTGTTTCTCATGCACTACCCTTGCACCTTTAAGAGGGGTTCTGAGCGCTTCCCCAAGGGCGAAGACGGCGTGATGCAGATGGGCGACACCACCTACGTAGACACGTGGAAGGCTATGGAGCAGCTCGTGAACAAGGGAAAGGCAAAAGCCATTGGAGTGTCCAACTTCAGCAAGAGCGAAGTACAAGGCCTTCTCGACAACGGTTCCATGGTAGGGGCACCCTCCCTCATTTGTGGTGTCTCACGCTACGATCCATTACTGACAACGTAAAACACCTAGGTCCCTGCTGTGCACCAAATGGAGCTTCACCCATACCTTCAGCAGAAGAATTTCGTGGAGTGGCAGAAGTCCAAGGGCATTCACATGATGCAGTTCAGCCCGCTCGGTAACCAGAATAACTTCTACCGTGACATTTACTGGGCGTCAGGCAAGGCCGACAGCATTCGTCTGATCGATGAGCCTATACTAAAGGAAGTCGGCGACAAGTACGGTAAGAGCCCCGCCCAAGTTGCGCTGGCGTGGGGTCTCGCGCACGGCCGTTCCGTGATACCCAAGAGCGTCATCGATTGGCAGATCAAAGAGAACCTCGAGAGCGATTTTTCCCTTGACATCGAGGATATGGAGAAGATTGGCACCCTGGACAAGAAGCTCCGGTTCAACGACCCGAGCTCCGCATACAACTGGAAGTTGTATAGCGACCTTGAAGGTGCGTGGTCGACATGATCTACTCGCTGCAACACACGCCTTGTACCTGGCTTATGCCGAGACTTACCAATGAGTGGCTGGCTTCGTGTTGCGATCGACCAGGCGCTTGTACTCTACGCGGCGAGGCGTGATTCAATGAGGTCTTGCAATGTACCGGCCGTCGCCATCATGTGCGTGTGCTAGCTATTTGATGGTTAGTGATGGTTAATATTGCTTTTCTTCAGGATCAACGACCTGTGAGGGATGTGTGTGTATTTTCAAGAAAGACAAATTAAATACTTCCTTCTGACCCGGACTTACTCTGATAGCAGACATGCGCAATTGCACTTGAGGCTTTACCCGCAGTTCTGTCGAAGAGCGGCCAGTCTCCATAACTACCTAGTCTATACAAGGATCATGGTCGTTCTTTCAACACCATGTAAGGTCTTCAGAACAAGGTCGAGGGGACATTTGGTTCACAACGAACAAGAACAAATCTGACATTCATGCTAAGTAGAACGCTAAAACTGCAGTTAAACGGACTAAATAGGATGATTCAATTTCTCATGCTAGCCAGACACTTGCTGATTCATTTCCACGCAATAAGCAAACTGCAATACCTCGCTGGCCGCTGTTGGCAACGAGCTAGCTGTCCCGCGTTGGAAGCACCTCCACCGGTGTGTCGCGCTAAGATGCTAGAGCTGTCAAGCTCAAACGACCTCAATGTGAGAGTGAGAGCTACCGGCTTTCGGCTCGAGTCCAGTCGACTTCTCGTGATGTGCGTTAGTGATAGCATTCATCGCCTGCTCCTCCTTGAGCTCCGCAAACCTCTTCTCGGCAGACCAGGTCCACGGCTCGTCAGCAGCGAACAACAGGTCCATCTCTTCGAGAGTCCTCTGGTTGGCCTCAGGGTAGAATGCCCACACTGTGTCATCTAGCGTTAGCCATTGTCGGTGTTACAGTATGTTGGGCGTTCAGTCTCACCGATTGGAATGCTGATGACATTGACGACTGCGAATATGTAGAACATTTTCTCGTTGATCGCATTCACAATGTACGGCAGGACTAGTGTCAACGTGCCTGTCGCCGCATGTTAGTCTTGATGTGATCTTGCGCAAGCAGGGTATACAGCTTACCGTTCCCAATAGACCAGCCGACAACGCCCCAGGCCATGCCTTTTGCTCGCACATGCAGAGGGAAGATCTCGGCTGGGTACAGCCACGGAACTGTCAGCCAGGTGGCGCCAAAGATAAAGGTGTAGACAAAGACCATAGAAGCCGCGGCCGCACCCCACTGATTGGCGACATTGATTTTACCGGCCGCTCTGGCGTCCAAACCGCCGCGAGAAAGCCCGCCGCAAAGGAACATGGCGATCCCTTGACCAGTGGAGCCGTAGAACAGCGTCCAACGACGACCAATCCTGTCGATGGTGACAACGCATATAATGGTTGAGAACATGTAGAAGATATTGTTCACGCCCGCCACCCACTGCGTCTTGTCCACTCCAAAGCCAGCGATGGAGAAGATGGTGGGACCGTACATAGTAACGCCTGCGATACCGGTCCAGCACTGCAGGATCTGAAGCCAGACGACGAGTTGTACGCGACGTGCATTATGCAGCTTGTCGCACTTGCGCCCCAGGAACATCGAGAGGTGCGACGTTCCTTCGGCTGATTTCTCAAGCTCGACCACGGCTTTGATGCCTTCGAGTTCGGCTCGGGCGATGCCAGCATCGGCACCTTCCGTGCCCCGCACGCGCTCCAAGATGTACAATGCCTCATCATTCCTACCGACTTTGCAGAGCCAGCGAGGAGACTCGGGAAAGGCCCAGCAGAACGCGACCAGGCACAACAAGGGGGCGATCTGGAAGGCAATGGGAAACCGCCAGCGGAAGGCCGGATACCCGTTGTCGATGAACTTGACAGCATACGCGAGCCAATAAGCCACAACGACACCAAAGATGTTGAGTGTGAACTCCATGGCGATGAAGGTCCCTCGAGACATGTGGTCAGACAGCTCAGAAGCCCACGCAGGAACAATTCCATTAAGGATGCCAGTGCCGATACCGTTCACAAGTCGAGATCCGATCATCCAGTTGCTGTTCTGTGCTGAACATTGCAGCACTGCGCCGAATATTCCCCAGACAGCACCCAGAGCAATCGTACTGATCCTGCCGAACTTGTCGCCGAACCAGCCGCCGAACATGCAGCCGACAAGGGTACCAAGGTAGAAGACGGACATGATGCCACCCTGTAGAAGCGAATCAGTCACAACGATGCTGCCATCAGGATTGACGTGGCCAAAGTCCATCAGATTGACGTAGTTGGGACTCTGATTGACGCCGCCCATCATACCCTGATCGTATCCTGTAGCAGCGTCAGTGTGGGTCGCTTCCAGGTGGTGTGGTGACTGACCAAAGAAGAAAATGGACATGCCTGCCAGGCAGTTGATCGCGATGAGGAGACTGCGCTTCTGCAGCTTCGCGCGTACCATCCAGGCACGGGTCTGGTCGAAGGTCAAGAGCCCCATTGTGCTTGCACAGTGCCGGTCTTGGATCACAAGAAACAATGATGTTTTGTCGTTATTGAAGCGAAGATGAGGAAAAGCCTACGCTCTGCGGGGTGTGGGGTATGGGGTAAGCGTGTGTGGGGATCAGATGGGAAGTTTATATAAGACTAGCACGAGCGCAGTAGCGTGTCATCGACAGTTCTCAGTCAAGTCATGGTCCAGACGGCACTACATCGTCGGCGCAGACAGTATCGGCGGAGCCCCACGTCTCGAGGGCGTGTCGGCCAATGTCTCGGCGCACAAGCTGGCTTGAAACTAGCTTGTAGAGGCGACTCACGTGCGGGGCCCCGGAGTCTTGCTAACATGATTGACACCTTTACTTCCGATTCTCTGATCGATGTATATTTATCGGCGCAAGCTTCGGCAGAAGGGTCGAAAGTGCCCGAGCTTTGCCCCCAGAACGAGGGACCGCGTGCAGGAAATATAGTGTGTCTCCACGCGTTCCTTGTCGAGGCGATGGACTTCACGGCCACGCTCGTGTCGAGAAGTTCCACCAGGTTTGCATGTTTTCCGAATGCGTGCACACGCATGTGAGATCTGCAACAGATACATGAAAGTCACCTGTAGCTCGCTCAGGTCTTGTTTTCTGCTTCAGATTCACACACACCTTGACCATAGTCGCACTCGTGCGAGAAACTGCCTCGTCGCTTGCTTCTCGACCAGGCCAGACATAACCTCAACATGCCTCTATTCCAACCAGACCTTGATACTCCCGTCCTCCAGCAGTTCTCCCTAAAGAACAAGATCGCTTTAATCACCAGAGGCTCTCGCGGGATCGGCCGTCAGATCGTGCAAGGATTCGCCGAGGCGGAAGCTGATGTGGCTTTCACTTACAATACATCGACCGATGCGGACGCCACTGCTGCCTCCATCGCTGGGCGGACGGGTGTGAGAGTCAAGGCGTATCACGCAGACGTCATTAAGCGGGTGGAGCTCGCAGAGACTATTGCACAGATTGCAGCGTCTTTCGGTAATGGTCGGATTGATATCGTCGTCGCCAACGCAGGGGTCTGTCAGAATGTGCCTTCACTGGACTACGACCACGAAAGCTGGAACTTTATCAACAGCGTCAACTACGACGGTGCCATGTGGACAGCGCTAGCTGCGGGCCGTCTGTTCAAGAAGCAAGGCCGCGGTACTCTGATCATCACTGCATCTGTCAGTGCCAGCCTGGTCAACACCCCACAGACTCAGGCAGCGTACAACGCCTCCAAGGCGGCTGTGCTGCAGCTCGCAAAGAGTCTTGCCGTCGAATGGGTGGACTTCGCACGCGTGAACTGCGTGTCTCCTGGATACATGATGACTGAAAGTACGTTGATTGCCATCCAACCTATAATGTATAAGAACTGACGTTGAGCGCTTAGTGTTGACAGGACAACCCAAAGAGTTGCTGGATACATGGATCTCTCAGATTCCGGCAGGACGCATCTGTCAGCCTGAAGAGCTCCGAGGGGTAAGAAGAAGCCTATACTATGTCTGATCATGCCGCTAAACATCGCATCAGCTCTATACCTTTTTGGCTAGCGATGCTGCCTGTTACTTGACTGGGTCGAACATTGTCATCGACGGGGGGCTTACTCTGCCGTAGTCCATGTTTTCTAATTGATGTTGTGGTGACAGGGCCGAAGGCATGATTGCTAGCATGCAACAGTTATATAGTTACTTCTACAATATATGAAACCGCGTAGAGTGTGAGACAGTAAAATACTTACATATTATAGAGTTTTTATAAGCCTATTAGTATCTATACTAATCTATATAACGTATCTCACGGAAGGTCTCTAAGGCAACTCTTCACCACTAACGCGTTGGAAAGCAGTTAACACGCGATAACGTACCTCACGGGTATGTCGGTCAGACGGATACCGTGCCCGTGCCCGTGCCTACCACCGTCGCGTGCCGACCGAAAACCACCCCAACGACCACGACAGAAATGAGGCTATGGAGCCACACACAATAGATAATATTGCAAGATGTTGTAGTCGAGTAGTAAAAATGCCTATCTTAGCAATCTGTACTACCTAAATTTACCTGGTAACTTGACGTTGCGGCTACGCGACGTGGTGATGGGTGGTGGGCTTGGGGCCCGTTTTAGGGCTTCTGCACTACCTATATGTCACGGCGTACAGTGCCGTGGTAATGGACAATGGAAAGACTGCGCTGTATTGCTGTCTAGCTAGGAGAGTGCAATATATACCTGTCCTGAGACCACCTAAGCTAGGGTCGTCTGCCGTGAGTAGATGGTCCGACTGACACCCAATTGATGCCGCAACACTATAGCACCACCATAAGGTTTTTGAAGCTTGGTAACTAGTATAGGTGCTTTTGAGTTTCTCTTCTTGCCTCTTTGGGACAGTTTTATAGCTTTAGCAGCGTCACGAGCTTCTTTTTGACGCTGTTTCTCAGCCACCTCTTCGACCTTGGCAGCTGCTCTCCTACCCCTTTCCCTTTCTCGTGCCTCACGCTTTTCCCGACGTACTTTCTCGTTGTATAGCTTATTAGCATGCCTTAGCTCAGCCATCTCGACTTTTCTGAGTTCTTCCTCCCTTAATTCTTACTCCTTAATCACCTCGCGTTTGCGAGCTTCTTCAACTTTGTGAGGAGACCAAAACACTGCTCCACCGTGGCACTCCTGACTCTGCTGGAGATCCAGGGGCTTACTCTTCTTCTTGTCCCTGACCTCCTCGTGAAGGAGTTGGTTTCGAACCGAGATGTGGTGCAGCGATCTGTCGATCTTTTTGAGCTCTCTACTACTTGTATCCTTGGCAGTCTTCTTGAGAAGAGACTTTATTTTGAGATATTCTGTAGCTGAAAGTACTGAGGATTCATTACTGTCGCTCTCAAGTATATCAGAGGTACTATGGTTGAATCGTTAGAGGATAACGTTGGGTTGGAGGGGTTGGTTGGTTGGTTGGTATTCATTTTACGTCTGTTGATGAGGATGAAGTCCATCATCTCGCCTCCCGAAGAGCGTATACGACGTGCTAAGCTATGGGATTACAGTGCTGCCACTACCTTAGAAAGCATTTCTTGCCTGCGCGGGTATTGCTACCATTTCAGAACTACAGCTCACCGTCCAATTGGGGAGACTGAGCAATTTGTGTACATTAGGGTGGATCCCTCGTGTGTATTCAGAAGCAGAGAGGTGCCGGAGAAATGGGAGAGAGGGAGAGGGAGAGTCAGAAGGAGAGCAAGGAAAGAGTACGTTTGTTTGCTGCTGTCGCAGCACAGCGTGAGCTACCGGGGGCAGACCTTGGTGTAGTACTGTGTGAGTTGGAGAAAGGCTTCGAAAGCCTCTGGGTCCCCAATCAGCGCAGCAGTATACGCTAGGCCATCATTCCGGCTGGACGGTGGTATAGGCGGTCGAAGTGGCCATCGGCCAAAAGCTCCTATGGTCTTGCGGCAGAGCGCAAGGTGCTCAGGCGTCTTGTCGCGTCTGCATGAGCAGGTGAGTGTTGCATCGTCGTGACTGAACTTTCGGTGGTACCACGCGAAGTCGCCGTGCATAGATCGGATAGAGAGCAGTTTAGCCAGGGTGGCTCTTGGTAGGTCTAACTCAGGAAGTCTGCTGTTTAGTGAGTAGCCTAGGTCCTATCTTTTGTACCATTTTGAGAGCTTCGCCCTCCTTTCAGACCACTAGGTTTGTTGTATGTGTTGTAGTGTCTTGCGGGCCACTGACTTAATGCCTGAGAGTGTAGGCATAGCAGCCTTTCCAGTAGGGAGTGGCGGGTAATGGGCTTCTAGGGCTGCCAGCCTATCTGCCGCTTCGTTTCCTTCAATGCCTAGGTGCCCAGGGGCCCATTTGATAGAGACGTCGTGGGTCTCCATAGCGCCGTGACACTCCAGGAAGGCCCATTGAGAGGTAGGGGATGCGCTGCCCTTCAGGCACCATATGACGGAGGTGCTGTCTATGCACAGCCAGATTCGGCGAGTGCGGAGCGCTGGTTGTCTTATAGTGTGCTGGAGGCCCCTCCATGCGCCTACTGCTTCCGCGTCAAAGACGTGTGAGATAGGGTGAAGCGACCCGCGTCCAGTATGAAGTTGTTTTCCGTCCTGGTACACTGCAAAGCCGTAGGTAACCCGCTTTTCTCCTTCCTTTGTGTACTGCTCAGAGCCATCTGAGAAGACGGTCACGTCTGAAGGTGGCAGGTGGGCCCACCATTGTTTGAAGGCCTTCGCTGCGGTCTCTTTGTCTATGCCCATCGTTGGGTCTGTTTGGCAGCCGGGCGAGTAGTGGGGGGCTGTCAGGATCGTCCTAGGTATCTCAGGTAGAAGAGATCCTAGGTACTGGACTTTGGTCCGCACTCGTTGCAGCTTTCCAGCTGTCCTGCCTATGCTCATCCTGATAGCTGTCATACGGCCGGCAAGTGGGTGTTCTGCATCTATAGTGCGTAGATGTGTTGCAAAGCGGAGTTTGGCTTCTTGGGGTTGGAGGGGTATTATACCCGTGGCTTCGAATAACCTTAATATCAACTTAGGATGAAAGGTATTACTCTAGGCCTTCCAGAACATGTGGAAGAAGTCGCTCTTCTTAATAACTGATAGGCCTTGGCCATGGTGGAGGTAGGTTGTAAGCTCTTTTGAGTACGCGGTTGAGAGAGGCTTGAACATCACCACATCGAGCGGCTGCAACGTCTGGATTAAATATGGAAGATGTATAGCCAGGAGAATCTTGTTCTCATCGCAGCGGTTGGTAAACTCCATCGATACGCGAGATCTTTGGCTGTCCAGTATAAGTAGGCGGTACCTTCTTCGAGCTTTCTCCTTGGTATAGCGATCAAACACCTGTTCAAGCCACGCGAGGGCTATACTGTTGTTGGACCACCCTGTAAGTGATGAGGTAACAAAGGCAGAGTGTACCCCTGACTTGATTTCCTCTACCCACCGTGACTGGATGGTGTAGTTAGAGGACTCGTATGAGACCAGGTGGTTACACTGATCCATCACCACAAATTCAAGCTATAACTGTTACCCAGTCTTGGCTGCTATCTTGAAGTGCTTCTCTAACCTCCTTCCTCTCCCATATCTGCCTGTTAGACGTGTGATTGGTCCTGGTAGTGATACCAATCATAAAGCCCTTCTCATCCATATTGTATATATCGCGGGGTTCAACCTCATACTGGGCGACCTTCTGCTGCAGGAGGTTGAAGTAGAGCTCATGTTTAGAGTAGTAATCGGCCCTGTGGCGGTTGGAGCCCATGCCGGTTGAGTAATGAGAGATGAGATGAATCGAGTAACCCAGCCAAAGTTTGGTTGTTGCCACAGCGGGATTACTTCTCGTGCAAATGACAAGAAATACGCTTTGCAAAGAAAGTTAAGAACAAAAAGCCAGATCTGCTCTGCCTATGGTACCTATATATGCCGTGCATTTTGTGAATGCCCAACAAGCCCGCCTCTGCTCCTAACACGCTTCTTTCTATATTCATGCTGCAGCCTATATGTACGCCTTACCTCAAGAAGAAAAATGGACGGTCGGAACTCTTACGGTCTACGTATATCTCTACTAAGCGGCGATTATGGTTTATCACGATCAGTGCGCGAAACACCTCCTCTCTCTCTGCATATCTGCAGATGCCATTCCTTGTCAACAGGCTCATCTCCTACGTCGCGGTTGAATCGTGGCGAATCTGCCAAATCTGCGACCATACAGATATAATCTCCGATCACTCCATTTTTCGCTTCCCAGCCGTTGTTTCAGAATATCGAATCACCGAACTACGCGTTTCGGCATTCTTTGTATATGCAGCAACTGGATCATAACCATGTCTACCCGCCTACATTTCCAATCAAAGAGCCTCTTCTTTGGTACCCAGTGACCACTCAGTTTTACTTCAAACCGCGGCGTATACCAGGGCATCGTACTGCGGCATCGGCTGCTTCACCTGCTGATGAGCGATCGAACGAAACCAGCTACCCGTGTCCAGTAGCCAAACAATTCCGTTGCATTGGTTACTTTTCGGCCCCCGGACATGCAAATCGACACGCCAAGAGGCACACTGGCACGAAGGATGCATACTGTCCGGAATGCAATAAAGTGTTCACTCGAAAGGACAACATAGAGCAACACCGTCGTACCCATTGGCGAGGCCGCAAGCCGAGAAGTGGTACAAATACTGTAAGAATGCCAAAGCCTGCAGCAAAACGCACGAACCTGTCCTGACTCCAGTCCACTATGCCAATTGCGTCGTCCACGAACATCGGCTCCACCTGTTCCATGAGGGCAAAAACTTCATGGCGCTTATTGGCCAGCCCTTTGAACTTCTCTGAGCCGCGCCAGCATAATCGAACCTTAAGTTATATCGATGAGCCGCTCCCATTTCTGAGGTTACCGGATCAGGTCGTCTACTGGTCCAGATGCGCTCGTCATCACTGCAAGCGCAACGTACAAGCTCGAGGTCTGGACTGCAAGCGTACGCGCCGGGTCAGCAAGCACGTCACAATAAAAAATAGAGGTAGAGTAAGATTACCTCTACTATACATTAACTACCATCTAGGTTAGCGTTAATTAGTTAGATCTTTGTATTAGAAACATTATATTGGGTTAGGAAACCCCCCTGATGGCCGATAGACGTTTCTAAGTGACGGTCTACTAGACCTCAGATCTTAAACTAGGCAGGGTAGGTTGGAATATCTACGACTCCGTTCGCCACAAAGTTATAGCATGACTCGGAACAACCAATGTTACCACCATTTGTTAAAAGAAGCTTCGCCACTCCGTTCGCAGCGCTGCTAGCAGGGGTACTGATGATACGAAGCTCACGAGAATAGGCTGGCCATTGGCCAACATCGATAGGTCTCCAGCCATTTGGATCCAAAGCATCAGTGTTGACGAAAATCTCCTCGCGGCTATTACCGTTGGCGATGAAGATTCCACTGTTGCCGTTCGTTCCTGGTTCTGGGGTCCAGATGACAAAGGGGCTCCCGTTCGGGTTCAGCTGGCCGTCGTTCGGGATGATTGGCTGTAGACCAGCGGACCCGAAAGTAAGGGGATCATCGGAGACCTTGTAGTAGACTGGGCAGCCTCCCGCAATTGGGCCACCGCAGAACTCGAAGGTCATTACGTACTTCTTAGACACAGGGCTGTATGCTACAGTTGCCATTCCGGGTCGGACTTCAGGATCTGCCTGAGCAACATCGTCGACTTCATTACTCCAGTTACGTAGATCTGTTGTGGTCTTATGGGATAGCTTCTGGTTGTGTTTGGGATCGACTTGAGTGGAATAGTAGCAAACCAGCACACCCTCATGAATCATTAGAAATGGCTCCCAGACTGCCTTGTTTCCCCGATCAATGGTTTCGGGTCCTGGCCCGTAAACGATGTGACTAACAAATTCCCAATCCGCCCCTTGGTTAGTGCTGGCGTACAATTCAATGTATGCCGCCGAGAGGTTTCGGGGCGTGGAGACTCCGGCATGTAGGATTGTACCCTTTGGGAAGTTTCCTAACGCTTGTGGAAGTTCGTACATGAATGGCTGGTACCAATTACCCCAGCCATTGACTTGGTCGTCAACTCTGGAGAAGGGCTGAAATGAAGCTCCACCATCAGTGGATTTGTAGACCGGGAAGTACGTCAATTCGGCACTTGGATCGTAATCCTCCCATGAAAGTAACAAGGATTGGTCCGAAAGTTGTAGGGTGCGGCCGTACACAGTCCGCCAGGAAGTGGCTTCCTGAGATGGGTAAAAGACACCGTTGTCGTTGAAGTTCGTCCACGGCTGTGGAGCAGCCCGTCCCGTTCGAATTGCCAATGGTTTGGCAATAAGAAGAGAAGCAAGAACTGCTTGCATAATATTGGCGACAGTCATGATAGGGTACAAGGTTATGTTTCGGAAACACTGGAACTAGTAACAATGGCGCAGTTCTCAAGCAAGTCAATGCTGGATGGAGTGGAATGAGATGGGAATTCAAGCAGATAGATGCTCCCTTTATATACGAGTACCGGGCAGCCATAGTGACCGACGTATACGGGTCTAGGTTTCAAGCGTCGGTATTTTCCCGTGGGAATCCCTTTGAAATTGCGGCACATGTACGCTACCGGTGGAGTCTGGCTTGGCCATACACTAAGGCTCGAGCATTCGAGTTGCGGGGTACGTCGACAACTGCAGGTCCCCTCCGTGTCAGTATCCAATCATATCTCATTTTATCCAGGCCTTCGTACAAAAAGTGCATTCAGACAAATCTGGCTGCCCATGCAACAGTGATTGGCCGCGACCGCCATTATGGTGGCGTAGATTAGGAAAGTTATTTGTCCTTAGACAAAGCTTGGACCGGTGAACCGGCCAATGAGGAATCCGCATTCCCGAGAACAATGAAGATCCCTATTGTAGCCACGTGAGGACACAATCGCACATGAGTACGTTATGTCATAATGTAGTGGTTGTAAGCTGAGACTATCAACTGTACGTGTTTATGAGTACTGCGGCAGTTCTGGTTAGAGGGCGAGGCTTGTTCCCGAAACAGTCACTCTGCCTATTTGCTAGCCCTGTTGCGATGTTACTGTCCAGCTACCTGCAGCTACTATATATTGACTGTGTGTAACGTGAGCATTAGCTTTGGTACTCTGCCTCGGCAGCCGTTCCCTGCGTTTCTACGGTCATTCGTTTGACGATATGTTCAGTGCGTTACGATAGTATGATGCGGGCGGGTACAACTTACATTGTCACCCCGTATATTTTCGGTCTTCGGGTATAATTTTCGCCCTCCCACATCTGTAGCTTCATTTTGCAATGTGCAACGGTGTTCTTATGACCCTTGTCGCTGGATCCTTCTGCTGCCTTAGGAGGGGCGTTTGCCCTTTTTCCTCAGCACAACGCCTAAGCCATCGGCCGTTGAGATTGCTGATGAGAAGATCATCTGGGGTGAAAACCCGCGACGGTCAAGGTCTAAGATCCACTGAATAAGGGACTGCTCTTTAACAGGGCTGAGCTTTTGGTTGACATGCGTTGCCTCGTGTTTAGGGAGGATACCTTGAAGGCGCGTCTGAAGAGTTGATCGTGGGACATTGTAAGCCCTTGCAAGGGCACGGAGGGACTGAGAAGGTCTATTCTGAAAAGATACAATAGTAAGGTTTAATCTGCCTTCTTGAGAAGGCTGTACAGGTTGTTGGTGTGGTATCATGGTTGATGAGATGAGACGCGTTGAGCGCGTTTTAGTGGGGTGGCCAGGATACCGATGTGGCCAGCTTACTGATAGAACACGTTAGTTATCTTCTCTATATTAGTAAGCTGAGATAAATATCCTCGCTTATCTAGCTTTAGTATGTGCTAGACAATTACTTCCTTCTCTATACTAGCTAGCTTAGTTATATTAGGTTTGCAGTTGTGTTGTAAAGAGGTTCTAGCAAGTTACGTGCCTAGAGTGCTTCAAAATATCTAGTATATTGCTGCAGCGCGTTACACGCTAAGCGTCGCGTATTGTTAGATAGCCTAGAGATCAAGCTGTATACTAGCTTTATTAAAAGACCTTTTTAGGTTGCTGCGTTAAGGCATTATGAGTTAAAGAAAAATTGTTGTGGTCTTGGCAAAAGTGGCCAGCTCGCTTGGGTGGCCAGCTTGCTTGTGGAGTATGTTATAGTGTAGTAGTAATCCATTACTTGCGAGAAAGATACGCTACTTGTACTTTGGTGGAAGCTTGACGTTGCGGCCACGTGTTGTGGTTTTGTGCTCAGGCGATGGGGGCAGCGCCTGAGCAACAGCATCACTAATATCACCCACCGTACTGCAATTCTGCTTCTTGTTTGGCTGAGCAGCTTGTGAAGCTTTTCTCTTGCCTTTTTAGGATAATTGTAGAGCTCTTGTAGTGTTACCGTTCTGTGTTTGACGCTCACGTTCAGCCTTACGTTCAGCTGTTTTTGGGCCTTCTTAGCCTTCTCCTCCCTCCGCTCCTCAGCCGCTGCCTTACGCTCGGCGCGTCTCTCCTCCTTTAGCTTCTCTTGATACAGTCGTGATACCCGTTTCGCCTCCTTCGTCTCAACTTTCTGAAGCTCTTCTTGTTGTTGTTCCTCCACGTCAACCTTGTTGCGTCGGCGGCCTTCCCTAAATGATCGTGGAGTACAGGCCATCGCTTCACCGTGATACTCCTGGTGTTGCTGAACATTGAGAGCTTTGCTCTTCTTCTTCTTCTTCTTCTTCTTCTTCTTCTTCTTCTTCTTCTTCTTCTTCTTCTTCTTCTTCTTCTTCTTCTTCTTCTTCTTCTTCTTCTTCTTCTTCTTCTTCTTCTTCTTCTTCTTCTTCTTCTTCTGTTGCTGCTGCTTCTTTCTAGTCCCAACAGCGTCCCGAAGACCTATATTCTCATGTTGAAGAAGCTCAGATGTTGTTCTCAGTTGAGTGCAGGCGTCCGCAGCTGAGCGGAGGGACGCAGGGACCGCACAAGGATTTGTCCAGAACGGCGCCTCTACCTTAGCGTACACAGTCGACCAACAGTCAGAGTTAACCAACAATTGCTCAGAGGCCTACATACCGTGCACAAGGGTGTGCTGCACGCGACCCCCAAAACACACATATTTCCTCAACACCGTAACTCAACAACGCCATGTCGTTAAAGGACGCCCTCGAGAATGCAGACGCAGCAGATGCAGCCGGTGAACTTTCGTACCGGGAAGTTGCTAATATACATGGTGTTGAGCGCTCAACAATGTCGCGGCACCATCGCGGCGTGACGCGCACCATGCAGGAGAAGATAATCGCGCAGCAACTACTCACTCCCCTAGAGAAGCTGGAGCTTGTAAGTTAGATAGATCCACTTACATTGCAACACCTGCCGCTTAAAGGCGAAATGTTCGCGGATTCCGCGTCTACGATAGCCAAGAGAGCCGTCTCTGATGACTGGGTGTCCGATTCCTCACGCGTCAGTCAGATGCACTCACATCACGATAGAACTCTGCCATGGCCTCTAATCGCCACGCTGCTTGTTCTCACAATGAGTACAGCAAGTATCTCGACATGTTAGAGTTTAAAATAAGCGAGATGAATATAGAGGCGCTTATGGGCAGCAATTGCAAACAAATAACGCTTATAGCTTGTGTTGGGGCTTCTGGAAAAACCCTTCTACCTACCTTCATATGCTCTGCCGAATCTAAGAACGTCCAGGAAGCGTGGGTACGTGATGTAGATAAGAAAAAACACCACATCTATGTTACTACGACTGCCTCTGGATGGTCAGATAATGGCGCAGGCCTTGGCTGGTTGCAGCAGGTGTTTGGTGTCAACACCAAGCACACAGCTCGGAGAAAGTGGTGGCTTCTTATCGTTGACGGTCGTGGCAGCCACCTCAGTAGGGTTTTTCTGATTTATCGCCATCTTAACAGGGTCCTTGTGGCGATGATTCTCCCACAAAGTACGTACACGCTAGAGACGCTCGATGTGGTGCTGTTTAGGCCTCTATCGGCAGCATACTCTAACAAGCTCACACAACACTTCCACAGCAGCAAGGGATAGTGCCAGTTAAGAAAATCGACTTCTTCCTTCTATCCTGGGACGCTTGACTCGTGTCACTAGCGAAAAGCTCATACTTGAAGCCTTTGAGGCAACAGGTATTCACCCGCTAAGTCGCGACAAAATTCTTCACCGATTCAAGCCAGCAACACCTGAGGCCTTACACTAGCCAGCAACGCCTCCACAGTAGCTAGAAAGCACATAGTGCTGCCAAATTATCGCTCAATTCGACTGTGTTGTGAAGGATTCGACTCTGCCTGAAGTCAAAACCCTGGGGCGAACTATCCACCACTTAGCTACCCAAAATGAACTACTCTACTACGAGAACAAGGGTCTTATTGAGACTCTACAGACTAAGAATAAGCAAAATCGCAAGAGCAAGGCACTCGATTTGAACAAACATGAGCTGGACTGCTGGGGTGGAGCGTAGTGGCACTCTCCTCGACAGTTCGGTGAAGCGCGCACTCGTGAGAGGATAATGAAAGAGCAACATGCTGATGAGCTAAAAAGGCAACAACGAGAGAGTTGAAGAAGGCTTATAAGTTCTACAAAGGTAAGTAAGCTGAAGAAAAGCGTATAAGAGCTGCAGAGGATAAGAAGGTGCGTGATAGGAAGAGGGCTCAAATCGGCGTAAAGAGCAAAGACGTAAGGATAAAGAAGCTTGCGACGCTCGAAAAGCTCTACAATTATCCCAGAGAGGCAATCATAAAGCTTCAGAAGCTCCAGCAAGGCCTTAGAAGAAGCAGCGTAGTGGTACAGCTGTGCGTTGTCGTGTTGTTGTTGCAAATCCACCTCGTGAACCTTGCACCCATGCAACATTCCATAGTTAGTTTATATGGAGCAACTTTGTTGTATAGTCATGAGGCCGGGGGATCGTCGTCTTGGCCAATGTTACGCTCACTGAGTTGAGACGGTTGATCGTCAGAAACAATGCAACCCAGGAAAGTGCGGGGCAAAAGCGAGAACGTCTCCGCAGATGTGGCATCCTAACCCCGCAATGCGCACCTAACATCGTGTAGGCCTGTATGCTAAGCTTATGGTATCGGTCACATGTAGGCCGCGCGCAGACCACATCACCCACGCACGCTCTCGAGCGCTTCGCCAAGAAAAGCTCTTCGTTCCAAAGAGACGGCGTTTTCGTGTTGTTTGGTGAGAGGGGCCTCTTTCGCGCTAACATCGTCGCTCTTCTCTTCCAGAGGAAGCCCGTATTCTAGCAAGAACCTTACGATCCACCGGTCAACCGCATAGGTCTTTGCTGCGGAAGAGCGAAGACAAGCGTCCTGGAAAACAAACAAACGCTTCTTCATATGCTCCACGCAAGGCCAGTATCGGGTCAAATCTTCCAAGGCTTGGAAGTTGAGCGTGAGTTGCATTCGAGCGGTCTCCACTTCGACATCGTCTCCGAGGAGCAATATGTGCAAGAGAACTGAGGATGAAACAATCAACATGTGGGCGACGGTCAAGTACACGACATGACAGTCATCGAACTGTCGAGCGTTGTGAAGGAGTCGACTGATTGCCAGACCGTGAAAGCTGCACCTGCTCGCGTACGCTATAGTCTGATCAGTAGGCTCGCGATCTGGTTCGAGATATTGGAAGTAGAGTAGCGTCGAATAGTGATGGTAGCCAAGATGAAGTGCGACAAAAGTACCACCTTGTCCATTCTCCCTATGCTTCTCAAGATTTTCGTCACTCATGACCATATGCTGGGGTAGTGAGCGTTGCCAAGTCAGCAAACGATCGGCAATTTCTTCTACCTGCTGATCGATCACGGAGCTGGCCACACTATCCCGAACGAGAGTGAGATTGACATCCTGAATGGAGGTCAAGATATCGGCCAGGGTGGTCTTGTATGTCCAGATGCCTGTGCTGCGCTGTGTGAGTGCAACGTCGTTTGATAAACGAAGGCTTTGAAAAACGACTTCGTCTATGGGTAGGTCAACGGTAGGATTCGATCGGATTAGCTCGCGCGGCAAGCCAAGGCTAGGTGGACACCATCTGTCCGCCATGAAGAGAGACCACCACACACGCGACTTCGTCTCCCGCACGATGGAAGTGTCGTTCCGGTCCCTTTGGTGGAGTCCTAGAACATATGCCATGCGATTGGCGATACCTACACCGCGTTAATAGGAGCTTGAACATCAATACGTCCGATACACGTACCGAAATACAGAGCCTCCAATCTGTTATTTTGCTCTGCTGCATAGCTGTTGGCCAAAAGAATGCACGTTTGTATATTTGCGACCGAGATATCCTCAAGCTGTTGGGCGAGCAAACATTTCGATCTTGTCATAAAGGTAGAGACAAGGTCTCGTTGACTTGCTGTTGCAGCAAATCGGCAGCCAAGAGCGCAGATCGCGGTAGATAGGCTTTCAGGTAAGGCGCCATTGTTGACTGCTTTCCACAGGGACTGCTCATGAAAGAGGCTGTGAGGTCGATCGTGGATGTAACGAAAATACAATCGAATGAACCCACTGGTCTCAGTGGCCAAAGGAGCTTCATCGTTGTAGTTCACGAAGGGCCCTTGTTCTGATGGAGCCGGTTGTAGCTTAGGCACCGTCCATGGTACCGGCAGATTAGACCTCGGCTTGATCCAGGGCTTTGAACACCTGTCCTTCCGGCCTTGACAGGCAAGACAGGCTGCTTGTGGATCTGCGAGATTCCGCAAGCACTTTCTTTTGCTACTCCTGCATTGAAGGCAGGCTGTTGCCGGCTTCATTGCGCGTTGGACTGGTCCAGGTAGCGCGAGTCTCTGAACACGGGCGTAAGCGAATGCTGTGGTCGGCAGGGGAATTGTTGCGTGACGAACTACACAATCACCTGACGCGCCACCTCAGTACTGACTGCCTACGACACGGTCATGTTTATCAGTTGTGAGGGTGAAGTATGGTCAATCGGATTCCATAGGTAGATAAGCTGAGTCGCGCCTGCTACAGGAGTTTCGGATCAGCTATTTGATGGTCGAGTCGCGACGATAAATTATGGGTTGTTAACGAAAAATCATTTACACTCCGTGACTTAGGATTAGCTGTGCAGTTCATATACTGCCTGCGTATCTTAGTCAACGCTAAGATTTAGCGCCCTCATTGGAAAATAATAACCTTTACATTGAGTGCACCTTTTGATATAAGAGTAGAGGGGTTTGCTTTTAATAAAACTTTTCTCACTTACTAACATATATTTGCAGTAGAAATCTTATAATTGTCTAACTCGGTCTCACTCTTTTAGGGTTGATTGGCTGCTAATACTTCTGTCACGGGGTGTAAAAGGTCTTTCGTTAACGACTATATCGTGTCCGCCGGGTCCATGCACGCCTTGGGTCTGTGCACGAATTCGGCACATTGTCAACAACACCAAAGTGATCCTCTACAACAACGTACAGTAATAACTATGTAGTAAACATTGATTTTGAGTATCTATAGACCCGTCCGACGATGTTCCAAGCTTCAACTAATATTTTTGAGTTACGACGCGGCCGCTGCGGGTGGTATAAGTGCGAGGTGCAGGTGCAGGCACCTCCTCTACAACACCACGCCGCGCACGCGCAGGACGGCTCTGTTTGTAAGGGCTTTTAAAGGTGCTTTCTGTGATATCTTTTGCTCACCCGGTTGGTGCAATTGTACAAGTTTAGCAGCGTCGCGCTCTTGTTTCCTGCGTTGTTTCTCAGCGTCCTCCTCTGCGCGTCTCTTCTGCGATACCTCAAGGCGCTCCTTGTACGCTTTTGAGCGCGCTTCCTGCTGTAACTTGTTCTTAAAAGCAGTAGAAGCTCGCTGTTCCTTTCTGCGATGTTTGGCAATTGTCTCCTCTAGTTGTTGTTGCTCATTTTGACGTACGCGGAGTCGGGCGTCGCGTACTTTGCGAGGCGAGTAAAGCGTGGCGTTAGACTTGTATCTCTTCTGTCGCTCTAGGTTGAGAGTTTACCGGTGCTTCTTTGAGGGATTTTGCTCCATGATCACACTGCGGAAGCCTTTGTTTTCAGCCGTAACTATTGTGTTATGAGTAGCCAAATGGTGGAGGATCCACCGCAGTTGCCTTGCCTCCTCTGAGTCCTGTTCACCCACGACGAACTTGTACGATCGGTTAATCGAGCGCCAATCGTCTCCCTCTATGGGTGGAGGAGTACTCGGCTCGCGCTGCTGCTGCCTCGCTCAAATCGTTGAAGGATCACGCTCGGGTCTTGCGGGAAAATGCCTGTGTTGACGAAAGAGCTGACTACAAGCTCGCCTCGAAAAGTAGCAACCCAGACCTTGTGAACCATTCTGAAGAACTCGCACTTTGGTACTCCGAGCAAGCCTTGGCTGCTGTGAAGGTGTTCAGTGACGGCAGTGCTGTACTCAGAAGCCAGAGGCCCAAAGCACACTATGTCGAGCAGCTGGAGCACATGCGTAGCGTGTGGAGGGAAGATTTGGAGCAGAATTCGATGACGATCGCAGTACTTGGTGGGATTCATAGTTATATGGGAGCCATGGCCATCAACAATGAGCAATCGCCAATGATTGAACGCTTTGCACTTGGTGTGGCGGTTGAACAGCTGCTCCAGCCACGCCAATCCTACTGCGTCATTTGTCCAGCCAGAGAGTGTTGCAGTAACAGATACCGAGTGTTTTATTGGCTCGATATCCTCTACCCAGCTGCTTTGTACAGTGTTGTCGGCGCCAGTAAATATGAGGTCTGGCGGCAAAGCACTCCCATCAGTGCAAACGCTTGCCAAAAGTGTCACCCACTCTCTGTTACCATCCTGCAGTGACTGTAAGCTCTTCTTCTTCTCATAAGATGCCTTAGAAAGCACACGTTTGCTCCTGCCAATGAGACCAATGGCGAAGTCTTTCTCGTCCATATTGTACGTATTCTTCGGCAGTATGTTATAACGTTTGGTGATAGAGTACGGAGGAGCATTTCAGAAGTCTCCCCCCCCCCCCCCTGGTCAGCGCACGGGGTAGTGTCAGGGGTGAATCGGCCCGGGTTTCTTATGACGTGTCCTCTCCGCTTTCTCTCTTCTTCCTTCTTTATCCCCTCTATCTACTTCTATCTACAATTTACTATGCCAGTCTTTGATCGTGCAACTCGTGCTCTAATTATAGCCTATAAGGCTGATGGGAAGACAAATCAAGAGACAACTCTGTTGACTGGTGTTGAGAAGCGTACAATCAACTCAATCTACGCACGAGCGATTGAGTGAGGCTTTGATCCTGCTGTCAGACCTATTCGACTAGAGAACAAGCACGTTCAAGATGGAGTGCGATCTGGGAGGTCTTCAAAACAGCAAGAGGCCTTTGAGAAGGTTGTAAACCTTGTGAGACGGGACTGTTATGGCAGAGAGAAGGGCTGTGCTGATATTGCTGGTGATCTTAGTCAAGTTGGCCTAGATATCTCAGCCTCTACAGTGTGGAGAGTACTCAGAAAAGCAGGCTACAAGAAGGCAAAACCAACAAGGAAACCTGGGTTGACGAAACAGATGAGGAAAGAGAGGCTAGCTTGGTGTCTTGAGCATAAAGATTGGACTATTGAGGATTGGAAGAACGTTATCTGGACTAATGAGACTGTTGTAGTACTCCTTCATCGACGTGGAGGATACAGAGTCTTGAGAAAGGTAGATGAGGCTGTTGTCAAGAGCTGTATTCGGGAGATATGGAAAGGATACTCTGAGTTTATGTTTTGGGGTTGCTTCACATGTGAGAAGAAAGGTCTTTGTCACTGCTGGACACCTGAGACAAAGCAAGAGAAGGAAGAGGCTACAAGGAAGATTGATGAGTTAAACCAAGAGATAGAGCCTTTAATGAAAGAGAGATGGGAGCTTACAACAGGCTTGGTCTACGTACAAAGCCTGGCAAGAAACCTCAATGGACATGGAATCAAAAGAATGGCAAGCTATCACGAGGCAAAGGCTCAGGTATAGACTGGTGGCGCTACCAGTCAATTATTATGAAGCCAAAGCTGATTCCTTTTGCAAAAGAGTGCATGAAAGAGAGGCCTAGTACACTAGTTCAGGAGGACAAAGCACCTGCTCATAACCACTATACACAAAGCGTGGTGTATAGCCAAGAGCACATAGCACAGCTACTTTGGTGTGGTAATCCACCAGATCTGAATGCTATTGAACCTTGCTGGTTCTGGGTGAAGAGATATACAACAAAGAAATGAGCACCAAAGAGTAGAGCTCAGTCAATTCGGGTATGGAAACAGTGTTGGGATGAGCTACCTCAAGAGAAAATTCAGAGCTGGATTGAGCGTATCCCAGTCCATATCTAGAAGATTATTGAGTTAGATGGAGGTAATGAGTACAAGGAGGGCAGAGATGTACGTAAGACTGATTAGGTTCGACTGAATCTATCGGGCCTACTACCCCTGACATTACCCCGTGCGCTGACCAGGGGGGGGGGGGGGGAGACTTTTGAAATGCTCCTCCGTACAGTACGTTGAAATATTGCTTGTACTTATCCTCTGATGAGGCGTAGTGGCGATGTTTATCCATGGTGCGGCTCCATTTGTAGAGGAGCGTGTCTGAATTTCGGTTGAGGAAGTCAGACACCCAGGTGTCTCCAACGCTATCGTGAGCAAGTTCAGACTCGAAATTTTGTACCATTTGCCTAGTAGGAAGTAGATGACGGTCTCCAAGTTCCTCTATATATTCACAGAGCTCCAACTCTTGTTGTGGGTTGAGTTTGCGGTGTTTGATATCAGCGTCTGCACGCGCGATGGTTATGCCTCTGTCCCTCCGCGACACCGTCGAATGCGCCACGCCACACTGATCAGCAAATTCCTGGTACGAAGATGATCCGTCTTAGCTGGCTGCGCGTGCGTTTTAACGGTTCCAGAAACAGACAACATTTGGTAGACCTGTGTTGAGGATTTTGGGATGTTTTGGTGATCGCGTGCACAGACCCGAGGCGTGCATGTACCCGGCGGACACGGTAGCGTCAGCCACCCTTTTTTCCCATCCCCTGTCCTCATACATGCATTTGGTCATTCTTCATTTATGTATCATATCCATTATGTGATTGCTTGACAAGATTGCATGCTTTCAGGCACCTCCACTTACACGAGGTCAGAACTCGTAAATCTCGATCTCCGCAATGGCAGAGCGTGCAGGAATAGTGATGCAGATTGGGAACGTCCCGGGGTCTGGCTGCTGGTTCGGCATAATTGCAAGCTGTCCACTCCTCGTCTCGTCACCATTGAGCGTTCTTCCGTTCACTAATACTCCGGTCTGAGGATCGTGCACCTTCTCGAGAAAGGAGAGGAAACCTGTGAATGAAGAGCCCTGCCTCATTGAAGCAAAACTGACCTGGAAGCCCTCGCCCACAAGCAGAAACTTTGATTCCTCGAGTCGAATGACCAGACCAAATCCTGGTCCAGGCTGACCGAAAACGAACGAGCGCTCGACGGTTACTTCCCAGCCGCCCATCCGCACAATGTGCCGATCGCCCTCTTTTCCACCCTCGTCGAGCTTGTCAAACCAAAAACCGAAAGTATCTTGATTCATCTTCCGGGCTGCAGTCAGATGTGATGCGACGTGGCCCAGCAGGGCGAAGTGCCTTCGCCAAGGGTTCTGTTGAGGATTCAAGGAGTCGATGGCGAATGGTGATGCGCCTAAGGCATGGTACGTAGCGTAGGCACTCCATATACGACGTGCACCATAATCATCCCTCCTCTGTTCTGGAATGAAGAGCGGCTGGCCCGTATGGCGATATTTCGAGCAGACTGCGTTGTAGTCGTTCAGATACAAGTCCGGTGCGATGAAGTCCAGCGAGGGAGCGAAATGGTGCCACACATCGAGCACATTGACAACGCCGCCACCGGACGGGTAGTCACCGGGTTGTCCACCACCGCCAACAACGATGGGCTGCGTCTTGTCGGCGTCTTCATCGGCATAATTTTGCCACACATTGGTAAACAGCGGCAGCTCGTATTCTGCCTTCCCTGCTTTTGCAACCCTCTCAACATACAGAGCGTAGTGGTAAGCCATAAACAATTCGTCTGTTGCATTTGTTGCACCGAATACCTCCACCCACGATGCTGAACCGACCTTCAGTAACGGCAGTTCTTGACGAAAGAACTGCAGATTTTGCTTGAACGATTCATGCAGATGTGACCATCCCGTACGGATCATCTCAATTAATGCAGCTGGGACGGCTGCTTGGAAGCGAGCTTCGGCGTCAGCCGACACGTCCCGCGAGCCTCCAAGTAGGCCAACCTCGTTTTCCACTTGTACCATGAGTACGGTCGAATGGTTACTGTCAACGTTTCGGAGGTGCTGCATCAAAGCTTTGAAGGCTGCACTGTCGGCTTTGACGACCTCGTCATGAATGATCGAGAGAACATCGGTTGTTTGAGGAACGTCGGTCCCGGAGGACAACATCATGCGAGGGAACCTGGCAGGGTCTGTCTTGACCCAACGTGGGGCATAGTTCGACTTCCCTGTAGTTGTTGATCAGTAGATATTCCTTCGATGTTCTGCAGGGTCTGACCATTCTTGAATGCACCAAACCACAGAAGCACGAGACGAAAACCACGCTGCCTTGCATCGCGGATGCCTTGATCAAGACGCTTGAAATCTAAGATTCCTTCTGCTGGCTCGATGTCTTCCCAAGACACGTTGGCAAGCACCGTGTTGACATTTGAGTCTTTCAAGACAGGCCAGATGTTCTTCATGAATTCTGGACAACTGAAGGAAGAATTGTGGAGCTCCGCTGGAAGCATCAAAAACGGCTTCCCATTGACTATCAGGTTGTGACCTTTGGCAACTTGCTGGATGTAAGGGGTCTGACGCCCATTCATGGTATTGTAAGGGTTGACCTCCCCCATTTTTTGTTAACCATTGGTCGCGTAGGTCGGATGGAATAGAGTGCGATTGAAGTGTCATTGTCCGAAATTAGGATCCCGAGACTTGGGAAGAAGGCTAGAGGCAGGGATATGACTGACTGAGGACCTCCAGAAGCATCTCAAATCACCGAACTTCAGGCGGAGCAACACCACGTTTCCACACTCGGGGTGCCCGAGCGCGTCTCCGTCACGCTGAGGACGAGCCCGGCATTCGCGTCCCTCGATTGGCTTGTAGGCCGGATCGGAAGCAATCTTCCTTGAGATTGACGATCAGGCTAATCAGCATGCACCCCGGATCTCAGAGGGTAGTGCGTTCACGCTAACGGTGCATGCGTCGACAATTCCTCCGACAATTCGGCTTAACAGCCAATCGCAGCCCCTGAACACCGATCAATACAACCCCTCATGATCTTCTGCTGCCACGCAAATTTTGAACTAGCCTTCCCCGCAACGGGATTACAGAGTAGGGAACTCAGTTCTGAGCTAACGAGGCTGCAGCTCCGGTCAGGCACCTTCAATTCTGGCCGTGGCGCTGACCTTGTCCGCATCAAGCTTCTCTTCCAGAAACTTTGCAATCAGCCGTCGTTTCCACTCCAGTGAGCCCCTCGAACACAAGAGCGACAAGTGTCGGCCAATGTGAATGTGAGTGAAACTATCAGCGAGGTATAAATCCGCGTCAGTACCTGCCTATAAGGGCATCAGCTTGTCGATCAACATAATATCTTTTCACATCCTACCATCAACTCAACATCTTGAATATCTTGACTGGCCAAGATGGCAGTTCCTCCCAAGTGGTACCAGGTGGGTGTCACTGACGACTGTTATTGTAGAGCATCACTAACGGCACATCCAGTTCCTAGTTGGTGTCTTCGCATCGCTTGGTTCTTTCAACTATGGGTATGCGAGATTGCGCACAACCTCCACGGCACCGTTTTACTAATGCGCAACAGTTATGATCTCGGTGTCATTGGGGGCAGTGTAGCTGCCCCGTCTTTCAGTGGTTATTTCAACAACCCGAATGCCGATCAGGTGTATGTGTGAAAACTCAAAGCGAGTGTAGTATGCTGACACTTGCAGGGGCGCGGTGGTGTCTCTCTTCACTGGAGGAGGTTTCTTTGGTGCACTGGCAGCTGGACCAGCCGCTGATCGCGTCGGTCGTAGGATTGCTATCGTCATCGGCGCTGTTTGCTTTATACTAGGAGGTATCCTCCAGGCGGTTGCGCAGAACCTCTCTTTCTTGTATTCTGGTCGCGCTATTGCTGGTTTTGGAGTTGGGTTCTTGGTTATGATTGTTCCACTCTACCAGGCTGAGATTTCACATCCGTCAATTCGCGGTCGGGTTACTGGTTTGCAACAGCTCATGCTCGGTATCGGCGCGGTAGTCGCGAGTAAGCTTCACTCTCGCAAGGATTCCACTCAGTTACTGACGTTCTACAGCATGGCTCACGCATGGCACAAACACTAATCTCGACGATATCGATAACAACCAATGGCGCATTCCCCTCAGTATCCAGGTCGTTCCCGCCGGTGTTCTAGGCGCCCTAATTCTCTTCTTCCCAGAGGTAAGATTTCGCTCAAGTCTTTCCTCAATCTGCTAACAAACATCGACAGTCTCCCCGATGGCTGATAGACCACGGCCGTCGCGAAGAAGGCCTCAAAACACTTGCACGCCTGCACTCAAATGGCATCCTTGACGATCCATGGGTGCAAGAGGAATTCAATCAGATTGAGCAAGCTATCGAACACGAACACACTGTCGCCGCTAAGGGTTACAAAGACCTCTTTACTGATAAGAGCAGCTTCCGCCGTTTGTTCCTCGTCTGCGCCATCCAGGCCTCTGTACAGATGACTGGTGTATCAGCAATCCAGTACTACACACCTGAGATCTACAAAGGCCTGAACATTGGCACTAGCGATGCGCTGAAGTACCAGGGCGTTAGTAACGTGCTCTCTGTTGTTGCACAGGCCTGCACTGTCGCGCTAATTGATCGCATTGGCCGCCGCTGGCCGCTTATTATTGGTAACGTGGTGAACGGGATCTGCTGGATCATCGTTGCAGCTTCGATCGCGTCGTTCCCCACGGCCAGTCCCTCTCTCCAGCATTCCCTTGGCTGGGTTTTCATTACGATCAACTGGCTATACCAGATCTCGTTCAGCTTCACCTGCGGACCTCTATCCTGGATCATTCCCGCTGAGGTGTTTGACACTAAAACGCGCTCGAAGGGCGTCTCTATTGGTGTCATGACTTCCTTCGCTTTTAACACACTTATTGGCCAGATCACACCTATTGCAATGAATAGCGTTGGTTGGCGCTACTTTCTAACATTTGTTGTCTGCAACTTCACTAATGCTGTCTTTTTCTGGGCTACCCTGCCAGAGACCGCCAAGAGACCGCTTGAGGAAATGAACGCATTGTTTAGTGGCAACAAGTGGTTCGTTGCTATGGGTCGCGGTAGGATCTCGCTCAGCCATACTGGTGCCGCTATTGTTGGCAAGGAGGCGTTGGACGAAGAGAAGGAAAACTACACCAACACCACCACTGAGATTGTCTGATGAAGTCACAATTACGAGCGGATCCAGTAGAGTTGCCGCGGCCACACCCTATCCTAGGGTGGTAACGACTTCGTGCTCTAGAGATACATGTCCAATCAAATCTAACCCTGATTGCTGCTCTTTCCCTCGACAGAGAAGACGGAGCTGGTTGTGAACGTCTGGGACACGCTAGAGCGATGGATAAATGAGAGACTCGAGGCCGGTCTACACCAGGTCTCGATTCCATGCGGTATCGAAGGCGGCACACAGCCTATGCGCTATTCAGCAGCTTTCATTCTAATAGCAAACCAAAGCGCTCGACTGGTCCCATCGGTCTCTTACTGTCGGACGATCTAGCGGCTAAGTATTAGGATATGATAGCGCAGGAGTACCAGCAACGCCGTATTGCTATTGTGCATTAGAAGTAGGGCTTCAAGACATGGCTCTGGGAGACCTCTAGCTGTTTATAGTTAGATTGCTCTTGAACCTGCCACTCAATATACTGCACTGACATAATGAAGTCCTTTGCTCTTCTTAGATTAGATTGGAACAAGAACAAAACGATCGATTTACACAGAAGGCTGTCGATCTTTTTCTACTATTATCAGCACTGCGTCCCATCCCGTCACGAGGCGAGCTACTCCTAGTGCAGGATAGTACTTCGTGTTCTGGGTGCACGCCACCACCCGCGCCCGGTTCGAGGAAGCGTACAGAGACATCGCAGACCGGCTGCAGCTGCCAGGGAGGAGCGAGCCGAAGGCGAACGTGCTGCGGCTGGTCAGCGAATGGCTGCGGGACGAGACCGACGGACGATGGGTGATGGTTGTAGATAACGTGGATGACGCAGAGACCTTCTTCCGGTCGCGGAAGCGTCAGCGAGACGAGGCTGACGCCGGCGTGCAGATATCGCTGGCCACATATCTACCGCAGAGCTGCAACGGGGCGATACTGATCACGTCACAGAGCAAAGACGCAGCAACTAGACTAGTGGGAGGCCACAACAAGGTCAAAGAGGTGCTGGCGATGAACGAGGATGAAGGCCTGCAGCTGCTTCGCAACAAGCTGCGTGATCCGCCAATCGAGGAGAGCGCAGTGGAGCTACTGCACGCGCTAGACTGCATACCTCTCGCCGTTACCCAGGCAGCTGCGTACATTAACAGGCGCACGCGCATGACGGTTGCGGGCTATCTCAAAGATTTTCAAAGGAACCGAATGAAGCGAGAGAGCCTGCTCAACTGGGACGCGGGCGAGCCGCGTCGTGACACGAGCGCGTCGAACTCGGTGGTGACGATGTGGCAGATGTCGTTCGAGCAGATCCGGCAGGAGCGGTGGTCGGCGGCGGAGCTGCTGTCGCTGATGAGCTTCTTCAACCCGCAGGGGATACCCGAGTCGACGCTGCGGAGACACAGTAGAGATGCAGCAGGAGCAGCTAGTGAAGAGGACAGGGAAGACGAGGAAGAGGCTAACAGTGCTTTCGATGAGGACCTGGACACCCTGCAGGCGTACTCACTGGTGTCAATGACTGCAGACAACGACGCATGCGAGATGCACGCTCTTGTGCAGTTCTGCACGCGAGTCTGGCTGTCGTCGTTCAGCAATGGAGAGCAGTGGGAGCAAAGGTTTGTGGCGCTGACAGCGCAAGAGCTGCCCAGCAGGGAGTATGAGAACCGGGCAAAGTGCCAGAAGCTGCTTCCGCACGTGAAGCCGCTGTCTGCCAGCAAGCCGGCTGGTGAAGAGCCGTTGAAGGCATGGGCGCAGGTGCTGACGAACGCGGCGTGATATCTGTGGAAGTAAGGGAGCTGCAGCATTGCGCAACGGATAGCAGCAAAGGCGCTTGCTGCTAGGGAGAGCGTTTTGGGTCTCGACGATAGACAGACACGGACTACTGCGACAATACTAGCGCTGGTGCTGCAGGATCAGGGCAAGTACGAGGAGGCAGAGAAGCTCAACCGGCAAGCGCTAGAAGGGCGCAAGAACGAGCTGGGAGAGCGGCACCCGACACGCTGACGTCTGCCTACTGCCTCGCCTATCTTTTACACACGCTGCGTCGGTACACAGAAGCAGCAGAGCTACAAGGCATCAGCTTAGCACTGCAAATCGCTCAAGAGTATGCGAGTCGAAACGGCTCGAGACAAAACGTCGCCATATACACAGACAACCAAGCCGCCATCTGGTCCATCGCCACAAGGAAGGACGATCAGGCGCCTACATCCTCGCGGACATTACATGCCAGGTCCAGGAACTCCAGGACACAGGACGGACAGTGACCGTCCGATGGATACCAGCCCATGTGGGCATACCTGGAGTCGAGGTCGTCGACAAAGCGGCCAAGGAAGCCACCAAATGGAGAGAAGACGATCGCAGAAGCTTACCGGCAGACGCGCCTCCCATGCTGTTCACTATACAGTCGACAGGGAAAAGATGGTGCAAGACACACGCAGAGCGGGCATGGATAGCGAAGTGGCGCAAAGACACCAAAGGCCGAGCAACATACAGACACACGCCCACACCTACCAAGAAGGTTCTTCAGCTCCATGAGGGGCGATCCAAGCGGGAGAGCGCGCTGCTGATACAGCTGCGCACCGAGAAGATTGGATTCAACGACTTCCTCTTCGCCCGAAGAGTGCCAGACGTCACCAGCCTGCGCTGCGATTGCGTAGCAAGATGACAGACAGTCGCACACATCCTCCTCCACTGCAGCAAACGCAGGGATCTCCGGAACCGCATCTTCGCCAACCTGTCCGGACGAGACAACATCCGGACCATCCTAGGCACCCCACAGCTAGCCACCAAAGCCACCGAGTATATAGACCAGACGCAGATCCTTGGGCAAAATGGGGATCGCGAGCGCGAAGACGACAGCTGAGCGCTGGGGGAAGACTGAAGGTATAACAGACGCAGAACACGAGGCATCCGTGCCTCTACGAGCCTAAAAATACAGTGTTCAATTAGTAGAGTCAGTATCTAGATGAGCTGGCAGGCAAATGTAGATAGTGATGAGAGGAAAACGGCAGGTCGACGGGACAGATGGTTCCTTTCGAGAAATACTACAAAGCGCTCTTTCTTGATAGGTGCCGCATCATCAAGGGCAGAGAGAGCCTAGATCTCAGATCAATACTTCGTCTTAACAACAGAGAAAGGAGCAAGATCCAGAGGCTGAAGCACGTGTGAGGCGTAAGGGGGAAGGTAGAGAGGCTATATCTTGTTCTCCCGGCAGGTCCACATGAAATTGATAGGGATATAAGAGCCGTGGCAGCTGCAGTCGCGCGCGACGAGTGTACTATTGAAGAGCCATCTAACGATATTCGACTTGCTATTATAATGGCAAGGGATCGGAGCGAAGAAAAGAAGCGGCGGCAGCAGAAGGTGTCACCAACGTCTTCAAACTCCAGCCTTAAGAGTCTTACAAGAGCGATACTAGTTGGTTATCTAGCTCAGTTAAGAGCGCCTCAGCAGTTTCAACACTACGCTGCAGAGCCTGTTACTAGGCGCAAGATGAGGATATGGGTAGACTTTGACTGTACTTGCGCGCACCTTTATCAGCACACGTCTAATTTCTCCTAATACTAGCTTAGTGCTATGCCACAGCACAAGGAAGAGATTTAAGGGATCTATCAGAGCGTTTTTAAGGATAGTGGCTACGATATGAACATGCTTATAGACGTTAAAGATAGGATGACAATTGATGTGTAGGTAGATTACTTTAAGCAGACCCCAGCTATGCTGTCACATCTTCGGAGAAAGGTACACGATTGGATGAAGGACTACGCCGGCTTGACCCTAGAGAACATACAGCGAGCAAATAGGTTGTTGAACGGAGAGGTTAGAGCAGAGATTGAGGCAGAGACTCCAGCGCTCAGAGCGTTTCATAGAGTACTCCAGCTCAACAGAGCAGCTAATAGGACCCCACCCATACTTGCGATCGCCTGTATGCTTATTGCAGGTGCTCTTGTTAATAGTAATAAGCTGTTCTGCTGTATAGCTCTGCTGTAGTCTTGCCTGGAAGACGCGGCGGAGAGTGTTATTCTGCTCTGCTGCCTTTTTTGTTGCAATTTTGCGACTCTACTTCATCTTCTGCAGCTCCTGATAGACTAGTCCTATGCTTACAGGTATGTTGAACTCGTCCAATAACCAGTCCTTCATCTCTTCTAAGTACGCCTGTGGCCTGCCATCAAGATACTCACGAAGGCGGTGCCTGTGGATATCTCGAAGCGTTGTTGGCCGGCCAACCTTCACAGTAGCTGGCGCGTACGGCTGACCCCATTGGCTCAAATTAAGCCTCTTTCTACGCGTACAGTTGGGTGTTACACCAGTCTGGCGATAGATCTGTGTGTCGTTGACTCCAGCATCTATGCGGTCAAGTACTGCCTGCAGAGTCGTTGGAGCTAGCTTATGGCCAGTAGGACGGGCCATTGTGACAGCCGAAACACCAGAAGTGAGTCGCAATGGGCAATTATAAGGCTTTAAGAGTAGCTACACAGCGTGGTTGTTCTTAATTCTCAGAATCACGATTTTACTATAGTAGAACGTCTATGCGCAAGAACACCCCGCAAGTCACGGGGTGCGCTTGGTCTTTCGTAAACAACCCATATCGCGTTTGGTTGGCGACCTTTGAGGCGCTCCTGAAGCGATGATCTAGTGACTCCGTACGCCCTGGCAGCCTTCCGTTGACTTGTAGAAACACCAGAATTAAGATCACAGATAGCTGATTGTATAGCAGCTTCACGGGCGTCCATTTTGAGCAGGTTGTGTTGAAAATATCATGACTTCAAAGACTGTGACGCGTTTTGGTGGGGTGGCCGATCACTACCGGTATATGTGGCCGAACACTATACAGTATGGCCGAGCTTATACCAACCAACCAACCAACCATCATGATTTTGTGCACCAATCTTTTGACGCGTAGTAACTCCACCACCATAAATCCAATTAGTGAGGCAATTGCAGCAATTAAATCGCTAGGTCCAGATGAACAATTTACGTATCAAGAATATGCGGAAAAGTATGGCTGCAATTCAAGGACTTTGGCGCGGAGACACCAAGGTAAACAGGGCACTGTCACGGAGAAGAACACCGCGCAGCAACGTCTGTGTCCACAACAAGAGGAGGAGCTTGTAACTTATATTATAGGGCTTACTGAACGTCGCCTTCCTCCTACACGCCAAATGATAGCAAATCTTGCACTTGGGATAGGCAAAATTGAGGTTTCTGAGACATGGGTTACCCGCTTTATCCACCGACACCGCGGCCTCCTTCTCAACCGATGGACCGCCCTTATGACTGCCAATCGCCACGCTGCTGATATCTATGAAAAGTACAGCGAGTACTTCGATACCATAACCCAAAAAATAGAAGAGTGGAACGTTGCGCCAGAGAACAGTTACAATATGGATGAGAAGGGCTTCATGGCTGGGGGGTCATAGGCAGGCAGAAAAGGGTGTTCAGTAAGGCTTCATATTAGCGTAAGCACGCTCGGCAGTCATCCCACGATGGTAGTCGTGAGTGGATTACCCTTATAGCTTGTATTTGTGCCGATGGGACAGCTCTCCCATCTGGCCTGATATTTGCTGCCGAATTCAAGAACATCCAGAATACCTGGGTGAGTAACGTGGATAGGCTGAAGCATTCCGTCCATACTGCTGTCTCTCCCTCTGATTGGTCCAACGACGACGCTGGCCTTGGGTGGCTTGAGCAGGTGTTCAATCGCAGTACACTGCGCAAGGCACATGGCCAATGGCGCTTGCTTATATTGGACGGCCACAGCTCGCACATAATAATGAACTTTATCAAGTATTGCATCAAACATCGCATGCTATTGGCCATATATCCACCTCACAGCACTCACACACTCCAGGTGTTGGACGTTGTGTGTTTCTTTCCATTGGCTACAAACATACTCAAACACCTCAGTAATCACCTCTATGCGAGCCAAGATCTCACTCCATTCCAAAAGGGAGATTTTTTCAACGTATCTTGGCCTGCCTGGGTGGATACATTCACTCCAGAGCTTGTGCGGAGTGCCTTTGAAGCCACTGGGTTGGTGCCGTTAGACCGGCACAGAATCCTTGATAGGTTCACCAAATCTGAGCGGGAAGGAGAGGCAGCAACCTCGTTGGCTACAGCTAGCAATTGGCGTACAGTTGACAGAGTTTTGCAAGCTCCAGTGAAGGACTCTGATACACCAGAGTCGTGAAGCCTGTGTGCAGCTCTCCACTCGCTACACACACAGAATGAGGTGCTCAAAATAGAGAGAGATGGCCTACAAGTTGCTCTCAACAACGAGAGGACTAAGCTGAAGAAAGGCAAGCCCTTGCCACTTGTTCAGCGCAATGAGACTCAGGCGCGTACATAATGGTGGTCCTCTCGTGCTCTTGAGAGTGCAAGGAAGCTCCAGGACAGATTTGACAAGGAGGAGCGTGATAAGGAGCTCCAAAAAACAACAAGGCTTATTTATTGTTATTAGAAAAATAACTTAAGAGCTTATTAATGCCGAAGTTGTGTACGCCCTAGCATAATGTGCCGAGCCGTGATTAGGAGCGGTCTCGTGTAGGTTGACAACGTGGAAGCTAAGTTCCTTCGATTGCAGTAGACTGTAGGAAAAATGGCGCTATATTTTACGCTTCATAAACTCGTCTTCTTAGGCGTTCATTAACAGATCGTGGATACGACGTCATCCTAACAATCGTACTACCAAACTCTACTTCACATAGCATAAGCTTTATCTCATTCTTTAGACCCTGAACATCTTTTCTCCTCCCCAGATCCAATTCACCTAGTAAGACTTGTCATACCAACCATCATTGTCCGGCCAAAGTCGTGCTTTAGAAACAGCAGTGTTAGCGGCTGTAAAGTACAATCGTTTGGAAGTTTCAGCGCCCGCTCCGGTGTTTTGGAACTCCATAAACACACTAGATATGTTAGTCTTGACTTCTCATCCAGGATGGAGGTGGACGTGAGGGCCTTACGGGGTGGCGCCGTCCGCCATTGGGGCGTAACCAGAAGGGTGGACGACATCGGTCAGTGTGGAGTACTGATAGATAACCCGAGCAAGCGGTCTCCACGGCCGACCCAAGAAAACACCCCCTTTAACATTGGCACCAGGAGCTGCGGTGACCTTTAAGGTCGTTAGTGGAACCCGGACCCTTGAGTCTTTGAGTTGTGGAACTACGTACCGTGCTGTGATCAACAACGTACCATGCTGTATCGTTCTCGAAGCTGCGAGAACTGGCAGTTACGTAGCCACCCCTACTGGAAGCAATGGTACCTTTTAAAACAGTAGTTGTTAGACCAAGCATAGATGGTGACGGGCAGAATATTGGAAACCCACACTCTCCAAACCACGCAGCTGCGTCGCCGAAAATATAGTCTACAGCGCCTACTTCTGTGTCAAAACGGTTTCTTTTCATCGAAACTTGCTTGCTTGCTTGCTAACCTTCGATATAGCAGTTGGAGTAGTACTGGTAGCCAGACTTGGCGTAGAGAGTGTCCTGAAAGCTTTTGAAGGAGCAGCCATAGTAGCCCTGTCACATGCCATTACCCGTCAGAGCAACCGCCTATTTCCAAGCTCTTAGTAGGCGCTTTCTTAGCGTTGGAGCAAGTTTTGCGCTATAATGACCTGACCGGCCGTCCCATAGCTGTTTTCAACATTTACATTATATAGACCGAAGTCAGCACTCCTGACGTTCAACGTGGAGCTAGCATCTAAACTGCCAGCATCATACGAGCCAAGCTTGTTCGTAATGGTGACAGTGTTCGACTTGTAGTCTGCAATGCTGTATCGGGTTAGCTTGGCCGACAGAGAGACTGACTGCTTACTTAATAGTGTATCCGTAAATCTTTAACCCACTAGTCCTGGTCGACAGATGCTCTTCATATGTTCCGCCGTAGATGAAGATACAGCCAGATGTTTTGACAGCAGCGAGCGCAGATTCAATCGTGGAGTACTCGCCTGAGGCGGTAGTCGCTTTCCTGACCACAAGACATCCATTGGGCGCAATTGTACGTCCAAACGCACGTTCCAAAAGCTGAGACGGTGCACCTAGAACTCGGAAGGACAGTAAAAGAAGCAGCGTTAGCGCTTGTACAGCATGACCATATAGTCCTGTCATGATGCCCCAGATGCTGTGGCTGTGTCTGTTCTAGAATGAAGCGTCGGTAATGTAGAAGAATTGTCGGAGAAGTAATAATGACTCTGGGTACTAGTGTGTCATGTCAGAAGGCTGAGCATATTGTTTCTTTTATATTCACCTTTGTACCTGACTTGCATACACTGACGAGGCAAAGCTTCACTTCGTATGCCCCTTCTTATCCGGTACATGTATGCAAGCAGCGCAAAGGTTGCTTCCGGAGCACGATGGATTGGAGTGATTTGTGGAAATTGTATTCGCGAGAAATGACCCCCATTTTTGCCTTCCGAAGTCCTTCTCAAGGTAGGACACAATATAGTTCTAGCCTGAAGGTAACAAACTAGGATATTTAGAGCTTAGTTTGAAGAGACTTCGGCAACTTGCTTCCGCTGTGACTGCACTGACCCCGCACTCCGGCTGAACACGATCCTGGAGACTGTAAGGAAGCTCTCCAGCGGTTGATTGCTCTAAAACGGTTTCCGCCTGACGCTAATTTAAGCTCGGTGTTATTGCTTAGCTGCACACATGACACCAGGAGTTGAAATCCTTGCTATGCTTCCCTGCACTAGGGTCGAACAATCACTCAGGCCTCTTTGCTTCGAAAATGACACTGCACACTGTTGATCTGTTCTCAATGGTGGATCTTTGGGGTCCATCAACATATGCAGCCTCCACATTTAGGCAGATTTTTAAACATTTAGCCAGTGATCGGTGTCTTGAGGGTGACGACTCGATATGCTGATTGGAAAAGTGCGTATATATTACATTTGCAGTGCCATAGTGGCAAAGATTAAGGTTACTATTCAGCACAGGACCTAAACCATCTGCCAAACACATCAAAGATGGGACCTTTTCTTCGCTCTTACTTGCCGCTCATTCTTTCTCTACTGCTGGATTGTATTGGCGTAGCAAATTCATCAGCATCCCCAGTAAGAGTTGTACCAGAAAAGCTTGTCAGACGAGCTGCCTGTATCCCTTCGAGCGGGGCCTCTACATCATTCGATGATGTACCCAGCATTCGGCAAGCCATTACTTTGTGTGGAAATGGGGGTACAATCGTCCTTCCCACAGACAGGACGTATACGCTAAAGTCTCAGCTTGACTTTGCTGGTTGTGTCAACTGTGACTTCCAGATTGAAGGCAGCCTCAAGGCATCGGATGATCTTGCTTACTGGAACGGCAAAAGATATATGATACAGCTGAACGGTGTCAAAGGCGCCAAGATTCGCAGCCTGACAGGCACTGGCCAGATTGACGGCAATGGCCAAGCTGCTTGGGATTGGTTCGCAACAGACACCACTCTCAAGAGACCTGCTTTGCTAGTTATCTCCGCTTCCACTGATGTGACGGTGTCTGGGTTGAGGTTCAAGAACGCCCAGAATGTCTTCGTAAGCGTTGGGAGTAGTTCCTCCCGGTTGCTTTTTTCCGACCTCGACCTAAGGGCCATAAGCAGGACATCAAATCGCCCTAAAAACACGGACGGCTTTGACATAGGGGAAAGCAATGAAGTCACCATATCTTCTGTTTACGTCGAAAACCAGGACGACTGCATCGCTTTCAAGCCAGGATGCAACCACTTGACCGTGACCGGCATTACTTGCGTAGGATCCCATGGTCTGTCTGTAGGGTCACTGGGCAAATCCCCAGGGAGTTATGATACCGTTCAGAATGTGTATGTCAAGGGCGCGGTCATGAGAAACTCTACCAAGGCCGCCGGAATCAAACTCTACCCTGGTGGCTCTGCTCATGGAACCGCACTCGTTCGCAATGTTACCTGGGAAGATGTGACGGTGGACAACTGCGAATACGCTTTCCAGCACTCCGCATGCTATAACGAAGACATGTCTTACTGCTCGGCCAATCCTTCCCAGGCACAAGTCTCAGACATATTTGTGAAGAATTTCCACGGCACGACCAGTTCTAAGAGAGCCTCCACAGTTGCCGAAGTTTACTGTGCTGTCGAAGGTCCGGATTGTGAGATCAAAGTTGAGGACTGGAGCGTCAGATCCCCTAAATCTGCGTCAAATTTCCTCTGCGACAAGATCAGTAGCAGTGACTTGGGCGTCACATGTGTACAGACGAGTCTATAGTAGTCTGCACAGTGTTGCTAGATGAGAAATTGGTCATCATGAGTAGGTGATGGAATGAGTGGTTTTGGATGCGTTGCTCTAGCCAGCCCAACATCAGTGCTCATAACTCATGATCATTCTGAACACGAATCACCAGCGTAGTTCACGTTTCATTTCAGCAAATTGAGATGCTTCATTCTTTCACCGCCTCATTCATCTAGAACTTGTCCATAGCAGAAGTTTAACTTCGCGCATCACCCTGCTACCACGAAGGTTTGACGAGTGACAGTAGCCGTACCAGCGTGGGCGCCTTACATCAGCTCAGTGCTCCTATTGGATCACTGTCAAGGATATGCTTGAGCTCAACCGTCGGATAATTTTAGGCTTCCATTGACAAGGCTGGTTCATGCTATGGAGAAGGATCTACCTGGTCGCAAGCGGCACCACACGCCTACTGACTAACAACGATTCGAGGAAGGCACACGACGATCTTCATTCCTCGCTTTTCTGCGAAACGTCTATCTGGACGATAGTGAGGCAGTTGTGGTCTACACTAATACCCAATTGGGCTAACAAAGATTCAGTGTGGAGAGGCTCCAAAAAATTAACGTATATTGGTGTGGTGTAATAGAAAATTATTTGAGGGGCTAGCTAAGGAGAGGAGAAATGAGAAAAATCCTGGAGGCTAGATCAAAAACGATAACACTCGCAAGAAGCTATATGATGATATATTTCACCACACCTCCCAATTGCAAATGAAGCTTTGTATCTCTCTCCGTTTATATCAATACACGCTACGCTAATGGTGCTATCCAACATGACATTCTACAATCTCGGATTGTATATGTAACAGGTGACTTGTATAGCTCAGGACAGGCAACAAAGCACCGTTATATACGCGATTTGTGGAACTGCATTACGTTTGTCCAGTCAACACTGCCGCCAAGGCTGATGTGCTAGCCTCTTACTGCTTACGCTTGGTGTCATGATCACAAACCTCCTTGTCCGTACCGACCTCCAAACGTGTCATTTCGTCTTCGACAAGCTCAGCACCCTTGGCAACATGATTCACGCCACCGAAAAGCTCATCCATTTGCTCGAGGGCCACCTTCTTTGTTTCAGGAAGGCAGAGCCAGACAAAGGCAGCTAGGCAGATGTTACTCGACATGAAGAAGAAGAACGTTTTCCTTTTTGGAGTTAGCGTATGCTGATGCAAATATGCTGATTGTACTTACAATCCACAATTGGCGTAGAAGGTTGGGAAAAACTGCTGAAAGATGGTGTTCGCGACTCCCTGCATTTGGACGCACATGCCGACTGCCTGAGCGCGTACATGCATAGGAAAGACCTCTGACGTGTAGATCCAGACGGTAGCTCCCCAGGATGGTTTATAGAAGAATATGAAGAGGAAGGCCAAGAAGGCGATCGCGATGCCGACAGCGTGGGTTTTACCCCCATCCACGGTTGGAGTCGCGAGTCCAACAACCGCGATCATCATAGTACACAGAGCCATGCCTAAGGCTCCGACGACAAAAAGAAACTTCCTTCCGAACCGATCCACTGTCCAAACGGCGTTGAGAGTAAATAGAATACCAAAGGTAGCATTCAAAGCGTTGATTAGATTGATGGTGTCAATGCTGTGGAAGACCTTCTTGTAGATTGTCGATGAGTAGCTGTTAAGGGTACCCTGTCCACTGAGTTGTTGACCGATGTTGATGATGAAGACTAGGATAAGACGCTTCCGAATACTGGCATCTTGGATGAGTGCGAGATAAGATTTCCACCTGGTTGGTGCTGCCTCCTGCTCGTAAGCAATGGCCTCCCGGATACAGCGGATCTCCTCCTCGATCTCTTCATGTGACGCGCGCACTCTGTTCAGAGCGGCCCGGGCAGCATCCACGTTGTTGTGCCGACTGATGTGCCAACGAGGTGACTCTGGCATAAAGGGAAGTTGGAGCGTAATGATGACCGGAAGGATCAGCTGGAAGATTACGACTATCTTCCAATCCCAATCACCGAAGGCCTTCCGGTTCCTTGCACAAGTGTAGTTGATCCAATAGGCAACGAAGGACCCCACGGAGTAGAACAGTTGCCAGAAGGCCATGATTTTGCCACGAATTTCGGACGGCGTGACTTCACCGATGTAAATGGGACCAGACGCTTGGCAATATTTAGCAAACTTTCTATAATCCTACTGATTCACGGGAGCACTCACTGATAGCAATTCCTTGGCCAGCGCCGATAACCACGCGACCAACGATGAATGCCGAGAGAGCGCTTCGGGACGCAAATGTTTGAATGAACGTGACAACAATGGTCATGAGACATCCGATAGCCATTCCCCAATGTCGTCCAAGATGGTCAGCCTATGAGCAAGTCAGGCATGTAATCTAGACCGGAGAGCAGTAGTTGTTATGCTTACAATTGGGCCCGCGAAAAACCAACCAGCAATAATCCCACCGACACTGTAAGTAGTGTTGATAAGTCCAATCATATTGTTGTTCTGATTCTCAGTAAGCGCAGCGACGTATCGATGGAAGGTAAGCCTACAGGATGGTCGAAGTGGTCAACCCAATTCGGGGACACTTGAACCGAGTTGAAGACAGATGCATCGTAACCCATCAGTACCATACATCCTGCTGCAACTAGACCGATATACCTAAAGTATACGTCAGGAAACTTGGTCACTGCTGGACATAGAAGGTTGTGTTACCAGTTGTACACAAGCTGTTTGTTGACCATGCTGGAAGCCGCTGGGTGTGATCGATATAAAGAACAATAAGAATTCAAATTATGGGTTTCTGGAGGTTCTCTTCTACCACAAGATTGCAGCTATGCTATTGCGTTTTGGTCTACACGAAAGAGAAGGTCGACTTGATATAGAGTTCATCTCAATCACTGTGAGGCTTACACGTGCAAATGGATCAGAGCTACGATCAGAAGCACGCATGCTTGCAACCGTGCTGATTTTCCAATCAATACCTCAGTCTTGGTCATGTGCAGTCTGTGCACTGACAGCTGTCCCAGCTTTTGGGGAAGAGGTGCAACTGCGCTAATGCACCCCGCGTCGGGTACTACGCACTAGTCTCATTCGTGGAGAATTCCAACGGCATTAGACATGTTACGACCATGCAGGAATATTCTGGCCTTCTCTTGTCACTTGGTAGATAGACTTTAACCGGTACCTTTGCCGCAATATCGTGCTAACCATGTTGGGATCAAGGGTTCCATTCTGGGGCAGCAAGCCCAGCCGTCTTGTTACGACTTGTCACGTCTTATCACGCCTTGTCACGCCATTAAATATAGTGGCACTGTTCGAAGAATTCTACAATGACTATCTAGATATACACGAGTGGGCATTGTCTCCGTTGCCCGGAAGAATCGGCTTCAGCTGATGTCTGTATGCTTGGAGACATGACTTGTCCTTTCGATCTCGCCAGGACCTAGAGTTGCTCTGACAAAACTCTGGTCACAGTGGATAGTTTCCACAAGTGAACTACTATGTCCTCTTCATACTTGAACCCAATCCTCCCGGGATTCTTCCCAGACCCTTCATGTATTCGGGTTGATGACACATTCTATATGATCAATTCTAGTTTCCAGTTTTTTCCTGGACTTCCGATCCACATCTCGAAGGACCTTGTCAACTGGAAACTTGTCGGTAAGCCATGAGCATCTGAGGACTTCTGTAAAGACCATCAGCTTATCAGCTCATTGCAGGACATGCCATATGCAGGCCTGATCAGTTGAGCCTCGAGTATGCGACCACGAAGATAAACAACGCAGAGCGCAAGGAGATATTTACGGCTGGCTTGTACGCACCTGTAGTCAGGTGGCACAATGGCGTATTCTACATTGTTTGCACCAACCTCAGTGGCACGACGCATACCGCATCAGATGAAGACTTCAGGCCGCATAACTTCCTCGTCACCAGCTCCGACTTGAAGAATCCAGGCTCGTTTAGCATAGTAATGCCTTTTGATTTTCATGGAATTGATCCAAGCTTGTTTTTCGATGACGATGGCGAGGTCTACATGCAGGGTAGCTTCATCCATGGTTATCGGAAGAAGCCGGCTACCGTCATTCGGCAAGCTGCGTTTGATGTCCACACAGGTACACTGAAAGGCGAAGCCATCGATATCTGGACAGGATCAGGTGACAAGGTTCCTGAAGGACCTCATGTGTATAAGAAAGATGGCCTCTACTGGCTGCTCATCGCGGAGGGTGGTACACACCATGGACATAAGATCACCATGGCAAGATCGAGGAGTGTTTGGGGCCCATTTGAGGCCTGTGAGCAGAATCCGCTGCTAACAGGTATGGAAAGCTCTATCATCCAGTGCGTCGGCCACGGTGAGCTATTTGACGATGTTCATGGGTCCTGGTGGGTTTGCATGCTGGCACGACGCGAATTCGGTTCTGCATACCCTCTTGGTCGTGAGACCTTCATGGTGCCTGTCAGCTGGCCAAAAGCGGTGTTCCCCAAGATGGAACCAGTCGAGCTCATTCAAGTCCTGGATGATCGGCCCGAATTACCTGCTCGACACGCCCAGACTGCTGCGGAGGCCGTAGTGCTCCTTACATCTCAACGAACTCTGTATTTACGGACCCCGCAACTACAAAACTACGCTCAAACCGAAGATGGACACGGCATTATCTTGAGTTGCACAGAAACTCCTCTCGGAGCAGGTAGCGGCAGCCCAACGTTCGTAGGAGTAAGGCAAACGTCCCTGATCTCCACGGCCGAAACAATCTTGGATCTGAGTTCTCTGCCAGAAACTTGCTGCTGTGGACTGTCTCTGTATAAAGATACCTACCGCCATGTATCATTCGAAATAGACTCTGCTAGAGAGTTCCTCCGTGTTGCCGCAATCTACCCTGGACAGGACCTCGAGCATCTCCAGCCTATATCACTGGGCAGAGCTACAGCCGTCAAATTGATCATCGTCTCTTCGGTGGAACACTATTTGTTTTCTGTTAGTACCTTTGTCAATAAGCAATGGTCTAGCCAGGAGGTTCTCTTCCAATGTTTGGCTGCCAGCCTGAGCGGGGACGACTTCACTGGTAAGTCTTATGGAACGATTTGCTCTACCGGTCGTGGCACTAACATTGTCGCGGCAGGAACCGTGTATGGAATCTATGCGTGCGGATCTAGTGGTACAGTGAAGTTCGACTCATTCGAAGTAAGATAGACAGTACGCTTATGTAGAGCATGAACATTCTTATTAGTTTTGTAGGATGGTTCGTATGGATGAATCGGCTGCTGTTGTTGCCGTGGTGATACAATGCAATTAGAAATCTACCAAGCAGAAGTTCATCCCACGATCAGCGTAGCTCTTCGAAGTCGTGTCATAAGATCACCAGTTAAGCTCAAAATTTATAAAACACAGCAATGATATAGTTACGAAAGTCTCCGCCGATAGCATATTGCAGTCTCTAGTACTATCGTCCGTCTTTGAAAGGTCCATATCGCGATGGAGTGTATATTCCCTGATCTCTGCCGTATATTCCCACGGCGCATTTTAATACGGATAGAATCTCCTATCAATCCACGCAACATGCGGCTGCTTGCCTTTAGTGGTCATAAAGACGTGAGCGGGGCTATAGTAAGGCAACGACCCGGCCTTGTTCAGAACAAGGGTGACATTACCAGCGTTTCGGGCCGTCACATTCCATCCAGGGCCATGGTTCGAGTACTCGGCCATGACAGTGAGGTCATTGTAGTTCGCCTTCGCAGGGTCACTACTCCACTTGGTGTAGCCTTGCGGTAAGATAGTAGCATCCATAGAAGACTCCATGTATACACTTCGATGGAGAGCGTTCCAAGGTCTTCCCAACGAGCATCTGCCCAGATTCTTGGCTGCAACTGTGGATTTGGCTGCTTTCAGTGATGAATGGGCGACGTAGCATCCATATTTGTTGGGAAAAGTTGTGTTGGAGCCTTTCCAGGCGATGATACCACCACTACATCCGCGTAAGACAAGTTTGGATTTCTCGATCCATGTGGTCCCAAAGCCATATAAGAAGTCTGTTTGCCCAGCAATCTCTCCACCATAGAAGTATGAGTTGCCTTGATGACCCACGTAGACTGTATCTTGATAAGAATAGATACCGCACTGGTAAAAACCGGCATTCGCACGACTTATGCTCACTGCGAGGGATGCACCAGCGCTCTGCTCAGCATGAACATTGCGGAAGTCGAGGTTGTAGACTCGAAAGTCAGGGCAACCAAACGGAGTATCCGGAGGCACATTGAAGCCTGTAGGTCCAGAGCCCGTAAGGCTAGCGTTGAGGTTTGGCGCGACAGTCAACACAGATGTATACGCATTGTCATCGAAACCAGATCCGGCTCCATTTGCTGACGCCCAGGAGACGGTTACTAGATTTTTGGACTGCTCCTGTGGATTGCTGGTCTGACCGATGAGTCTTACTGGTGCTCTTCTGGTGACGTTGAGTTGTTCGGTGTAGCTTCCGGCGAGAATGAGGATATTAGACGTCGTCGTGTCGTTGGGTAGGGAGCGAATTGCGCTCTGGATCGTGCTAAAGTGTCCATGGGTTGCGTTCTTCCCTACAACGACGGTACCCTGGGGGCAGCCTTCCAGAACGTTTCGTGTGGGGAACTGGCAAAGCGGATCTACCAATGTCGACGACTTGGTATCTTGCGAGCTGCACAATGGCAGACTGCCAAGACCTGCCGCTAGAAAAGTAGTGAAAACTAACATGTTGATCCAGATGTGATACGATGCCACAGAATGAGTAGGGGCATGAAGCGTGTTAACACAGATCTTGGTCAACTAGCGACATCCAATAATTATGTCCACTACCTACCTGGTCAAGAATCTCCACAGTACTGTAAGCAAGTGCTGCTCAATTGGACCATCACATCACATACGAGTACACTGATTCTCCAGGAGATGCGATTCGCGGAACATTTCAGGGTGCGCAAGTCTGAAAAGTTGCTGTTGCATGGCGAGGCTGATGTACTTTGCATAATGACATGACTGCAATTGAGGCCCACAGCGAAACGGAAGTGAGCTCGGTAATTTAGCCTGAATTACCCCACGGGCACGATTACCCTTCCCAGAGACCCTTGGTTTGCCCGGACCATTGATGATCTATCGCAAGCGTACCTCGCTAGGGGTTGTTGGGGCATTTGAGAGAGCCCCGGTTTACCAAAGCCTTGACTCTACTGCTGAAGCCTCACTCTGATGCCCCAGGCGGCGGCAGGCACCAATCTTGACTGAGATGCGGCATGACAAATCTAAGGGGTGGCCTATTTTGAGTAACTTCAAGATATCGATGTAGAGCAGTTCGAATTCTCTGTAACATTGGAGACATGAACGGCCTCCAAGTACCCTTCGTTCTTTCCAACGATTCTCTAACCTCAACACAACATGAATTCCAGGTGGCCACACCACTACGTCAGTCTCCAGTTCTTCAGCTTACTCCTTTGCTATCTTGGGAAGCTGGTCATTCAATCTTCGGAGCAGACCTACTGTTATGAGAAGACTTTCCTAATGCTACTAGCGCGTCATGTCCTAATCTGGAACGGTGCCGATTGGAGAACTTATCTACAGGATAGCTCGTTTCGGGGACTGTCATCCTTTACACGGCAGGCAATGCACGATAGCAGAGAATCGACGTGTGACCTCACTTGTGAGAAGACGCTGATACGTGGTATCTTCGGATTAGCTTGGTTTTTGATTAGCCGTGACCCCAGTTTCCGCTTGGAAAGGTCAGCCAATACTAACAAAAGCTGTGCGTTCCCCGCACACTGGCTGCCGCACCGGCTTATAGAGTTGGCTCCAAGTGTTGGGCGACCTAGCCCTTCCCAGAGTTAAGCTTCAACGAAGAGTTCCAGAGAGAAAGGTCGCGCAACATCTCCCGTGCCAGCGATGTCCAGTATTTAAGGTCGGGAGAACCATAGCTTCGACGACCAGCCTGATAACGCTTCTGAATTTGCCAATTACTTCCCACATCATGCATTTACATCAAGCTCTTCTAGCAGTGAGTGTGCTAGCTGTGGCGGTTTCGCAATCAGCCCCCTCATCTCCCAATCACTCACCACCTTCAAATGCACCTACAGGCTTCACCTTAGGTCCGGCTACACGCCAGTCGAATCTCTTCAAAGTCTGCGCCATCTCCGATACACCAGCAGATGTCGGACCCTCCATCTTGAAGGCAGCAAAGGACTGCAACAATGGAGGAACGGTGTACTTCCCAGCCGGAAAAACATACACGATCGCCACAAGCCTCGATCTGACGTTCTTGAAGAACATCAGTTTTGCCATTCTCGGTCGAATTGTTTTTAGCGACGACATAGGCATCTGGCCTGGTCAGACATTTGACTACCCCTTCCAAGGCGCAAGCATGTTCTGGCGCTTTGGGGGTTCCAATGTCAGCATCTTCGGCCTAGGGAAAGGTGTTATCGACGGTAAGAGCAATTGTGAGTAACAATGATCTGAAGATGGAAGGCTTACGACTCACTAGGTCTTGGTCAGAAATATTGGACAGCCATGAAGACAGATCCTAACGTCAAACGACCGATCCTTTTCGGTACAGATGGCCTACACAGAGCCGTCATTTCTGGGTTGACTATGAAAAACCCCCCTGGATGGTTTAACCTATACACAAATTCAACAGACCTCCTTATAACAGACATGAAGTTAATCGTTGAGTCGGCCGACTCGAACTTTCCTGCCAAGGTGAAATGATCTACTCTGCTCAGTCAAAACTAATGAAAAGCTACTAACGTATTCTTGCAGAATACAGACGGCTTCGACACCTACCGAAGCTCTCGCATTGTCCTGCAGAACTCTGTGGTGCGCAACACCGATGGTACGAAGAAGGCTCTCGGATATCGTTTATTGCACTCGCAGCTAATACGCTCAGATTGCGTCTCATTCAAGCCAAACACCACTGAGATGACTGTGCAGAATCTCGATTGCACCGGATCGCACGGCATCTCAGTAGGCAGCTTTGGCCAGTACCAAAACGAGATTGACATTGTAGAGAATCTTTTGATACACAACGTTACTCTGCGCAATGGATCAGATGCTGCACGCATCAAAGTGTGGCCCGGGGTCCCAGCGGGTACAGTCAACTCTGAGTCAGGAGGCGGCGGCGGCATGGTACGAAACGTCAAGTATCACAGAGTCAGGTCTTACAACAACGAGAGTAAGTCGTGGTGATCACGAGATTGAGCATGGTCTGATAATCTGTTCCTCCAGACTCTCTTGCTCTCACTCAATGCTACGGTGTCAAGGACCAGGCATTCTGTAATGCGAACCCTGTAAGGCTCTCTTGTGGCCTTGACTTCTAGACAGCTACAACGTGTTAACGTCAAACCAGTCGTGACTCACCATTGAGAATATCGAGTTTGTCGACTTTGCAGGAGTAACTGGAAAGAAGTACGACCCGCGAGCTGGCTATCTAACATGCAGCAGCCCAGCAGTAATTATACTCCCAACCGCAAGACTTGAAAGTGTAGCAACCCTGATTTGCAAACAGGTGTGCAAGAATATTCGCGCCCGAAACATCAACTTCAGCGTGCCGAGTAACAAGACAGTGACGTACCAGTGTGTCAATGTCGATAGGTCTTTGTTGGAGTTGAACTGTATTAATTAGGCATTAGAGGGAAAACTGTGGGCGCAGCTGGAGGAAGCGCACATTTGTTTCAATATGTAACATGGGTTACATTCGAGTAGCGCACACAACAAGCCATCGGGTTCTCTAGCCCTAAGACCTCAATGTCTCAAAACCCAATCTCGAGTTGCTCCTAGGGGAAGAGGGAATCAAGCTTGCTATCCAAGCGATCAAGGGACCTCAGGAACTAAGCGTGCAACGCGCTGCTATAGTCTACAAGGTCTCTGAGACAACCCTCCGCCGACAACGCGTTGGGAAGTAGCTAATACACAATACCCACCCCAGACCATTAAATTCAAGAGCCAGAAGAGAGGGCGCTTGTGCAGTATATTAAGAAGCTTAATAACTAAGAATTTGCCAAAACGCTTTATTACGTTCGAGAGCACTCGTGACCGCAAACAATTCCCGCTAAACAGTGGCAGACTTGTTGCGCACCGCGCACGTCTTGCGATGGTGCCGCGGGTTACTGGTATCTAGCAACAGTCGAACTAACGATTAACATTTTGGAGCCACTCTCTGAATAACGGCTTCACATGCAGCGTGGTCTGTCGTTTTCAAAATCATATTGATGGCAAATTTGGCGAACGGCTCCTCGTCAACAATGGCATCCAATTTAGATGCAATGCGAGCCTCCGTTGAGGCTTCACTGCAGATTACGCGCTCTTGTGTTAACCGTACGGCGTTAGACATAATGAGTCGTCGCTGAGCTTGCCTACGATAGAGCCGATGTCGAACTTGTACGTTATGGGTTCCAAAGCCTGCTCACGCTTTGACTAGGTGATCAGAAGTCTAAGGTAGCTTTTGCACGCGCGAAATATGAAGTATTAGGGGAAGCATTGTCAGGGATTCGTCGTTGACGTTGTTGCTCATACTACCAGCCACGGAGTGGTCTGTTGTGTCTGACATGGAAGCAGCACGCGAGACGCCTTCAGCTAAAGGTCGAGACCGCGAGGCTACGGCTTGATCCGCATCTATACAATCCATGTTACCATAGTGGAAGGAGCTCTAAGTGTAGTCAAGTGATTAGTGGAACTGTTCTGATTTTACAACATTTAGTTTAGTCGTTTCCCCAAAATTCTTTGAGGTCCTCAGCCCGCCAGTTTGTTCCCCACCCAGTCTCTCTCTCGATCTTTGCCAGCAGCTCTAAGATTGCTGTCTGTTCACTTTCATGGCTCATCCACTGCCCGGCAATCCAAAGCGGCTGTACAGCATTCGTCCAAGCTCCATGGTGACAGTTGCTAGCCGAAATGCCGCAGATCTGACGCGCATGCCAAAAAATAGAACTCGGCTTAGGCGTGACTATAATTTTGGAAGGTTTGTGCTGCAACATTAGCATCGAGGACGTATGGTAGAGCTGATTGCCTGAAATAGCGGCGGGATTACTATACAAGACCGTCGGGAAAGGTCTTGTAGTCGGTGCGATGGAGAAAGTAGGACGCATTTCTGCTGGACGTCTCCTATACCAACCATCGAGATTGTGCCACAACGCTGTCCAGCGGGCAGCATACGTACTGCTGCTTTCTTCAATACCAGACGGCGAGGCTCCCACACGCTCAGTGAGGTGTGAGCGGAAACCAAGGAGATCAAGAACTTGAGCGCACATGTAGACGGCATAGCACGCATATGCGTCAAAACCGTCTTGTCCTTCGAACAGGGTGATAGCTGCATCGATGTCAAGCGATGAGGCCCAGTGTTCGATGGGTATAAGCGGGCTCATAGATGCGATCAGTCCTCCGCACACATCCATCCGAGCGAAGCACCAAAACAGTGCTTGATTGATGCCACCCGAAAAACCGTTGATACCAACGGCGTCGATCAGATAGGCACAACCTTCTAGATGTTGACGCCAGGCTTTGGGCGAGCTGCTCAGCATTTCAAGAACGCATAGTACAACGCAGGATGCAATTACGGAAGTGCTGCGCGTATGGAGTTGAGGAAGAACGAGCTGAATAGCCATTTGATAGAGGGCAAGGCTGCGCTCAGTGTGCCTGCTTTGCTGTTTCCGCTCAAGTTGACGTGCAGACACGGCAAGGATCGAGTACCGTAGGTGGTCGACTGAGCGTGCCATTACGGGAAGCGTGTGCTGGAAATGCCGCTTGATGTCGAATTTGTCTAGCCAGGGTGCGACTTCGTTCGTCCAGTTCTGCCACAACTCACATTCTTCTTCGTCGGACAGCTGGGGTACAAACGAACGTGACAAGTGTAGGCCTTCAGGCCGAGGATCGTCTAGAAGCGCCGAGAGTGATAGATTCCGGCTCGTCGTTTTGTCCAAGTTTGAACTCGTGAGCCAAGCTTGTTCGTCTCTACAGGTTTCCGGAGTGCCCGGACGTGTGGGTAGGGTGGATCTAACCTCGTGTATGAGATGACTTCGGAGCGTAGAATGGGCGTCAAGATAAGCGGATCCTGGAATGAAAACACTATCTCCGTAGAGATCAATAGCAACCGGACTATGCCAGAGGGACTCAAAGTCGCAAGGAGTAGATGAGGCCACAGGAAGGCTACCCATCTCAGTTTCGGAATGTTTAGTATGCACTTCGTAATGCTGAACATTGGCGAAGCTAGCAGCTACGTCCTCAGATGCCGCTCCTTCCTGCCATACTGAACTCTCTTGGGGTCGAGGATCTTGTCCGTCGTTTGTGTCTTGTCCATCGTTCATGGAGGGGGAGTCAGCGATAGCAAGTTGGTCGTCAAGGTGGCACGACGCGTCCGTGGCTTCAGAGTGCTGGTAGTCGCGAATTATCTCCGCCGTGATGTTTTGGATTCTGAACCGCGTAGGTTCTCGTCCCGGTCGCTTGTTCTGCAGCGCTGATGATCTCCCTGTTGTGATTCCCAAGGCGTTTTGAGGTAGGAACACGAGGCGCGGGCCCCATTTGCAATCATGGCCCCTGCTGCTACAGCGGCCACATGCAGGTCTTTTTCCGTCGCATTTTCTCTTCTTTCCTTTACAGTTTAGACATCTCGAGGGGTCTGTCAGCATGCAGTATCGGATCACAGTCAGGTTTTACGCATTATACTGACCCGTGCCGTGTTCTTCCCGCATTCGGTTCTTGCTGGTGGGGCATGCTGTTTTCTGCCATCCTCACCGTTTTATAAATAAGTATGTAACGGAGACCCGCTCTGTTGAGCAATGTGACGGAAAATTATGTTTTAATGGACGGTGGTTTCTCATATCCGTGCTGTAGAAAAAGATGTTGCCACTAGCTGGTGGCGTAGCGTGTGGAGACCCCGCATCTGGCAAGGAGAATTCTAGCGCAGCGCGCCATCAGGTGGGATCTCGAATGCGGTAACCCCGAACATGTCCACCGAATCAGGTCAACGTTCACCGCCTAGGCTGATCCAGAATGTCTAGAGCCAGCCACGTATCTCTCAGAGGTGTGCGCGTTCGGTAAGGAAAAACATTGGATTGACCAACTCTTGAAAAGGCAATATTGACCCCATGCAGGTGACCCACCCCCTGACCTTGATTTACACACGTTACCCAACACAAGGCGTCAGAAAATCTCGGAGCTTCTTGCCTCAACCCTGCCTCGTCACCTCAGTCATCTGGACGTTGGACTCTTTCTCGGCATCAACTCCAGTCAACCTTGCCAAGTCGCCGGGCTCCCCCCAGCTCTCCTTCCAATGCATCGTCACCTTGCCTCCAGTGAACAATCTGTCAATGTTCTCAAGCGACAGTCCACAAGTCTCTGGGTAGAAGAAATAGATAAGCGGCAAGAAGAAAGCATTGAAGACGGCAAAGTAAACATAGGTGCGCCATCCGATACTGTTGATGCTGACTGGAGTGATTTCCACAACAAGGAACGTAAAGATCCAGTTCGATGCCGTCGCGAGGGAGGCAGCACGGGTACGAATGGCGAGCGGCGCGTATTCAGCGGGTAGAAGCCATGGAATGGCAAGGAGTCCCACAGCGAAGAAGAAGTTGAAGAGGAAGAGCATGACGATGGCCACGATTCCCGCGCCCTTGGATCCATTCGCAACAGTACCCGCAAGCACGGCCATGCCTAGAAGGTGCAAAGTTAGCGTGTTTCGCACATAGGTCCAACCTGGACAGTACGTACAGGTAGCCTGGCCACCAGCGGCGAAAAGCATAAGTTTTCGCCGGCCTAGTCGATCGATGATCCAGATAGGTATCAACGAAGACAAGAAGTAGGCGATGCCGTTGAACCCAGCAAGCAACAGCGACAGATCACGCGTTATGCCCACGGACTGTTGGAAGATAACCGGAGCGTACTGGCGCATTGTTAGCATGCTTGATCATGTGAGCTTCCAGGCGGGCGAACTTACATAGGTGATGAGGTTGATACCAGATAGCTGTTGCATGAACTGGCCGCCAATACCGAGCAAAGTTCTGTGAAGGAATTTCTGTTCCCCGTTTTTCAACATTGTCTTGAAACTTCCTCCAGCAGCGGCTGCACGTTCTTCCGCCACTGCGTGTTGAATGTGAGCAAGATCACGTTTGAGACTCTCATCGTCCGGATCGAGGGTGCGGGCGTCCTTCTCTACTGCCCATAGAATGTGCTTTGCCTCTTCGTGACGATCATGTGCGATGAGCCATCGCGGCGACTCGGGCAGGAAGCAAACGCCTACAAACGTGACAATGGCGAACAATATCTGCAGCGCAAGAGGAAAGCGAAATTGCGCATCGTTCGACACGAAACTCATGCCGTAGTCGACCCAGTATGCGAGCATAACGCCGAAGATGTTGATAGCGAGTTCAATGCAGAGTCCTCGGCCGCGATCGTTGGCTTTCATGAGCTCCGAGTGCCAGACAGCTGATTTACGTCAGTCATCATCCCTATCATAAACGTCTCCAAAGGCATGCTTACGAATAGTACTGGTGTTCATGCCATTGCCCAGTCCTGCCACAATGCGGCCAACAATCATTTGGGGAATGCCAAATGACGCAGCTTGAAGCGCAGCGCCGATGCTAAGGATAACGCACCCGAGCAGAATGCATTTTCTTCTGCCCAGCCTCTCTCCGAAGAGAAAGCAAAAAATAGCGCCGAAGAAGCAACCAATCTCGTAGATGGCTACAACAGTGCCTTGGAGTGAGGAGCTGCCGCCGCCGCCATTCGCGGTGTCTATCTCCGGAAAGGTCTGTGTGAATGCAGTGCCAGTGAGCAGACCTGACATAACACCCTGGTCATAACCGAACAGGAGAAAGCCTGATCCTGCCGTGGCAGTGATGGCCCAGTTGAGGGGTCTGCCGGTAAGATAGGTCATGGTGGAACAACTAGGTTTTCTGTCAGCATGCGGCCCTCCACAGTCACCTTCTCTTTCCTGGATCTGAATTTGTACCTCAACAGGCTTCAATTGTGTGCCGCAGTAGGCTCATGTGCTGCTGGAAGATAGGAAAAGCTTCAGATGCCCATAGGAGTTGAACGAGTTCTCAGGGGGGTAGCGCAGGAGAGGGTTCGTCTGGTCGACCACAGAGAACTTGTGGGAGGCAAGACGAGATGGAATAAGATCGATGAATTCTGCAAGGTCCAGGAAAATGACTTGAGTATATAACCTCGATGGGAATGGGACGAATCGATGCTTGTGTTGCGTTGGTCCCTCTGGTATCGTGGGGCCCCGTGAATTTCCCCAGATGGCGTCACGTGGCACTTGGCTTGACAGGCAAGACAGACGACGAGCAAGGCACTTCTCAATGAGGAAATCGAAAGCGCAAGTGTCTGGCGCTTGCACCGCGCTAACCCATCGCGCCACGTTCACACTTTTCGGCCACTGCGGTCGGCAATGCCTATTTGGCCAGACTGCACAGCGTTCGACGTCACGCTGATCAAGCTTAACTCTGTCCAAATCATTAGCCGCGTTGCTTAGACACGACCCCACATCTCCAGCAGGCATGTGCGAACTTTTGTGGATACGGGAGTCGGCCTCGGTATTTGCAGGACATAATCTTTTTTCGGAACTTACCATAAACGGGATCCCGAACTACTGTGCTTATTTCTTGCCTACTAAAGCTAGAGATAGAGGTACATGTAAGATTCCAGTGTACTTCCACCCTCCCACCACTCCACGCTTACAAACATCAACCGTAATCCAAGTTGTGGCAGATCCGCGTTGCCTTCATACGTCGCATTATGACTCCATCGGCAACTGAAAGCGTGTTGGGTGCAGTCCTACCTTCTACGACCCCAGTATCGAGCTCGCAACTCTCTACAATGTTCTCTCTTGCGGGTCAAACGATTGCCATCACTGGCGGTGGTCGAGGGCTTGGAATTACTCTTGCTTCTGCTGTTCTCGAAGCAGGCGGCCATGTAGCATGCCTCGACATCCTTCCCGAGCCGAGCAGTACAGAATGGGCAACTTTGCAAAAACTCGCCAAGAAGACTTCGACCACAGCTTCGTACCGGAAGTGCGATGTCACAAGCGAGGCAGACGTTACACAAGTCTTAGAAGAGGTATCGCAGGAAGGCGAGGCGCGCGGCGCCCCGCTCCATGGCATGGTCGCATGCGCAGGGATTCAACAAAGTGTGCCAGCACTCGAGTACGAAGCATCCGACTTTGAGCGCGTTCTGAGGGTGAACGTTGTCGGGGCCTTTATATCGGTAAAGAGAGCGGCGAGGATCTTCAAGGAGAAAGAAACTGCAGGCAGCATTGTGTTGATCGCCAGCATGTCAGGCCAGATCGCCAATAGGGTACCTCATCTGTTCGTACTGAACTCCTGCATCGGTCTCTGACAATGACTACAGGGTCTGACCTGTACGGCCTACAACTCTAGCAAGTCAGCCGTTCACCAAATGTGCCGATCGCTTGCGCAAGAATGGGGCCAGTACGGCATCCGAGTAAACACACTTTCGCCTGGCGTAAGAGGCTTTCTGCACCATCCTCTCTTACAGACATCGCTGACCGATCTTGCAGTACATTCGAACTGCAATGACGGATGAACTCCTTGCGGCCGACCCGGAGGTCGAGAAGACGTGGATGGCAGGCGCGCTCCTAGGAAAGCTAGGCGTGCCGGATGATTTCAAGGCGCCAGCGATATTCTTGTTGGCTGACGGCAGTCGATTCATGACCGGTGCGGATCTAAGAGTTGATGGTGGTCATTGTGCTGCAGCTTGAGATTTAGAGACGGTTGGATGAACGAGACACAGAGAGGGGGGTGTTTCTCTGCTCCCTTATACTTTCTTCTAGATTGGAAGCTTAGATGGTCTGAACAGAAGAACAAAAAGGAACGACAAACTACACGTCCGCGTATTCTTGATGTTGCTGCGCGCATGTAAGCTTGCAACACTGCCTTTCACACATACCTTGTTCCGTCTGTCTCAGTACTCTGGACGCGTCAGCGGTACTCCGTATATTCTATCAGCCTTATCAAGCACGGTAACTCGTCCTCATACACTGGGACACGTATCCGAGCCAGACATGGGAACGTACCTTGCCCGAGGGTTTACAAGACGTCAAGATCGTTTATGCTGTCACTAGTGCGCTATAGTGGCTCCAGCATAGCGATCTCAGGAACAGAGCGAACCGCCTAACAGTTCTGCATTCGCCCGCTGATGGTTACATGTCTCTCCGTAACCCATTTCGTAATGGAAATAAATTGATGTTTGAATGCCCTCTCAGCTTGACGAAGTTAGAGGCTACGACACTCTTCTAATGGAGAACGAGCAAGAGGCACTACGAGCAACAAGATACCACGAGGAGCAGATATACGTACGCATCGAAATGATGTCCTCCTCGAAGCCTAGCCTCGAACAAGGCCCTCAAAGAGCTTACTGAGCCCCCAAGCGCCTGGATCCGGGATCTTCCCCAACCATCTGTCTTCATTGCCGATATACACAGACCTTCCCAAACCGGGCCGCATGAACCTCGTCTTCTCCGCGCCTTCTCTGGCGGCCAGCGATGCCTCATGCAGGCCTGCTGTGCGCAATGTTGTAGTGAAAGGGATTAGGGCGTCCATGAGCGTCCTGTCGCCCACAGTTGCTGGGGTGTATCTTCCTAGGGCAGCGAGCGCCGTGTCCAGAGCGTCGCTCCAGAATCCCGAGTTGACGGTTGTAGGTTCGTGTGCATGGGATTTGAAGTAACGGGTAAGGTTGTTGAGGAATATGGCGTATAGTGCACCGGAAGTGCCATCCATGTTGCTTTCAATCGACGATGTGATGCTTGTTAGTAAGCTTACAACGTCAGTAAGTGGCAATGTCTCGAGTAAATTCAGAATGCCTGCGTAAAAGATTAGTGTTACACTTCCATGTCCGTCAGTCAGATCGACGAGCTTACCTTGTGCGCCTCGTTTCAGAGTAGTCCCGCAGTCTCCGTCCCCAACAATGCTATCGTACCTGGTGATTTCCGACTCCGAAGCAACAACGCTCTCCAAGCCCGCTCGAAGACAGCTTACTGTCTCGTCTAGATTGCAATCGAGACGACTTTTGAGTTTTGGATCGTTCTTGTACATTACTGGCATCTCAGCTCTCTCATGAAGCTGTGGGGGCGTCGAAGTGCTTGATCGTGCGATCCCGTGCCAGCCAAATGCGTTACAGGGCGCATCCAGCAATTCCGCAAGGCTTTCCTCGACGCCTGTTTCCACTGCATTGAGCAAGCTGATCGAGAACCCAGCTCCGTCCAAGCTGGTCATGAACGTTCCCGAATAGATCCTGATAGTATCCTTCTGATACCGTCTCTCCAGTTGGTCCGCAACTTCTGTAACAACAGCACCCAGCTCCAGAACACTCAAAGCGCCCAGGTTGTTCACTAGTACGATGACCTCCCTAGTCTGAGTTTGGAGAAAGTTCCTTTCGGGGTCGTTTACATCGAGAATCTGCTGAAGCATCTCCGCAATAAGGGAAGGGAGTTCGGCATCGGACGCGTTTCTTCGCCCGCAACCGAACTCGTTGTGTATGCCCATTCCAAGCTCAACCTCATCCGAAGCGACGAGATTGTCGGTGTCTTCTTTGGAGGTACCCGGGACATGCACCCGGTCAAGACATGCCCCGATACTTCCAAGGTTGTTGGCAACAAGTCGGCCAACACGCACAATAGTATCGAGGTCATAACCGACAGAAGCCATGGCGCCAGTGACTTTAGCCACCAAGACGGTTCCAGCAATTCCACGTCGTCCTACCCTTCCCGCTCGGCTCCTTACAACGCTGACATCGTCGCCCACAACAAGCATCTCGGTCCTTAACGCTGGATTGGCTGCCTTCGCTTTCTCTAGAGCCACGCCGAAGTTCAAGACGTCGCCAGTATAATTCATGAGTACGACCAGAATGCCTTTGGATGCGTTGACGTTCTCAATGGCAGTCAATACCTGCCGAGAAGACGGCGATGCGAAGACCGTACCCGAGACGGCTGCTGTGAGAAGGCCTGCCCCAACGAAGCCCGTGAACGATGGCTCGTGGCCAGCGCCACCACCAGAAACGATTGATATTCGGTCATGTTCGCTTGGAGCATACAAGATCTTGTTTTCGGTGTCAACGGACAAGGCTGGGTTGATGAGCTGGAAGGATTTGAGGGCGGACACCACCAGCGCGGTCGGATCGTTTACGAAATGCTTTGTTCGCATGTTGTGGAAGAAGGCTGGACGCACGAACGATGTCAAATAGATGGGTTTGGTGGAAGTTGAACGAGAGAGAACTTTCGTCGCAACAAACTGTGAACATGTCCCTCAACATCGAGGAGTGCACTACGACAATAAGAATGATCTGAGACCTGCGTGCCTGATACGCTACACAGCTCGACTTAGAGCCGTGCGAACGACTTCGCGTACGTGCGCATGAACACCCCAAATCCGGCAACACAACCTCCTTTGTCTACTCGCTGTTGTTGCCGGATCGTCTCAAGGGAGTATGCTGCTCGCTCTGTCGTCCGTTGAGCATGCCTCTAGACTTTGTTACGATAACAAAAGCACATTGTCTGATAGCTGCTGTAACAGACTGGGCGGAACTTAGAATGGCTAGACTCGAAGTCTGTGCGTCTTTGTTTTGCCGCTAGTTTCGAGCGGAGGCGGCTAACATATCCTAAACAGGAAACCGGAAGCGCCTCTGGTAGAAAGGATACCTGTGCGCGCCGCATGCGTCGTCGTTACTCCTTATTCTGATATCTGGGGCGCGGGTCGCGGCCCATTGCTAGGAGAAACTGCGGCGCTTGACCGGAAAAGAACAGCTAGTGGTTGGGCTTACCACTTCCAGACGTTAATGCTGTGGGGTTGCAAAGGAGACTGGGTGCCCTCATCATATGTGTGACACACCGGATAGCCCGATTGGGCTTTCCGGTGCGCTGCCATGAACATAATCCAGACGATTTCGTTGTACCGATGCCATGATAGTCCAGAGAATTCTTCGGCCTTCTGATCAACTCTTGCTTTCGACTCTAAATCTTGGCCTTTTCTCTGTCCCAACATGACAGCCGCAGACACGCACCTCGGACAAGATGTTCCACAAGCGAACGGCGCAACCGACTACGGCGACAATGTTGTTGATGCGTTGAAGAAAGAAGAGAAGGTGGAGTCGCGGGCGGTACAAAAGTTATCGAAGGAGCAGGACCATGTATTGAAGAGTTTCCGGCTGCTGATAGCAGACTTGTGCCAGCAGTACAATGGAGGCCATCCCGGGTAAGTCCACGTTAGTGACCGCTGGAAGGGTAGAGAACTTACGAGAGAGCAGCGGAGCTATCGGAATGGCGGCTATTGGAGTTGCGTTGTGGAAATACGTGATGCGATACGCGCCACACACTCCTGACTACTTTAACCGCGACCGTTTTGTTTTGTCAAATGGTGAGCTCTGAATCCTGCAGTATTTGGAGACAAGATTTGGGACTGACTGCGACCAGGGCACACTTGTCTCTTCCAGTATTCCTTCTTGCACCTTACTGGCTACAAGGCCATGACTCTGGATCAGCTGAAATCGTACCACTCTGACCGAGTCGATGCATTGTGCCCTGGCCACCCAGAAATCGAGCACGAGGGAGTCGAAGTCACAACAGGCCCGCTCGGACAAGGTGTTGCAAATGCGGTCGGTCTAGCTATAGCGACCAAGAACCTGCAAGCTACCTACAACAAGCCAGAGTTTGACATTGTCTCAAACCACACGTGGTGCATGATCGGAGACGCCTGCCTACAGGAAGGTGTTGCGCTCGAAGCCATCTCACTGGCAGGTCATCTTAAATTGAACAACCTTACCATCATCTACGACAACAACCAGGTCACCTGCGACGGCAGTGTGGATCTCACAAACACCGAGGATGTCAATGCCAAGATGAGAGCTTGCGGCTGGAACGTCATTGACATTGAAGATGGATGCTTTGACATCGAAGGCATTGTGGAAGCGCTGGACACAGCCCGTACGGCCACTAGTAAGCCCACATTTGTCAACGTCCACACAATCATCGGCATCGGCAGTGCTGTGGCTGGAGACGCAACTGCTCATGGTGCTGCTTTTGGTGCTGCGGACGTGGCAAACATGAAGAAGCTCTACGACTTCGATCCAGAGGAAAGCTTTGTTATTAGTCGAGAGGTGCAAGACTTTTTCAAAGACATCCCTGCAAGAGGCCAGGAGCTAGTGCAGGAGTGGGAAAGGAAGTTGCAGGAGTACGATGCCAGATACCCAGACCTGGCCGCGGAGCTCCGGCGACGGACGAAGGGTGACCTGCCTGAGAAATGGCAGGAACTGATACCAGACGCGTTCCCGGATGCAGCCACAGCAACGAGGAAATCTTCTGGTCTTGTGTTCAACCCCATCGCAGAGAAGATCAACAACTTTGTGGTGGGCACGGCGGATCTGTCGCCATCGGTCCATATGATGTGGAAGGGCAAAGAGGACTTTCAGCACGTGTGTAATGTCCCTACTGTTGCAAAGAAAGCTCACTAACGATATCCAGCCGGATCTGAAGACAGCTTGTAACATTACCGGCAGCTACAGCGGCCGGTATATCCATTACGGCGTGCGAGAGCATGCCATGTGCGCTATCTCCAATGGTCTTGCAGCCTTTGGTCCGAACACCTTCATTCCTGTTACGTCAACCTTTTTTATGTTCTACCTCTATGCTGCACCAGCTGTTCGCATGGGCGCGCTGCAACGCCTCCAAGTCATCCACGCCGCCACACACGATTCTATCGGCATGGGTGAGGACGGTCCGACCCATCAGCCAATCGAACTGGCCAGCCTCTACCGTGCAATGCCTAATGTACTGTATATCCGGCCAGCTGATAGCGAGGAGACAGCAGGAGCATGGATTACAGCGATCAAGGCAAAGAACACACCATCTATCATCTCGACATCACGACACACATTGCCGCAGCAGAAGAAGACACAACGAGATATGGTCGCCAAGGGCGCGTACGTGATTGAGGAAGTAGAAGACGCTGACGTGACGTTACTTGGTGTCGGTGCAGAGTTGTGCCACGCCGTAGACGCGGCCAGAGAGCTAAAGGCAAAGAACATCAAGGCGCGTGTTGTTAGCTTCCCATGCCAGCGCCTGTTTGAAGAGCAGCCACTCGAGTACAAGCGAAACACGCTGCGCAGAGACCGTGGTGTTCCTGCTATAGTTATTGAACCGTATGCACCAAATGGCTGGGAGAGATATGCCGATGCTGCCGTCTGCATCAAACGCTTTGGCCATAGTCTGCCTGGCAAGGCCGCCTACAAGCATTTTGGCTTCGATGTCCAGAGTCTGGTGACGAAGGTTGAAGTGTACCTACAGAACTTAGAGACGGATCCCATTCTGCGCAGCGAGTTCGTTGACTTATAAGCGTTAGGACCTTTGCAAGGTTCGGGAAAGGTGCGTGATGTAAGACAGTTGTACAGGGTTGTAGTAGTTGCTTTCAGAACCTGCCATGTAGGAATTGTCTAGAACAGCTCCACATATACACAAAGCAAAACCTCGGTTTTTGATGATTGATTCAACCAGTCCTTTTTCAAGCCTGGGCTCATTCTGCCAGAAAGCTGCTGATAACGTTGTTAACCGCCAAGAGAGACGTCTCCGATGACTGGGTGTTCGGCTTCCTCACGCGTTAGTCAGATGCACTCACATCACGATGGGACCTCTGCCATGGCCTCCAGTCGCAACGCTGCTGGTTCCCACGATAAGTACAGCAATGGCTTCGACATACTAGGGTTCAGAATAAGCGAGAGGAACATAGGGGCGGGGCACACGTACGATATGTATGAGAAGGGCTTCATGATCGGAGTACTGGGCAAGAGCAAGAGGATCTCCAGCAAGACAGAGTGGAAGCGGAAGCAGTTCAAATATGCGCTTACGGATGGCAATCGCGAATGGATAACGCTCGTAGCGTGCGTCGGGGCTTTTGGAAAAGCCCTCCCACCTGCCCCCATATACTCCACCGAATCCGAGAACGTCCAGGAAGCGTGGGTACTCGACGCGGATAAGAACAACCACCACATCTGCGTCACCAGGACTGCCTCTGGGCTGTCAGGTAACGATACAGGCCTTGGCTGGAAAGCTCACACTCAAAGCCTTTGAGGCTATGAGTGTTCACCCACTCAATCGCGGCAGAATCCTTTGCCAACTCAAGCCTGCAGCATCTGAGACCTCACGCTCGCCAGCAACACTTATGGAGAAGCTAAGAAGGTACAGAGTGCCGCTAAATTATTGCTCCATTCGACTTTGCTGTTCTTGTGCCAGATCGGTGCGAGAAGATTCTTCAACGGACGCCACGAGTCATACGCCACTGGCTGCGAAGCTGGGGTTCGCACTCCTACACACGTTCCTTTAAGCAACCCTGACAAGAGTTTTAGACAAGCTAGATACATTCCCTCTCTTAGCCGCTTCTTGTGTTATATGTTCTGATTGTAGCAGGCCTGCTAGGCTTTAGGTCAGAGCTCAGGCAAGGTGTACAGCCTTAGGTTGTCAGAGACGCAGGTGCGAAGAATGGAATCTGTCTGGTCAGACCTGACCGCTGACAAATCCTGTAATCCGGAGTCCTCCTCCTCGTCTCGTTCATCGGGTACCGTGTTTCAACTACAAGTGGTGGTTTGGACAGACCGGTCGGCTGATGACGTGTTGGAAGGCAAAGCCACCATCCACTTCTCCGGGGTACTGGGTATCCACCCTTACGAGTTAGCGTATCGCGCAGCGTACGACTGCATGCCATATCTGTCTGCTCCGTTGTGGGTCGGTAGACTCATTACCCTGGAGTATGCTTACAGTTTCCCAAAACTGCTTACCTGTGCAGTATTCTTCGAGTGTCGTAGCCGTGCCGCGTTGGCTGCCATGGAGAACCAGGGCATCTGAAACATTGGGATCGTAAAAAGAGGCCCGGAACCCTCTGCTGCCCTGATTCTATATTCGCAGGCTATCTTTCTAAGCCGTCATCTCTTTCCCTGATGCAAGACGGCTGCAGCCGAGCGATCTGTATATGTACTCATTCTCTGTTTTTGTTGACTTTCGTCGTACATCTCTCACATTACGCAACTTGGACCTCTTGATCGTTCCATTTGCCATCCAAGCCCGCCTGTCTTCAGCCACCAGTGCTACAGCAGGTCATCCTAGCGGCAAAGCTCTATCTCGAGACAGCTGGCGCCACATAAGCGACTTTGCTGAGTGTTCGTTGCCTAATGCGAGCACTGTAGGCCTGGGTGATCAATCGACAACAGAGTCGCTAGCTGACTCTCGTGTAGGTAGGTTGCTTACGAGGAGGCTGGGGGAACTAGAGAGTCGCGTCACTCGCTCTGCTCCAGCAACAAATCAGCCCACAGCTCCACAAATCCCACCTGGATCGACTGATCAGCTGATCGACAAGGCCTGAGGGTCAACGTACGCCTTAACATGCGGAGAGTAACTTGTAATCTCCACAACATAATGTTGAGATCCCAAGTACTCAACCCACTATGCGCCGGATCGATTTGGCGCCTCCAGTGTTAGACGCACCTGCGCCAATACACGGAAGCCCCCTTTGCGAAGACCCTGACCGGTTCAGTGCTGTTTCCGATGCGTACTAAAGAACTAAAGAATAGAGATTTGTGGCGTACATGTCTCAGGCAAACTAGATGATGGGGGGCAGTGCATAGACAGATTCTGCGGTTGTGATGCTAAGAAATCAAGTTGAGATGCAGACGGACGAAGAGGGCCTCTGGTCATGTTTCTGCGATAGGAGCATATTTCATTCTTGGTACAGGTTTGGAGCCACTCTGCTAGACTCTGCACCTTGAAGAGACAGATACGTAGCTACAGAACTTGCAGACACGATTTCGTAGCTGATCATGCTTGTAAGGGCTTGCGACTTTCGTAATCTTTCAGAGCACACCATGCAAATGATTGACTAGCTAGGGAAGCGCGTTCGCTCAGACGTTGCTCTTATTGCCGTGTTATCAGGTGACGGCGACGGAGGTCTTTGCTACTGTGCTATTGCTAGATACTGTTCATGTACCAGAAACTGACTTTAACATAGAAGAAATAGAGAAGAGTACTACCGAGCGGTGAAGGTAGCGGAAAGTAAGAAGTAAAGCACGTAACCTTACTTTACGCAAGCTATCCTCGGCGATAACAATTGTGTTTACTTGGATTGGAGAAGCAAAGCTTCAAACATGCTCTATTCTCTCTGTAAGCCTCGGCTTACCTGTATCGCGCGTTAGAAGGATGTCTCCGCCCTTTTCGGCTGCGTGGTATTCGTTGAAATTCTCCAGGTCGCCTGTAGTCGCAGTCCATTGGAGCTGAACTTTCTCGCCAATGAACAGTAGATCGATCTGTTCCAGACTCAAGTTCCGAGTCTCCGGGTAGAAGAAGTACACAAGTGGGACGAAGGCGGCGTTGAGCGCCGCAAAGTATATGTACGTTTTCCACTGGATGCTGTTTATAGAGACGGGAGTGATCATAACAACCAGAAAGGTAAAGATCCAATTCGACGCAGTCGAGAGCGCAGCAGACTTTGTACGGATTGCAAGGGGTGCGTATTCGGTCGGCAGCAACCACGGGATGGCAAGCATACCGACGGCGAAGAAGAAATTGAAAAGAAAGAGCATGACGATGGCTACTATGCCTGCCGACTGACTTCCCTCAGCGACAGTGCCGGCTAGGATGGCCATAGAGGCTGCTTGGCCTGTGCAGGCGAAGATCATTAGCTTTCTCCGGCCCAAGCGGTCCAGGACCCAGATCGGAATCAGGGACGAGAGGAAGTATGCGATACCGTTGAAGCCAGCGAGGAGGAGGGCAGTATCATGGGGTATGCCAACGGAGACTTGGAAGATGACAGGGGCGTACTGCAGAACTGTCAGCCACGCCTGCACAGGCACTGCACGTCAGATATACGTACGTAGGTGATCAGGTTAATGCCTGAAAGTTGTTGCATGAACTGGCCGCCGATCCCGAGGAGCGTTCTGCGCAAGAAACGTTGTGGACCGCCTTTAAAGATAACCATAAATCCTTGGCCAGCAGCGGCCTCTCGCTCTTCGTTTAGCGCGTGTTCAATAGCATGCATCTCAGCGCCGACTTGCGGAGAGGTCTCGGTGGTTGTTTTGGTATCCCGTTGCAACCGCCAGAGGACGTTGCGAGCTTCATCGAGTCGATCATGGGCAATGAGCTATTGAGTGTCAACGGCTGAAGGGCCTCGTGGAGAATGGACATCCTTACCCAACGTGGGGACTCGGGCAGAGCGAAGACCATGACAGCAGTGATAGCCGCAAAGACAATCTGGAAGGCGATGGGGAAGCGGAACTGCGCTTCGCTTTCAACGAAGCTCATGCCGTAGTCTTTTCGTTCTTAGTATTTGTTTCACAGAGGGAATATTTTGCGCCTACCCGTCCAATACGATAGCATGACACCGAATATGGTGATGGCTAGTTCGATGGATAGACCTCGGCCACGGGACGTAGGCTTCATGAGCTCAGCGTGCCAAACCGCTGGATGTGTTAGCATTGACCAGAAGGCGTTGTAGTTGCAGTCGCAGAATGTGGAACATACGAATGGTAGCGGTGTTCAGGCCAGTTCCAAGGCCAGCCACGATCCGGCCGACGATGAGTTGTGGGATACCGTAAGCTGCAGCCTGAAGCGCAGCGCCAGCAATGGTGATGATGGAACCCACGATGATAGTCCAGCGTCTTCCTAGCTTCTCGCCCCCTCCAAACGCCATCAAAGCGCCAGCAAAGCATCCAATCTCGTAAATGGCAACAACCAGCCCCTGCAGCGAGGTGCTGCCACTTGCACCTTCTCCTGTGGTGTCTATTTCCGGAAACTGCTGCCTGAAAGCTGTGCCTGTGAGCAGGCCGGACATGACACCTTGGTCATATCCAAACAACAAGAAACCACACCCTGCTGCCGCAGTGATGGTTACATCGAGTGATCGTCCTGTGAGTGATGACATTAGAAGGATGTCCTGGAATGTAGAGGTAGAAGAAGTGCAGAATCGATGGGTTGTTGGTTTGGTTGAACTGATAGGGAGGCTTGCTGAAGGTTATGCGATCTCCTAGGCATGCTTTCAAGGACAGAAGGGCGCTACTAGACCGTAATCCGCAATAGCGGAGAGTGTGGCTTTTCGAAGGCGTTCCTCGAATGTGGAGAAGCGACAAGCGCATCACCTGCGCAAGTTTGTCCAAGCCGATGCAGGCATGCTCCGGACGGGCGATCAGTCCAGACCAGCCACAAGTCGAGCGTATAGGTTCTGAAGCTGGCAAGTTGAAGCGCCGGTGCACGTGGAACGCTAAGTTCTCGAAGTTTCGAGCGCTGGAAACCTGCCTTTTCGGCTAGGTGGCGGCTGCAGATAGGTGTGTCGAGTAAAATAAGGTTTCCCAAGCGTTTACTCTTTTCCGATGCCACGGGAATCAAGATGTTGTCGCTTAACCTATGGGTGAGGGGTTCGGAAACTGCATCTCAGTCGTCAGACCACATCATGAAACCTTCACTTAGAGCCTAGTCACCTCCAATCTTCAGCTTGATTCAAACATTTAGCCGAGACGCAGACGACAGGTACAAAGCCAAACTACTAATCTTCGTGACACAGGTTCATTGGAAGAATTGGCAACTACAGTCTTGACCAGATCCTCCCATGGAATTTCGATTAGGCCACCAATTCAGTAAACCTGCTTTGAGCAGAGTTGAAAACGAATCTCTGAATGTCGACCCCATACGCTTTCTTATTACCATGTTAGCGCCTTCTCTCAGTTTTGAAAGTCAACTCGGATTTCTGCACCTACTGGCTCCAATCTGTACACTGTCCCAAGCGGAATCTGAAGAGCGCCCATGTCTCGGCCGGAGAAATATGCCAACAACGTAGATACAACCGAGCTGTGCCCAATCAACAGCACATGGTCAGTCGTTCTTTCCATCTCCAATAAGACAGAGTTGACGCGGTCTACCAAGTCCCTGTTTGCGTCGCAACCGTTGGAACTGCACGAGGTACTCCCCTCTCGCAGTACGCCAGCACGAACGTCATCCAACATTCGTGTATGCCGTATCTTGTAACGCGTCTTTTCGAGAAACTGTGCTGTAAGAACACTACGCCGCATCATTGAGGTCCAGACTGAGAAGCCCTTTATTTTGTTGTCTCCGTCGTCTGTGGCTTCATTCGCCGGGGGTTGCGTATCAGTCAAGGGAATAGTGTGCTTCCTCTCTAGCCAGTGCTTCCGTTGAGAGTCGATAGCAGTAGCTAACGCCCGAGCAAACTCAACACCTTGCGAACTCAGACCCGGGTCGGTGCCACTCAATCCAGACACGTCCACAGCACACTCAGCATTGCGCGTGAGCCATATCTGGCGTGGTTGGAGATTGAAATGCTGCAGATACGTCGCGACTTGCGAGGCGAGATGGCCCATGATCTTGTGCGACACGAACTTCCTTCCGACATCTATCATCTGGCAGAACGGGATGTCGTGCTGTTCTTCGTAGTATCCTAATGGCGTATACTTCTTCTCGTACATCCTGACTCGGAGTTTGAAATCTTCCAGTGCAAGTCCGGGCTCTAGCTTCTTGTAGTCAGGTCCGGAGAGTTTGAGCCGCATGTTCATTTCTAGGAGCTGCAGATGCCATTCAGTCACGCGTAAGGAAAAAGATAAAGAGATAATGAGTGCATACTGACCCTCTCGTCATAGCAATGGCTTTCCACGAAAAGAGCTTTGAGAGTTCTCTCGTTGCGCCGTCGAACCCTATCAACAATCGCCACTCGCCTGTCGACCGTGCTGTTGGTAGCATCAAAGATAGCACAATGAGCTCCGGCCTTCGGATCGAGTAAGAAGTCCAACAAACGATCAAGCGTCTCCAGCGCAACGGCTTCCCTGGTCCTCTGGGCCTCTCGGTTCTCCGGGTCGAAGAAGGTGGCAGAGTGTTCACCTGTTGTCACAGGGTGTCCAAGCGGTGAAATGGTTAGTCTGCGACGACGATCGCCCACGTTGAATATCCTTGTGGGATGTTGACGCCAGTTAAGATAGCGGCAGAGCTTCTTGGCTACATAGCTCTTACCGCGTGCAGGGAGGCCGACCATGATTATGAGAAGCTTCTCGTCAATGCAGTCTCTATCCTGCAAGCTTCCATTCTTTGATCCTTCATGCTTGATCGAGTCTGAGTCGGGTTCGTTGGCTATCGGACCTGTAGGTGAAGGGATTTCGATAGGCATTGTGGAACGTTGGCACTCGCTTCCAGCTGGGAAGAGTTTTTGATTCAAACACAAGGATACCTGTGATATGTACGCATGACTACACTGAGCTGGTCGTAGTGACGCCCAGGCTCTGCAGACGCTACTCCGAACATCCAAAACGAGGTGAACACCTCTATTTCGATTATGACAATACCAAGCGCTCAGCTGACGCGCAATCAGTCCCTCCTGTCTTTAGCACTCAGCAGAAAATCGCGCAGGCGACAGACGTGCTGTGCAGCGCTTCAACTTCCCGCATTCGGAAAGCGCGGACTTCGACCAGGATCAAGCGCCTAACGTGGCGCCTCCGCTAAGGCCGAGCCCTGGTTCTCCAGCCGTACGCCAATGCGTGGGGAAAGCGCTTAGCGCTCCGTTACTTCGCCGCTCAATCCAGCGCTCCCCAGTAGTCTTTCAGATTCTCAGCCCGCCAGGATGTTGCCCATCCGGTTTCTCTCTCAATCCGAAGTAGAACGTCCAGGATTACCCTGTGTTCTAGAGGGCTGCTCATGACTTTTCCCGCGATCCAGAGCGGTTGCAGCGCGTTGATCCAAGCGCCGTGATTATCGTTCGAGGTCGAGATGCCGCATATCTGCCGCGCGTGCCATAAAACGGACCTGTGCATCTTACCAAGCTTGTGATCTTTTGGTATTGACTGTAGCATGAGTAGGGCAGAAGCGTGGTAAAGTATATTACCGTTGATCGCAGATGCATTCCCATATACAATAATTGGAAAAGGACGTGACGCATCGCCGATCTCAGCAGGATAGGATAACAACGGCTGCATCTTTTCCGGGCGGCATATGTACCAGTCTTGCAAGAGGTCGAACATGGCCTTCCATTCGTCAAGGTACGAATTTCGGTGATCTTGCTTGCCTCCTATTGTAGCATGTATTCTCGTAACCACTCCCAGCACGCTCGCGCACAAGAAAACAGCATAGTTCGCGTAATTATCGAAATCAAGACTCGCGCGAAACTGGCTCACGGTCGATGCCATGGTCTCGCCCTGCTCCAACCACTGATTGACAGGAATTTTGGATGCGTTCTCGGACATGAAGCCGCCCCAGACGTCCATGCGCGCAAAACACCAAAAGAGGGCCTGCCGCATGCCCCCCACGACACCATTGATCTCAGCTGTTTGGATGAGGATTGCGCAACCATCGAGATGCCGGCCCCAGTCTCTGGGTGAGCTGCTCATCATTTCCAGAACGCAAAGGAGGACACATGACGCAATGACGGCTGTGTCCATCGTGTGCAGGTCTTGCACTATCAGACGGATCGCTTCCTGATATAAATCCAGACTCTCGATGTATGGATTGTTTGTGTTTTTGCGCTCGATCTGGCGAGCGGAGAGAGCGAGCATGGCAAGCCGGAGGTGCGCGGCCGATTTGGCCATTATAGGGAGTGTGTGTTGGAAGTGGCGTTGGTTATCAAACATGTCAAGCCAGGGTGCGACTTCATCAAGGTAATTCACCCACAATTCCTTCTCTCTCCGTTGGGAGATGTTCAGCTTTGGCGGACGCCCTCTCGCAGACTTAGTCTCTGGTCGTAAAGACGTCGATCTGCCCTCGTCCTCATTGATGGAATCATCCCGCTCTGGGGTCTGTCGCGCGGAGAGCTCCTGTGTGCATTGCCGGGTAAATCCAGTGTTCCTTGTCGTCTCCAAGATGGAATTGTGGAGTGTTGTATGCAGTTCTCGATATACAGCGTTAGGATAGTGAGTTGCGCACATATCCGGTGACTCGGCCATCGATAGATCCAAGGATGAAGTGTCTACCTGTTGGACGTGATGAGCGTTCCGGAGCTCTGGCAATCCGCGGTCGACTGAGAGACATGAATTCACGATCGAACAGCTGTCCGATCTCGAATTAAGATGGTCGAGTGACCCACGTTGCGGTTCGGTGAATACGGAATCCCCTCTTCTCTGCGCGCGCTGCGGAAGTTCAGCAAAGGTAGAAAGCGGGGAGCTGCTCAGCCCTACTTGGTATGGAGTTGCTTGGTGAATGATCTCTAGGTCGTTCCGACTATGCTGATATTCATTCCGGCCTGTCTGAGGACTTGCCTCATGTAACAACCATGAGCCCTGCTGGCCTGCTCCAAATGGCGAAGTCTGCAGCTCATCACCACTGACTGATCTGAGAGACTCCATGACCGGCCTATCTCGGTGTGCGGCCTGAGACGGCCCGTTCACGATGTCGTGCCGGCCCGCGGTCAGTCCGTACATACGAAACCTGACACCTGTATCCCATTCGCAATGTTCGGCTTTGGATTGACATCTCGAACAGGCTGGCTTAAACTCGTCGCACTTTTTTCGGCGTCGGCGACAATTCAAGCAGCCCAAACGGCCTCGCGTTTGCTTGGTTAGCTTGTTGCTACGTTTTCCTGATGTATGATTCGCACTGCGAGATGCCGAAGTAGGAATGCCTTCGGCAAGGCTGCTTTCTGGTGGAACCGGTGTCTCTGTCATGATCCATGTGCCATCCCAGTGATAACTTGCGTGGTCATAATGGTAACCGTTGTTATCATTACTTGTTCGCGAGATCGAGGACAAAATGTCCAAAACCACTGGGGCAGTTGGATGTTCGCGTGACGGAGCTGTGACCTCGGGTCTGGAACATGCGGGGTCCTACCAAACTAACCCTGTACGGTAAAGCGCCAAACGGTTGTAGACGCAGCCAGGGAAGCTTTCGCGACGGTTCTCAACCAACCACAGCCAGTGTGGCTGAGATTACGACCCGCCGAATGCCTCAACAACTCAGCTTGGAACTTGTATCTCACTGTTCGCTGTTCGCGCATCGTAACCCACGGTTTACTAATGCGCTCTATGCACAAGTCTGCAGCTACTCGAGGTACCGGTACTACATCTGACTGAAGTCAAATGCAGCTGCATCCACCTGGCTCTTTTATTTAAACAATCATAGCATCAGTCATGACTAAAACTCCTTCTTGGATGTCCAGCGACATCTTTCATGGTTCTGCCATCTCCCAGAGATTCCAGAGCGCCATCGAGTCCAGGCCGCAGAATTACCCTAATCCGTCATAGCGAGCATATCAGTGCTTAGGAGCTCGCTGCCGGTCCAGTCGCTGCTCAATGCTCTTTCGCCTTTTAAGAACAAGAACAAGCTTCTTAAATGCTGCGGTGGATGTGCGCGAGTAGTAGTTGAGCCGGCATACTCCGCTAGAGCATCTGTGCCGCCGGTTGGTGGCAAGGGTGCAGCTGCAAATTCGCACAGAGCAGTTACTGCGCCTCACCACCAACTGGAACTGATTTTTGAAGATCTGGTCGATCGACGCATGTCCGGTTCACAGAGCTCGCTCAGCCACCCTCTATGGCTCCAATCTACATTGACACCAGGAGCTCTCTCCGAGCCTACATTCCATTGCGTTCGCCGGATGAACGTTCTGCACTACGAAATTATTCCGGATCGGTGACTATCATCGACGCTCGAGGCATCTGCATCTCTATAAAATGCCAGTCTTGTTGCTTCCTCTCGCTCTACAAAGAGGTCAGCTGTTGGTTATGCCTCTTGCTGCGGAGTGACCGGAAAAATCGAGGATTGAAGACCTCTCAAGAAAAACTGTTGGCAGAGTACAGCAATGGATATTAGGACTCCGTCTTCTATAAAGTTTTGTGTAGCGCCGTGCCGACCTCCGCGTTTCTTCCGCACGGCTCGGTGCTCATGGAAACATGCTGACCTCCTCGACTGAACAGTGAGAGCTGATGAGATGATCTGGAGGCATCGAGAGCATTTCTCCCATGATGTAAGGGGAATTTCGGGATAGGAGGCGAGGCAGGTCTTAGCCAGAGAATCTTATGCCTCGCTGGATTGACGATCTCCGGGCAGAATGTCCCCATTCAGGAGATAGGAATCTCTTGGGTACGAAAAACGCAATCTTGTCCGGGCAATGTGCAGTGTGGCAGGAGGTTCGGTGTAGGGACTGCAAGTGTTGGTCAGTATTTTTGATTCTACCACGTCAATTCTGGTGGGAAATGGTTGACTAACGAAGCCCACGCTTTGCTAAAACTCTGCTCGCCTTTAAATTCAGCAGGGAGCTTCTCGCGGGGCTCAACGGGTAGCTCTTCGCATGGCTCGGGTGGAGCTTCATCATATGGATCATGAGGGGTACCTCGCAGAGGCACCTCGCAAAAACGCTTCCTTGATAATAGCTTCTTCACAATTTGTGTTTGCGGCCGTTAGCTCATGCATAAACCGATTTTCTTATAATGTTTTGTAGGATATATACTGGTAGGCGTTACATTGCCTATATAACGATGATGTTGTCAGATCGTGTCGTGGTGACGTTGATTTGAATCTCTGGGAGCCCGTCACGGAAAGTATGGTTATAAAGGTCGGGTCTCCAAGAAGTCAACCACGTCTGCGAATTACATGCAGTCATAATGTGTGAGTCGCGGAGTAGTTGCATTACCAGGTCTTTTCATTGGCTAAGAGATTTTGCCAGGCCTTCTCTGACACGATCTGCTGTTGGTGACGGTAACACTATACACAGCCTTCGCACTGGCCGAACGCTGGCTCGACGATACACGGGTCGCTGCGCAGTCTCTTTTTTCGGAGCCGTGTACTCTGGAACTACTTTGCTGACGGAAATGATATTGCCGGTTCGGTATCAGGAGAGCATTGGGATCCTTACGACAGGTAGAGTCGAAGAAAGAGTTTCTGCGAACACCGGTACATGAATTATTCCCTCACTTATCCCCGACAGAACTCAACATCAGCTTTCCGTTGGCAGAATTTAAAGTTTACCTGAAAGGATGAATTTTTTCAATTTTTGGTAAGAGCCCGATAGAGAAATTGTTCTCCAGGCCTCCAGATATCTAGCTCTGCAAGGGCTTCTTTTGAAGGCATTGTGGCGTAGAGTGATAGATGGTGCAAAGTGAGGTCCAAAGTAGGTGAGGTGGCTCACGCACTGACCCGGCTCATGAGGTGTACGGATACGGTATGTACCGGTATGCGAGCCAATCAAAACGTCACAAACTGGAGTCAGGGTTAAGTCCGGTTGGGCATGTATCTCGTGACACTCCCTTGGTGCTCTGTAAATGAAGAATCGAGAATCGAGAATCTCACAGCGGGTGCTGATGTATTAACAACGCGTCATGTTTTGCTTGGACAAAGATTGGAATTTGGCGTGCTGCGTTTTTCTGAGCGATCCCAGCTGACCGATGGATTGCAGAGTTTATGCAACCAACCCAAGACTCGATCAGGAATAGATCAGCTGCAGGACAAGATGTGCAAAACTCCAGTGTGCCATGGAATCTCACCAATTTCCTGCCTGCCCTCACATTGCTTCCTTGACGATCTCTGACGTACTTCTGCCTTCTGGCTGGAACTTGAAGTTTGGGCGGATCAGCACATTTTGCCGCTAATCATAGTGTCGGCAGGGACAATGGCGGCCGACCCGAGACGGTCCATGCCGCAATACCTCCGGATCTCCCGCACGGCTGCTTGGTTTCCGTGCAGGCATTTTCATGCTAATGATCACCGATGCAACATAGTAGATTGTGTACAGGTGTCATCCTCCGCATCGTGATGTCAAGGCTGACAGCTTCGACATTTATTGCAACTGTGCTGTACGAACAAGGTCGTTTCGTGGGCTGAGCACTTGTGCAGCACTGTAACATCTGGTGACAAGACACATTACAATACAACACAAAAGATAGTATCTACTGAGTAGAGTTGGGAAGATTGGCTCGTGCTCTGACACTAAGGCGATTGTAGTAACGAGAAGCGCTGTTGCATCCAGAAAATTGCAAAAGTGTCCTTAGTGCCCCTGGCAGGGTTTGGTTAGAAGAAACGAGCCCCTGCGTAGGTTACGTGGTTACTGGATTACTACTACCAAGTACCACAACGTTACCATTGATGCCATCCGGATGGATTTCGGCACCAACCCCCTACCTGCGGCACTTTTCGGAACACAATGTACTCTATCTAGAAAGCAGCGCGGATGTAACGTTGTGTGTGGCGCACCGACAGACCAAAGTGCTGATATACAGCGCTTGTTCCACAAGAAAGGAAAAGTCATCCCACGACTCGAATCTCCTCACCAGATCAAATCAAGACAGCTAGACTTGAACTATGTTTGCGTATATGATTATTGGTCTCGTTATTTTCTATAGCATCCGTCGCCTCCTACTCGTCGGATCAAGGCCTGCAGGTCTTCCTCCGGGCCCGCCAACAGAACCTCTTTTTGGGAACCTTCGACAGGTACATCGCTCCCAAAATTCAGTAGCTGAAAGAACCCTCACATGGTTAGATGCCAAGACATAACCAATGGAACCTTTTCAATGAGTGGGGCAACAAATATGGTTCTGTTTTTACAATCATGAAGGGCTCCACGCCTTACGTCATTGTGAATGACCCCGAAGCAGCACGCGAGCTATTCGTCAAGTTGGGTCAAAGCAGTTCAGGGCGACCGAATATCCATACAGAGCTCGCTATTAGAGGAGGGAACAATCTTGCCATGAGCGACGGCGCGTTATGGCGAATAGCCCGCCGACAATGGCATGCTATGCTCAACGTTACATCTGCTAAGAAATACCTTCCGTACCAGACTTTGGAAGCAACCAAACTACTCTGTGACATCCTGGAGAGTCCAGAAGACGTTTGGAACCACCTTCCAAGATACAGCAACTCTGTCTCGCTGAGCATGACTGAAGGATACCGGGTGACAAGCTCGGCCGACCCAGTTGTCGCGTTGACTCTTGCCGATTTCGAGAAGTTTTCAACCTACCTGCAAAACGCAAACTGGTCGAATTTTTTCCCGTTTATCTGGAAGCTCCCTACGTTCTTTTCGCCCCCTAAACGTCAAGCATGGAACATATACCGGGGTTGGATCGAGACTAATTGGGATCGTTTCCAGAAAGCAAGAGCCTCGGACCTTCCGTCATTTTACCAAGTCATTGGACAGGCACAAAAGTCTCTTGGAATTAACGACGAACAGGCGCTCGCGATGGGAGAAGCTTTGCTTGCTGTAAGTCTTAAGAGCAACGTGTCAGATTAGCTCACACTAACAGACGGTTCCAGGCAGGTACTGAAACCACAGCAACCTCAATTCGCGCTTGGATGGCAGCTATGGCCATGTTTCCCGAGAAGCAAAGGAAGGCCCAAGAAGGTATAGAAGTTTTTCCAAACGCAAATTTGGCAAGGGCCCTAACTCATGTCAGAAATCGACTGTGTCATTGGCAAAGATCGCCTGCCACAAGATACAGATGCAGTGAATCTTACATACGTAAGGCAAATGATACAAGAGTACGTCAACCGTTGTCATAAGCTATCTCAAACGCTGACTATTTTCTTCTATCGTAGAGTACATCGATGGTCTACTGTCGCGCCCCTTGGCATCACGCACGCAGCCTCTAACACGTTCAAATGGCGAGGATATACAATCCCCCAGGGTACCGGCTTGATTCATAACACTATGGCAATTCACTTTGACGAAGAGAAGTACTCTGAGCCTCAGAGTTTCGTTCCTGAGCGATGGGAAGGCAGGGTCAAAATGGCGGCAGAGAATTCGGTGGGCGCTAGCTCAGAACTATTCACCTTCGGAGCCGGTCGCCGCATCTGCCCTGGACAACATCTCGCTGAACGAAGCATGTACCTTGTCATTGCGAACATGCTCTGGGCGTTTGATATATCCCATGCAGTCGATGCGGCTGGGAAGAAGAAGCCTATAAACACAGGTGATTCGAAACCTGGAATTGTGAGGGCATTTCCTGACTTTGAACTGTCGATTAAGCCACGCAGCGAGGAGAGGACAAAGATCATCCAAGAGACCTGGTCGCAGATGAGAGATGAATTGCTGGATGAGAATGAGCAATGGAAGGAGATACCAGAGGGATTTAGAAACATTGTACAGAAGGCAAAAAAGCAGTCTAGTAGCTGAGATCCTAGTTTTCGCAGCGAAGCTAGAACAAAATTCTGCCTAGAAAGTCAAGCTTCCTATAGAGGGTAAAAAGCAAGTAGACTACTAATTAGGTATAGCAATCGAATACACGTACCTCAATAACTATCCAAATTATCGCTGTGTAATCTTCTGGTGCTTCAGCTAGGTGGAATTGGACAGCAGTAAATGGCCTGATCCGCACAGGGAAGTCAGCAATTACGATCTCAAAGACAGTCATAATCTCATATAATGCGCCATGGGTACCAACTTTGCCGCAGTCTTGCAGGCCATCAGTTGCAGACTTGAGCGGCTTAGACACCTCAATGTACTCAGTGATCACTGCACAGTCTGCGGCTGGAAGCACACTTGGTCGCATCCACGATGGCACAGTTGGCAGCTCGTTGTTATTTCCTTTCGCAAGTCCGTCTGCGCGTTCAGTCTCCTGTATGTGGAAGGAGGCGTAGCTGTCAGTAACTCAACGTCGCGTTTAAAGTAGTCGTGATAGCTGTTCCAGCGTGTAACTGCTGGTTTGAAAGGCTCTCAGTGTCTCGCCGTAGCGTCAGTTAGCATTGTAGCAGCTTCGCCGTTCTTACGGTCCTCAAAAAATCTCCATTGTTAATGTGGTTAGCGTTATCAAGAAACCCCTTAAGCGAACCGTCTTTCCGCCATTGCTACATATCAAACTCTTCGTGGCTTTGGTTCTCTGGCACGTTCTCACAGGCGTGGGAATCAGTGCCAAACGTGGTGGTTTGATCAACGAGGTTAAATATATGGCAAGCTGCGTAGTCTGCTAGCACGAAAGCGACACAGGCTTCGCCAGCCAACACCAATTAGTACAGCAGGCCCGGGCGGGATTTCTTTCGAAGAGCGCCGAGTGGCTCTATCAACTATATTACACTTAGAGTTCTCACTGATTTCAATGACAACCTAGTAACGTTACTGGCTGACATTTAGAGAGGTTGCAGCAGACTCCGGGGGCGAGGTAGACACTTTTGCCAAGCCCACACCAAAATCTACCCCATCATGGCCCAAAACAACCCACGTTAGATCTTTTATAGTGCGATACAGCCGCGAAGATCACTCAGAGACTTACCTCTACGTCTTGCTTACACGTTCGCGCATTGCGTCCAGTCTGGTTGCTGCAGGCCATCTAACGCTATTAGGGCCCCTTCTGTTTGACACATGCTTTTGTTTGTATGATTTTCGTCGCGTAACGGCCTCATTTGCAGCTCGAAGCTTAGCGATTTCCTGTTGCGCCAACACCAGCTTATTCAACAATATCGCTGCGCCCGTCATGTAATGAGATAGAGCAATCAGCGTGGAATCTGGCGAGCTGTCTAAGTGCTTTCTGAAATTTAACTCAAACCAAAGCTGGTTGCAGCCCAAATTCCAGGGTGTTGCTTGGGTTTTACGACTGCCAGAGTTCATTGTTATCAGGTGGTTGTAGTGATGTAGTGCGCAACTTCATATCAAGACCATTAGTCTGCTGTGGGTTGAAAGAAACCAATGCACCAACTCGAAACCCGCCCTGAATGTTACTAGGAATAAACGCTGCGTTATAGACTGCGTCAAAGCATGGCAGGAACGTAGTATTTGCAATCCTTTGTAAATATAAGTATAGTGGTGCATAGCAGCACATTAGCGTGCATCGACGTTGTGCGTTCTTCCCATTAGTAGCGACATCAGCCTTGCCATCGATATTCACATAGCTGCGCAATCGGAAAAGTGCTCAAAGGGTTTTTTTTTTTTCAAATCTGTGGGGATCATGCTGACCTCGGAGAATCATAGAAGGTGTTGGCGCTAGCCGGTCGTGCTACGTGCTCCACTTTTCCGGCGGTCCTCAAACCCACCTCCCTGCTCTCCCCACTTCGCACTTCCCTAACAAGGTAATGGTATCATTTTCCGAGACGAGAAGGCGGCTTTCCGCCTAGTAGCAACGATGCAAGTTAGAAATCAGAAATCGAGAAACGCGCCGAGATATTTTAAAGCCGCCTGGTAAATCCGAAAGACGCACAAAAACTTGACCGGTCTGAAACAGGGTCGGCTACTGGCGAGGGCAGAGAGAGAGAACCGTACCCTCAAATGATGAGTCTGAGGTGATTCCGACGTGATGCAGTAGCTTCATGATCCTCTTGATCCTAGTGGTAATTATATTATCGTTGTGTCGTATGTGTCAGGATTTTAGTAACTGACGCTGATCCGGTCGTGGTTCAACTTCCTACATGTACATTATGTCCGAGTAACTCCGTCGTACGATCCTTTGCCTGGCTACTGTAGTGTGGACAGCACGTTGGAAAAGACCTAGTGTCATGATCAAGGCTGTATATATGAGCCTCATCGGTTCCCCTCAAATGAACATCCAAGGCAACAACGTCAAGCTCTTAGCGACACTCATCTCCACTTCATCACAAGTGCAACAACCCCTGACTCGTCACTATCCAGACCTCGATATGTCCTTTCTCACTGCTCCTCTCGGCCGCAATGGTCCACACGTCCCACGTATTGGGTTGGGTCTTATGGGATTGTCCATCTTCTATGGAGCGACCAAACCGGATAGCCAGCGTCTTGCACTCTTGGACAAGGCTCACGACTTGGGCCAACGCTTTTGGGATACCGCAGATATGTACGGCGACAACGAGGACCTGCTCGGGAAGTGGTTTGCCGCAAACCCGAACAAACGCTCGGATATCTTCCTGGCAACGAAGTTTGCGAACAAGACCCTTCCAGACGGAAGCTCGGCCGTAGACAGCACACCTGAGTACGCCAGAACAGCTTGTGAAAAGAGCTTGCAGCGGTTAGGTCTGCCCAGCGTGGATCTTTATTACGTACACCGAGTCGATCTGAAGACTCCGATTGAGAAAACGATGGAGGCGCTTGTCGAGCTAAAGAACGAAGGCAAATTCAAGTATATCGGCCTTTCGGAAGTTTCTTCTTCCACTCTGCGCCGCGCACACGCAGTGCACCCGATCACGGCCGTTCAGATCGAGTACTCGCCGTTCGCTTTAGAGGCTGAAAATGAGAATGGCACCTATCTCCTCGCAACCGCTCGCGAGCTCGGCGTGGCGGTTGTTTGTTACAGCCCCCTCGGACGCGGTTTATTCGGCGGTGCTCTACGCTCGCCAGACAACTTTGAACAGAGCGATTTCCGCAAACATCTCCCTCGCTTCAGCCAGGAATCCTTCTCCAAGAACATTAAACTTGTAGATCAGCTGACCGAGGTCGCCGACGAGAAAGGGGTCACTCCGGGCCAACTGACGTTGGCATGGTTGTTAGCGCAAGGCGAAGACATTTTCCCCATTCCAGGCACAACGAGTCAAGAAAGGCTGGCGGAAAATGGACATAGCGTAACGATAAACTTGACAGAGGATGAGACGGCGAAGGTGAGAAAATTGGTCGATGCAGCTGATGTGAGTGGGTCGAGGTACCCTGAGGCATTCATGTCGCTCTGTTATGCCGATACACCTGTATTGTAGATGTGGAAGAGGGAACTTGGGGTTAAGACTAAGTTATACTAAGTCCAAGAAAAAAAAACTATGTTAATGTGCAGAAATATACTATAACGTGAACCACAAGCGAGCTGATCACACAAGCGAGCTGATCACTAAATACGGCACCCTACGTTTACACGCGAACAACTTAACACCACGATAAGCTATTACAACTTACAGTAGCTTAAATTAATTATCTACTTTTACTGTATCTTTTTAGCACGTGCGCTTGTTGTGCCCAGTTTCACCGCATGTCTTATAGCGTCGGATACTACCTCTACTACCACCTGCGCGCAGCCTCCCATCACGCGCCTCCCTCTCAAATTGACTATTAACGTCCCTTTGCTTAACTATTGCCTCAGCCTCTACCTATAATAGGGTCCCTCCTTCCTGAATTCGCTTCTTTTTACGCTTCCTACGCTCAGAAGCAGCTCTATTTGCTGCCTTAAGGTTAGCTACCCTAGCTGCTAAAAGCACCTAAGAGTGTACCATAATATCCGCCCCTTTTTTAAACTGCCTTATTATCTTAATAATTGATGCTGGTGATAAGCTATGGTGCCTCTAAATCTAGTTAAAAATAAGCGCTGATTAAGCCTCTATTTTAATAGCGTTGCTTGGTGTTTTAGGCTGCTAGGTAGTATGCCCTGGTAGCGGTGGTAATGGCGTACGAGGCTTAACTTCAAGCTTTAATAACACCGCCCCTAGGTTATATAGTACTAAGCTAGTTGCCTACAAGCTTAATATAATATTCTCCTTTAAGAACGCGCTACTAAATACCTAAGTAGAGGTAGTTAAGAAGGCTTTCTTGTTAATATAGTTAATATAGCTATTTGCTAAGACATTAATCTCCTTCTTATATACCTGCTTTAAGGGAGCAAAACACCCTATATTAAGGGGCTATAGGATATAGGAAGCGTGCGGAGGCGTATAGAGGGTAATAATCTTGTTCTCCTTGCATAGATCTTAGAAGGCAAGTAACTTATAGCTCTTATAGCTATTAAGAATAAGTAGCTAGTAACTACCTACTATTTAAGCCTCTATATGCTAGATAAAGTGCTGTAGCTAGGCAACACTAAGCTTATTTGCTGTCTAACTGTTATTACTAACACCTATTCTCTAATCCTTAGGGTTATAGTACTAGGCTTGGTTATAGTGCTTTGCTTTAAAGATTAGAAAGGGTAGAGCAACCTAGCCTCTAGCGCTAATTGCAGCAATTAACATTACTTACTTATAATCGCTAGGCTAAATTCCTAACAGCTTAAGGCGCCTTTTAGACGCTGTAACTACCTTTCCTAACCCTCTAATACCTATCTAGAAGCTAGTCTTGTTAAAGTTATAGGTATCTTTGTCTAAGATACTATATATAGCTTTAATGCTATATACAAGATTAAACTAGGGGCTAATAATAGCTAGATTGCTGCATAAAACTCTCTAGAGATTATACTACCTAGTTACTTAAGATTTAATACTAGGCTTGCGGCATATAAAGTTAGTAGCCTAGTTCTAGCTAACCTAGGTACTACTACGTGCAGCAAGTAGCTAATTAGCTATTTCTTATATATAGCTAAGTATAGGTATAAAACCTTATGCGTTAAGCTTCCTTATATACTAGACTATTGTCTCTTCCTTATATTTTACTAACTTTAATAGATTAGGATAGATATTGCGTTAGGCAGGTGTTTTAGCGCGTTAGGTACTAAGCGTGCTTTAAGGAACGTTATAGGTAGCAGCAGCGCGTTGCTAGCTTAGTAATATATTAGATTTTATAGCTTAAATAGTAAGGATTAGCCTATTCGCGCAGGAAAGTAATTTAAGATTAGGTAGTTGTAGCATTATAATAGATAGCAGGAGGTAGTATTGTCTTAGCAAAGTAATTAGCTCGCTTATATAATTAGCTCGCTTATAGTTTATATTATGCCTAAACTATACTAATAGAGTAGAGTTAGGTTGCCCCTAGGGGCAAGGTCTTAGCATTGCTTGCCCCTAGGGGCAAGAGGTCTGTGCTAGGATTCGCGAACTCTTAACCTGCTTACAACTAATCTAACATAGCTTTAATAATAAACTTTTATCTTTAGAGAAACTACTCTTCCTAAACACTAATTCTAACAAAAGCAAAACTATAATAAAGCGCAAAGATAAAGACATCTTAACTAAAATAGGAAAAAGGCAACGTATAGCCGTTAAGGAAATTAGGGAGGCAGACTCTATCTATAACTAAGCTGCACCCTACCTGCTTGCAACAGCTAAATTCCTAATTAATGCGCTTGCCTTAGAATAGAGTATTAGTGTGAACAGGCCTATTAACCTAGCCTATAAGCAGCGTCTCTGCCAGATCTTTAACAAGGTAGGCGTTCTTTAGCAAGACAGAAGCTACTAGTTGCAGGTCGCTTGCTCTAAGGCGCAGGTGCAGTAGATGCTAGACTACCTAGTAGAGATAGGGCAGGCTTAGGTAAGTGCTACTGCAGCTAAGAGCGCTAAAGAAGGGGATCTAAAGTAGCTATTGTTTAAAGGCTAGGTAAGCGCGGTAGGAGCAAAGGCAGAGCTTATTGCTAGCTACTATTGCGTTAAAGCTTTTAAAGAGTACTTGCAGCGTTATAAGTTGCTAGAGGAGGAGTAGTAGTAGGTGTGCAGCATCTATAACAAAGGTTTTAGCCCCTGCACGTGTAACTAAGTAACAAGCTAACCTAAAAGGTAGACACGCTTCTATTATATTTGCGCATTTAGCTGCGTGCTAATTAAGAGGATATTATCCTTCCTAATAACTATAGATAGATATAGATAGAGCTAGCGACCTTGTTATCTAATAATAGCTAGCTATTCTAAGGTTTAAGCAAGTCTATTAAACAGGAGATGCTAGAGCACCTAAGGCTTAGTAGTTAAGTTAAGTTTCCTATTTAATAGCTAGCTATGCTATAGAGAAATCTTAGCTAGAGACTAATAATTACCTAATAGTGCCGCACCTTAATTAGGCAAGCAACCTTTAATATCTTAACGTTTAAGTAGATAGTAAGCTATAGGATAGATAATATAAGTATAATCTATATTTAGATATACTCTATATATCTATGCTAAGTAATAACCTAGTATTAGTTTTCTGCAATAGATAAGGTAGTAAAAGTTATATTAGAGTTTTAAGGCTAGCATAGACTAGATGTTTAGCTAGCTAACTAGAATAGGCTAGCTAGCCTACCGCGCGTGCGAACTATATATAAGGTGCAGGCGCTATTCTATCCTAGCCTTAAGCTAGATGTGGACCCTTGTTCCTTAGGCATATGTTAGCGAGACTTCTTCCTAGACGTAGACAACGTTATATACCTTAGGTTATATTAAAGGTTCTTTTAGAACCGGGACGCTAGTTTATTAATATCTAGGCGCTTTTAAAGACTATAAAGCAAGAAGGAAAGCTAATAAGCATAGTAATGTCTTATGTTGCTTTATAGATAAACACGGAGCCTAAGAAGGTCTTAGACTATAATAATAATAAGCCTGCGCTGCAAAAGGACCTAGTACCTGCGCTGCAAGCAAGGTATAGCGACAAGGCTAATAATAAGTCTTAAGACCTCTAGCAGGCAGTCCTTAATTATGTATACAAGAATATAAAAGACTTTACTATAACTACACTAGAGCACTATCTCTATAAGTATCTAGGCAGAGATAATAAAGCCTATAGCACACAGTTTAAGTATAAGGTGTAGAGAAAAGTATTGTCTATTATTATAATCTATGCAGGGTTGTCTCTATAATATAGGTATATTGCCAGCCCTATATTAGAGAAGATTTATAAAATTAGTCTACCTATAATTGCGCAAACTATGCTTAATCTTATCTGTTAGATCCTAGAAGTAGTAAACAATCTAGCGCTTTAGTTAGTAACTATAGCTAAACAGCTGCTTAGCATAATGCAGCCTATAATTGCTTAATAGATAATAAAGCAACACATAGATGCGTTAGATCCTTATAGCAAAGATAGGTAACTAACTACTATTAGCCTAGTAGATATGCAGCACGCAGAGAGTAAGCTGTTCTCTTATGCATTAATTAGCTACGCAATATATTAAGGGCAGCTATTAGCAGAAACGCAGAACTATAGGCCCCTTCCCTAGGCTTAGAATAGACTAAATATGCACAAATCTATCTAGGAGCTAACTACTGCCCTACTACCAAGCTCTAGATTAATAGCGGAGTTAGACGTAGGGGTTTCACTACAGATAGAGATGCAGGACTGAATGCTAATTGACTTTTCCTTAGACAGGCTAAATAACCTTTAAAAACAACACTGTTACAAAAGCGCGATTAGCCAGCAGACGACTTAGCTGCAACAGCATCCCCTTAACGCAGAGCCTTACCAGCCTAGATATCCATCCACATCTCTTTCTTCATGCGCCACAACCAGCTCAGGAGGAGGACATTAGAGGCAGAGAGCATTAGCAAGACGTGGGAAATGACGAGGATTTATAAACTCCGAACCCACCGCAGAAGGTCCAACATTGGTACCTGGCACCTACCACGGTAGCTGAAGATCATCAGCGCTAGTAAAAATAAAGAATAGAGATTGTGTTACATGTTCAGTGCTCTCAAGTTTAATCTGCCCCGTGGCTTGCCCCTGGGGGCAAGCGGACACCGCACGATCCTACCGCCGGATCCCGTCGGCGATTGCCTTGCTTGTTTGCTGCCTCTACAGGTCTCACGATGGATTTCGACGCATTTGACGATGAGATTTTGAACCTAAGTCCACCCCAAGACATAGATCTATGGCCAAATTCGCCACCAGCCGTTATCGCAACGCAGCCGACGGACGCGCAACAAAGCACCAACAGCGATGATGATGGTTCTGGAGACGACGATGGACTCTACGGCGACGCGTCGCCCGGCGAACTCAGAGATGACTGCAGCGAGGGCAGCTTTGGCGATGGAGAACAAGTAGTTGTGGCGGCAGACCAGGATTCGTGGAAGATTGATCACTCCAAAGGAGACCACAAGTTCAAAGGTGTGTTGGTGTTCGGTGGACCGTGTGTGCATGCAAACGCAAACAGCGACTGACGACGCAGCAGTGCAGGAATTCATCGCGGCCACTAAGAGCACATCTTTCGACGGCAGCCAGGCTATCGACATGCTGCAGAGGCGATACACGATCGACTACGGAAGCAGGAAGGCTGGCTCCCGAGCCGCTGCGTTGGAAGACGAGTACATACCGTCGTTCTTTCTTGATCTTCTCATCATCGTCGGACGACCGCTCAGGCCGATCTCGCAGCCATCCAGCCGCTTTTTCGACAACATGACCATCAGCTTCAAGAACTGGCGAGCTTCCTACAGCAACAAGCACGTTCACGGACTGTCGTTTGACCTGGAAAACCGCACCTTCCGGCTGGCCACGGCTGCAACGCGGGAGTCCTGGTTCATCGTGATGCACCCCGTCGCCAACGCACCCGAGGAGCTTCTGTCGAGGAGCGAACGTCGAAAACGTCGCGAGAAGTCATCCCAACGTAGCGCCCTACAGCTCCGCCACGCCCAGTTCCTCGCATCGTACATCAAGGAGATCTTCCTCATTGGCGAGCTGTTGGGGGAGGGCGTAGAGCCGTCTTGGAGATTAGACGGCCCACACACGCAAAAGATCACCTTCAACAAATGGACGACGTTCCAAGAGGCTTTTATGCGAGGGTGGCCGGAGCACGTGGGACAGAACACACGGGATACGTTTTGGACAGAGAACCAACCGGCGTTCCACGCGTACGACTACGGGGCGAACATTGAGATAGACGTAGCCGACTAGCTGCGGGCTGTGCCTAAGGAAACCCGACTCCGGCCTGTCGAGGAAGAGTCCGACTCAGAGGAAGAGGCAGCTGAGAGAGGAGGAAGCGCAGAGCATGACGAGCGATCCCGTGGCAGTACACCAGGAGCCAGCGCGATCCCACAAGTCAGCTACGACTACCAGAGCCTGTTTGTGGGTGGGCTGCACCAGCTCCGAACCGAGCTAGAGGACAAGTACGTTCTGGATAGCATTGAGACGGTCTCTTATGCTCTAGCCGTCGACATCAACTGTCTGGACGGACAATCCCCGGACCCAGACAACAAGCTGACGCGTTGTCTCCTCGCTGACCGCAACATGGTCCTACGGGAGTACCAGGGGCTGCGAGACTTCACCTTCTACCCTCTTGCGTTCCACCCAGCATACGGCAATTTTTCGTCCCCGCGGCCTCCAGCGTTCCTGATGGACAACCTCCTCGCAGTCATGCAGGAGAACATAAGCTACCAGCACAACGGAGCAAGCGTGTTAAGCTACGGGTACTTCCAGGGATACTCGAATATCAAAAGAAGCATCCGGCATGGGCCTGACGACTTGCTTGTCACCAAGGGAGTCGCAACCGCTGCTCTAGCGCTGCCTGATCGCGATGGAAACCTATCTGCTCGAGTAGCCTCTAAGCGGGATCGTCTGCTGCAGCACCTGCGGGGACAACTAACTCCCGACAACCCCGAGTCTTCTAGGCCGTTTGTCCGTGAAGGACAGCGGATCGAAAGGGCAATACTCGAGGAGGAGCACGCATTCAGGATGGAACAAGTGCTCTCCGTGCAGGTCTCGAGGCTGACTGACGGCACTCGGAGTTTCTCCACCGTGCTCAAACCCATCTTCCAGCTAATGCGTCTCTTCCTCGAAGAACCGCAATGCTACACACACCTCTTCCGATCCTTCCGCCCGTCGGTGTTTCCAGGCGTTCTGGCATCTTTTGCAGCCATGTTCGCGCAGGCAATTGACAGTATCCATGCTCGCTTTAAGGCCGCTGGCTCTAAGGGATTGTGCGTCGCATTGGCAGAGGGGGTGTCCGCACTCGACCGCCTTGGTAGCTACTGCTTCACCGGATTCCCAAGATCTCTGATAGGCTCGGTGCTTCAGCCGCTAGGAACAATCGAGGGCATTGAACAGGGTGGGTGGCCGTTTATCGACCCCCGCATGCTGGACCTGCAAGGCGCTGGCAACCTTAGCCTAGCACAATGGCCTCGACGGGAGAACGGACGGCCGATTATGATGCATATAGCATCCATCGCTTTCCACTATGGGCCAGAGGTCGCGGCTAGCTGTTACAGCGAGGTATGGTTCAACGAGCTTGGGGGGCTTGGGGTGCAGGGGCCGACGAGTGCGGCTAAGTTTCTCGAAGAGGTGCTACAGGAATTGTGGAAGCCACAGATGATTTCGTTCGTTACGCACCAGTTCCACCGCGGGTTGAACAAGGGCAGTCGAAGCCACACAGCGAGCGACGGCCAGGGGACGCTGCAGTTGTTGGAAGGCCAGCGAGAACGGGTGAAGCTGTGGGCACAGAGCGAGAACCCCTTCTCTTGGGAGTGCGTGGAATCCGTGTTGTGAATTTTTTGTTAAGCTGCTGACAGGATATAGAGAGTACGAGTCGGTCATGCCCGTCTTCTTGTCACAGGAGATCGTGCCACAATCTGCTGTGTCGTGCAGAACGCGACGCGACTTCGCACAAGACTTATACACTAGCTGCATGAAACCCGACCGGTCGGCAGGTAGATCGTTCTGCTCACAGAACGCGACTTGGTTCTCTGTGCTCCGGGCGGCTGTGCGGCACACTGGGGTGAAGGCGATGAGCAAGGACCACTGGATTGGCGCATTTACTGTAGCTATGCTCGCCTGTCAGATTGAGTGTCTGCCAGGCTCGTATCAGTCAAGACTCAGCTACCGCAGAGTGACACGACTGGTGGGCTCAGCTCCGCCCGTGTCGGCGATGGCGGCGAGACCTGGCAGCCTCAAGCGGGCAGCGATCGAGGCGGAGCACCGAGCCAAGCGGCCGTCGCTGAGGAAGCGCGTAATTGACTTTGACTGTGCCATACCATTTACCGCAATACCGCAGCTTGTTGAGGACGGATTCCGGCAGCAAGAAAAGGTATTCAAGACAGGTAATCAGGGTATACTAGAGCACTATCAGACAGCGCGGCAGTGTCTTGCAGAATGCTTGGGCGACCCAGTGTGCGATGTCATGCTTATGTTAGTGTTGACGTTGGCGTCCTCATCGGTAACACCTACTGTACTTCCCAAAGCTCGAGAGTTTAGCGCAGGGCCAAAGAAAGACAGCTCTATGTTCGCAGCCAACTTGGTGACGAGAATGCTGTGGTTCTTTCGGCCACAGTGTTTTCCGTGGGATGCAGATGGCGGTGTAGTGCTTCGGGTATCTGAGATGACGAAGAAGATTGGTAAGAGTTCCTTCAGGAGATATGTTCGTTCTTTCTTTTTTTCTAGCGCAGAGTGGCTAATGAGGTATACACTACTATAGAGCACAAAGGAGTAAGCAATTGGTTGCTTTGAGAGCTACATTGGGTTTAGGTAGCGTGGGGTAATTGGGATAGTCCGCGGAACAGCGATCTAGAGCTGCAGAGCTGAGAGGAGCTCTTACGTAGACGTCGAGAGCTAATGAGCTTGCGCAATGACGCAGTAGGGTTTGTTGGATTAGTGTTTTGCAGCTACGATAGTATATGGATTGAACGTTGTAGTAGTATTATAAAGGAGACGTAAGAGAAAGAGATACAGGAAGCAGATAAGTTTAACCGAAGGTAGGGGTGTAAGAACGTGTAGTAGATAGAGAAAAGATAGAATAAGAGAGAGAGAGGCAATAGTTAAAGCTAGAAGGTAAAGTCAGAGCTTGTACTCTTTTTCATTGGCTAGAACCTTTTAATTGGTATTAAGCGGTTGGTAACCTTAAGATGAAAAAGATAAAGTCTCTATATATTTTATATTCCGATTGTAATAGCAGAAAGAGGCAAATTGTGACTAAATAAAACGATATCAAATAGCTATTAAAAACCAAAGATAGATTTTAGTATAAAACCATTGTTGAAAACAACCCTAACCCTAACTCTGTACTATGGCCAAAACCCTAACCCTAACCCTAGTTTATGATGAAGAACGAAAAATAGAAGTTTGATAGCTTAAGAAAAGAGATGGAAAAAAGAAAGACGTAGAGAGAGAACAGTGCTCTAGACAACTGAGGCGCTCTACTGGGCTAATGCTTGTTGGAACTTTGATCAAACTTCCCAATCTCCGTCCGTGCTCCCGATAACCTTTGTCAAATTTCCGAAAAATGGCCGTGCACGCGTTCGTCACACTGCCCCTACACTGACAAGAACTCCTCTATATAGCATCACATCGCTCATCCTGCTACAGCTTATCTCCTTTTGTCCTGTTGTTGCGAGTCTCACATCTTTTGCTTGCTCGCCGTGTTGCCGTGTTGCCATTCCCGTTATTATGAACCGCGACTCCACATCAACCCTTCTGGCGCGCTGCGATCTATACGTGGACGGCGAGAGTCGAGCTCTAATATGTCGCAAGTGCAAATACGCACTTGCCACATCAAGTTCGCAGGTCACCACTCATCTAGACTGGAAGCACGGCGTTTCCAAGGAGCTGCGCAAGGGGCTCACGCAATTCTTGCGCGCCTTGAGCTCGGCGACTTCGTCGATAAGCTTGCCATTGTGGTCGAGGATGGTCTGCTGATCCTGCCTGATCTCTTTGATTTCGCGTTCGAGGTTCCTGATGGTCTCGGTTTGTTGCCAGATGATTTCGGTCGAGGCGACAAGCAGGTCTTTGTTGGTCGTGGCGCTCCTCCTGGTTCGAGGGTCGGGCTGGCTGCTTTCATTCGGGACGGTGTCGGAGTCGTCGGCTGATGGCGGTAGCTGTGACAGTGGCCTGCGGTACGCCTTGCTCGACGGTTTTTCTTGGGCAGACATAGGAGTATTGACCGGCAGACTTCAAAATTAGTCCCGATACGTCTATCCATCCGTTCTCGATGCAATCGCCAAAGTCTGCCTCCTGAACCTCATCTTCACATCCTTTCTCTTCTCTACTAAGTCCCTGCGTTGCGTCTGAAGCAGCTCAATCTGCTTGTCGATGTCGTTGATTTGGTTTGTGAGATCCCGATCCACAGTAAGTACTTGAGAGACTATCTCGGCGAGGTCTTCGAACTCTGCATCCTCGGCGGTGCGTTTTGTGCCTCTCAATTCTGGGTCGTCGACGGCATTGGAGGATTTATCTAGTTGCTCTGCGTGAGTAGTTGACGGACGTGGAGGATCGGTTCTGGTTTGGATGCGCGATGACAAAAGATTGGGTGTAACTTCAGCGAGCGAGAATTGGATATGACTTTGATCGATGGCTGGGTTCGCCTCTTCTGATGTAGTTTCGGGCTCAGTTTGCTGTTCGTACCCAACGACGGGTGTTTTGACTGAAGCAGCCCCCATGCGTTTAGCAATGTATTCAAGCGCGTTTCGCAAGCGCTCAGGATAAGCCTTTGTTTCTCTGAGCACACAGTCCTTCGCTATACCGGCTGCAATAAAGTACCACTTTACCATAAGTGTGAGTCGGGCTCTCTCATCTTGGCCAATGCTGTAAGTACCTTTTGGATAGGTCTTGTTAAATGGATGTAGGATACGCTGTTTAGCAACGTCTTCAGCGCAGATGGCTGTCTTCGAAGGTGTACGCGTATCTTCGAGATAGAACTTGATGTTGTGGAATTTGCGTGACTTTCGCATATACGCATAGATGTCATTGCTGCGTTCTTTATGGTGGCCCATGAGGAGCTTTCGCGGCTGGGCATCGAGAAAGGAGTCCTGTTTCACGAATTGAACCTTGTCTGGGCCGGGTAGATTTTTCAGCAAGTAAAGAGCGCCATACGATTCCAAATAAGTGTGCAGCTTGTCCAGATCAGAGCGCTCATCGTCGCTCATGTTGACTAAAGGGCTTTCTACTGGACTTCTCACCAGAGTGATAGGCCGTCTGGTTATCCCTGCCTCTATACCAGGATAGCCGAGGTGACTTGAATGTTGATCTTGTGCATCTCTACGTTCTTCAGGTTCTGGCATTTCAGGTTTTTTCTCGGCACATTTCTCCGCATCGATTTTCTTCAATGCGTTGTAGAGTCGCGGACAATATTTGACATAGTCATAATCCACTTCGTGCTCGATCTTGCCCATGAAGTACCATTGAATGACGACACCAAAGTTGCCCTTTCCCGGCTCAGAAGTGTCGGCGATGTACTTGAAGGGCACAATGAGTGGCGATCCCAACACCTCCTCCAGCGTAAGAGATTGTGCTGTGGATGCATTGAGTCGACGTTTGGCCGGCCTGACGCAATATTGCACCCTGGGTGGGCTGCCGCCGAAGCTTTTCATGTAGGCGAGAATGTCGCGTCCTTCGTAGGCACCGATCACAAGCGCTGTCGGTGGTGTCGCTGCAGGATGAGGTACCCAACTCATCAAGCTGTGGGCCGGGAGCGCGGCGATCAAATCGCCTGCGCCATAATAGGCGATGCGCTGCCTAACGATGCTAAGCGCCATGACTATAGGTCGTGGACGATACAATGCAGTTGGAAAACCACTCGAAGCGCGACGCTAGATGGTCAAGAGTTGGGGATAATCGATGCGGTGTGGACGGAAGTGCTGTTCCAGCAGACGAAGTGCGGAAGTTGTGAAGTGAAAGGCATGGTTGTCAACCGTCTCCGCACGTGAACCGAAGCTTCAAAAGTCTGGGCGAGCGAAAGCACAGACCACCAAAAGTGAACTTCAACACGTCAGCTATTGAACGCTCACGTACCGCTATGGACCTTTTCTCCTATCTTGCGGATATTTATACATGGATATGTATCCCATGCGGCAAGAGAGTCAAATCAAAGTACTTCCTGGGCCACGGCCCTCCTGTAGGCTAGCTCGAAAAGGATCAGGATCTCAAAGCGGCTGAAGAAAATGGCAGATTGGAGTCCACGAAAGCGCACAGTCCGACATTTATGCATGTATCCGTTCGCCGACATCTCAATGCTCAAAAATCGACCCATCTATCTTCATGACGCTCTTGCTCAATATCGAGGACCTTTGTACGGGCAGGGTGTCATGGCACTGGTTCGCAGACGCTTTCGCGGACCGGAGCAAAAAGAGAAAATAGCCCGTTTCAAGCATCACAATGAACATCCAGCCACGTTAGAATTTACGAAGTGGCCCTGTCAACACGTCCAAGCCACGATGAGCTATTGTGTCCTTGACCCCTGGTGACGTGCACATGACTTTGGCGTTCCTAGATCTGGTGAAGAGAAATAGCTTTGACATACACCTGTATGACTCACATCTCGATTCAAGGAATACTCGTGCACTGCCTACCTTTCGAAAGTCCAGGTCGAGGGGTGCGTGGCCACTCTTTAACCGCGACCATTCGATAAATAGTTCCTCCAACGTCTATTATCTCAACATGACGCGTGGTATGACCAGGAGAAGATTTCGGCTCGAGGAAATACCACCGCTTCAGCTGACGAAGAATTTCGTTCATAACTGACTCTTGTGGCTGCTGAAATCGGATCGTGGCAAGATACTCAAAGACGACCTTGACTACATCTTTGTAGATCGTAAGACTGTTCTCAGTGAGGTCTATCTTGGTTCGGAAGGAAGCTACGTCCGGGCAAAGTCTTTTGACATCCGCATGCAAATATTTTCCCCTGTCTTTTGCCTTGATGACAGCAAGAAGACTACCTGAAAATTTGCCACTGATGATGTACCACAAACATAGGATTCTGTTCTACGGCCTGCGTGTCCAAGTAGGCACTCGAAAGCACTACTAACCAGCTGCATCGCACGTCGACATGGATTGCCGTGATTTGTCGACTTGCTCGTTCGCCCGCAGAAAACTATGAAGTCATAAGGTGTCTATAGGTGCAGAAATCATGCGTGTCGACAAGAGTGTGGTAGATCTGGTCTCCTAAAATTGCAACGCTTAAGCTTGCTAGCTGATCTGTTGTGCTCTTGCTGGGTTACCGAAAGCAACGCAGTTGGCTGGTACATCCTGTATACAGTTAGTGTCGTATGGTTGTCTAGCTCGCTTATACAACGGCCGATGCCCTGTCATCTCAGGTCCGAGGAGGGGTAAGAACGCTGTATACTTGCCTGGACAACAATGGACCTAGTACGCACAATCGCGTTATTGCCGATGCGGACACCGGCTTGGATGATGCATCCGTTACCGATGTAGACGTTTTCGCCTATGAAAACTTCACGAGCGGTCTCTGTACGCTCGCTGCCTTCCAGTGACCTCGTATCAGTGGGTTCCTCAAGTGTCGAGATGATCACACGAGCATCAATCTTTGTGTTTCTCCCAATCGTGATTCTGCCAGAGTCTAGCAGTTGACAACCAGGTCCAACGACGACATTGTCTCCGATGGAAAGGTTGTAGCCATACTCACAGTGAAGGGGCGCAGACACATCGGTACCATAACCCAAGTGACCTGCGACCTGGCTTTCACCAGCGCGAAAATAAACCCACTCAGCCGCAAGAATTCGCCCGAAGAGCCACGCACGCTCGTAAGAATCCTTCTGAAAAGCTGTGTTGAAGCGAAAGGACGCCTGCAAGGAAAACTCACGCTCGTCAACAAGCTGTGCAGTGTTTGGCAAGAACGGCTCCGCTGACAGCATCTTATCCTTCTCGCTTTTCAAAGGCAAGGATGGTTGCGTGCAGTGAGATAACGACGATGCTTGCGGTGCAGCTAGAACGGGAGCTGTTGACGGCACGAAACAGGACGTATGATGATTATCGTTGGTACAGGCTTCATGAGGCGGAGCTAATGGAAAATTTAGTACTGTCTGGCTCTCTCTCTGCTGCATTTGACGTTCCGCATCAGAACTGTGTGGTCGCAATGGAGCGAGTGCTCGATGCGCATGCTGTTGTGGTTTGACGCAGGTTTCGTACCAAAGGCTTGGTCTTCTGACGGTAAAAGTCAACACACAGTCCGAAATGTCGATGATTTGAACCTTACGATAGCTCGCGGCCCTGCTCATCAGTGCAGACAAGCCAGTCTTGAGCTGTTGTGATCCCACCTAACGCATTGGATTCTGCGTAGATCTTCTGACTTGGTTCACACTGTGGGTTGTGTATGACGTTACAGACCGGACACTGAACAATGTGGGCAGGAACTTCTGCAGAGGATGTTCGCTGGTGCGGCGGTAGTGCTGGCGGAGCATGTGCGGCATTGTTTTTCTTCGACCACGTGATCTCTTTGGAGTAACCTGTACATACCAAATTGCCTCGTTGGCAGTTCTCACACTCCGGTTTAGCTTCATCGCATTTCTTCTTCCGCTTTCGGCACGTTCCACAGCCCGTCCTGGTTCGTCTTTTCACGGGCCGGATTCGGTCGGAGCGCTGATCGGTCCCAGCCTTACCAGAGGCGCTTCTGTTACGTTCGGGAGCAGTGTCCTTATGCCCCAAGGGCACGTTCATAGACAGACGCTCCAGCGTGCTGGACTTGTGTCCTTGGTTTTCATTGCAGTCCTGAAGATCAGCACTCAAACGATGCTCGGTTGTTTCCTGCTCAACAAAGGATGCCGTTGGGAGTCTTTCGGTTAGCACGGCCTCTTCCCCCAAGTATCCGCATAAATATCCGGTCTGTATTGAGTGCGATGTTTTTCTCTCGGATGGAATCTCATGAGGCCTGTTTCCAGCCGATGTGATAGGATCAGTGGAGTCACTGAATGGGCGGGAACCGGACTCTTGTGGGACACGCTGCCAAGTCTCCAGGCACTGAAGCCCAGTCAAACTATGTGGCCAGAGTGAAGACGATCCTCCATTGATGGCAGTGAAAGCAGACGCAGAGTACTTCTTCAATTTGTCTCTCACTAGTTGTAGGTCATGGTCGTTTGCTGGCATGGATAGCACGGCAGACATAGTGGGTGGGAATAGGACGAGAAAGAGCCTCACAGAAATGACCAGGACCTTTTTTTGAAGCTCTTGCTTAACAACGTTTGACTAGGGTGGCGATGTTCCGACGAATAGTGATGCGAAAAAAGGGTGTTCTGCAACCCCACGACGCAAGAGAGAGCTACAATCTTTTGGTGCCTGATGAGCGAAGACGTTGGTGACCTGATTTCCAAGCGTTTGGACTGCGTGATATATGCTCCAGCGGCGATGCGATGTGCTGGTTTGGAGCAGAGCCACTCGCAGCGACGAGGGTAAATGCCCGGGACGATAAGGCTGGAGAACTTTTGTCGTGATCAGAACGGCGTCGAGACGTGCGGCGCGGCAGTCAGTGGCCGAGCCATCGAAATTCTTGCTGGGGCACAGACTGATGTACGTGCTCACAGGCTTAGAGTGGGTGGTGCATTGAGCCATCGCTGCGCGCTTCTCCCATAGGCAATGGACCCAAGGAGCCAATCCTGGAGAGTTCGGTGCTAAACGGTCGATACAATTGGCTGTTAATATCGCCAAACTAAGTTCACTGTTAGCTGTGTCTGTGCGCGTACCGCAGTACTCGCTTGCCGCCGGTTTTAGGCGTCCCAACGCGGCAGCCGTTCGTGGACCCAAAAACGCACCCACATCGATATTCACTTCGTAAATTGCTCCAACACTACTTCTAACTACCATACCATGCCTTGGGCTCGCAGAAGCGCTTTGTCTTGTCCTTGACAGTTGGGTGCAAGGGTGCGTGGTGCGGAAGAGCAATAAGCGAGTGCGGACTTAGGGTGAGTTGCATTACAGAGAAGTGAGGACGTGGGTCTGGGCTGCGCAGAATCGCAAAGTTGCATGAGCAGTGGAGATCAAAAGGCGGCACGGTTGACGTTGCCACACTTCTTGCTAGTGCGCGCACACGCCCCTTTAAGTCTTTCTGCTCGCCAACGCTTGTACAATATTTAGCCCGCCCCGCAATCCTGGCTCTAGAATCCTGACAGTGATTACCTTGACCTTACCTGTCTTGACCTGTCTTGGCCTGTAAGCACAGCTTTGTACTGCTGCAAACCTTGCTTACGATATCGCTGTGCCTGCTTCGAACACCTACTGTCTACTGTGCGAGATGTGACCGCGCTCGAGGGCTCGCTCTGATACGAGAATGAGGTACAACTACGGCTGATCACATCCAAACGAAGGGGCCTCCGTACAGCATCACCTGATCAGCGTTCAAGTTGTGTTTGAGGCTGTTGCTTATGCTCGATGCACACAGCGCTGACAGGCACGTGTTGCACGCTGATCACTATCAGTGCAAGGCCTCGTGACAAGCAGAGTCATTTGTTGTGTATCGTTCCACCCAGCTCATGGCTAAGCCACACTAGATACGTGCGAGTCAGTAATAGGGCTTAGCGCAGAGGCCATGATGTCAACCAAGATGTTCGTCGCGGGGCCGCACGTCTTGGCTGCTCTGGCAAGGCTGATGAGCTGACCTTCGACGTCCAGCGCATTATCTTTCGTGGAATGCAATTACTGCTTGTGATATATTGGCTTATCATCGTTGAAAGGTCTGTGGTCCCGCAGCGATTGGATGATCGTTCTGGGCTTATTCTTACATTGATATGACAACCACGCAACTGTCTCTGTCATCAGCAGCTCCTCTGCCTTGTGACCGAACGGTCTCAGCGATAGATAGAAAGCTAAGCTCTGTCTGTGGCCACTGTGGCTTATAGTGTCTCTATAGTACGCAATGATAAGTAGATGTATTGCGTAAAGCGGACGGGCATGACATAAACAGCCGTAAGATGTGACACTTCCTCCTCCTTTAGCTTGAGAATAATGATGATTAAGTTATACTGATTGTCAGTGCTGACCTTTGTGCTGTCCTGACAATCGCGCTTATCGTCAGCACCTTTGCCCTGATGACGCTTATCAACAGCATTCGCATGTTGCAAAGCTTTGCGCCCTGAAGATGACGTCGCACGTACCAAATCAATACCAGTTGCATCACTGCTCTCGTTGTCGCTTTCTCTGCACAACTACACGATCGCGATGACTATGGTCATCACTTTGTTTGTGCAAAATCTGAGGGCGTGTTGACGGCGGCACAGGCTCCGAAGCAACAAAGAGGCACATGTGATAGCTTGTGAGCAGAGACCATTTCAGTCACCGTTACAATGGTTTGTTCTGGTGCATTTGTGGTGGCGGTCCGAAGATCGACACTCCTGCTCGAGCCCTATAGACGACTCGAGGATATCATTATTTGCAGAGAACAAAAGATCACAATGACTGACGACGCATCGCGTGCACGCAGGCGCCCTGGCTACATGAGCGCGTCTCTGCCATTGTACAGCCAATCTGCGGACTACCGTTTCTAGTGGATCGTGTGACGGCACTGTGTTGATAAGGCGAGCGCGCTTTTGCATTGCCAACATGAATAGCATGTGAGGGTACGAAGCAGAACCTTGAGAAATCTTGAGAGCTGCGGAGCTTTTGAGGTGTCCGCTTGAAGTGGGGTGGTTTGGTGGGGTCTTGGCAAAAGTGTCCGACTCGTCCGGTGTCCGACTCGTCCGTGGGGTACGTTATCTCGCACTCTAAATCCATAGCTCAGCACCTCCTATATGCCCTTCGGAAGGCCAAATGGTGGCCTAAATCCCCATCATACAGACGGAAATCAATTCCAACCAACAAACCAACTGAGATTTACAGCTAGGCGAGATATTCTATTACACAAGGTTAGAAAGAGACCTTCCTACCAGCTATTTGTATTGCTTTTGATAAGGCAATTACAAAGGAGAACATTCTAGTAAGCTTTAAAGGCGCTGGCTTAGTTCCCTACAACCCAGAGCAGGTGCTATCAAAGCTTGATGTAGTGTTCCGTATGCGAACACCAGCACTACCAGACACCACCTTATAGGAGTCTAAAACACCAGCTAATATAAAGGAGATAGAGGCGAAATCAACGCTAGTTCGTCAGCGTATAAGACAGCATAGAAAATCGCCTATCTCTCCTCTCCTGCAAGCTAATAACTTACTTGCAAAAGGCATGGCTGTTACAGGTCACTATTTAGTATTGCAGGTCAGGAACTGGCAGGTATTAGTAAGGCAATGACTGCTATGACAGAGCAGCGCAGTCGCAAGAGAAAGTAAATTTAGACAGAGGAGAGTCTGACAATAAGTGACGTACAGGTTTTGATGGCTGAGAAGGACTGTAGTAGCAAAGAGGCAGCTAAACGGCCTGCAAAGAGGGTGCGCAAAGACAGGCGCTACAGTTTTTGTGCAGTGTTGTGGGGTAAAGACAAAAGACTGTGATCGATGCAATGTTAGTGAGGGCGCGCCGTTCGGTGGGGGTGCGCCGCTTAGTGGGGAAACACGTTGCCAGGATCCGTCCAGAAGACCAAAAAGCAAAATTACAGCTAGCGTGTTCGGCCTCGTGATGCACGCGGCGCGTGATGCACACCCCACCAACATTGACCTATACTGTGCACCCCCCCATAACTCAACCCCACAATGCCGTTAAAAGAAGCCCTTGCAGAGCTAGCTACTTTAAAGTATGGAGAACATTTTTCATATACAGATCTTGCCCAGAAATACGGTTGTTGTCGCACAACGTTGAGCCAAAGGCACCAAGGTGTATGCGCGTCAAATGAGGTCAAATCAAAACACCAGCTAGTTCTCCACCCACGCGATGAAATTAAGGTTGTACAATACGTCAAATCACTTACTAAGAGACACCTTATGCCTACAAGAAAGATCCTGCGGAGAATCGTGAAGTCGCTGTGTCAATGGGAGCCCTCTGATCGATGGGTATCGCGCTTCCTTCATCGCTACCCTGACGACCTTCTCACCGCCTGGACCACGCCTATGGAAAAATCACGTCACGATGCTGCTTCATATGAATCCTTTAGCTCTTATTTTAACCTGCTGCACAGTACAATCAAGCAGCATT